TATCCACTCTGCCTGCATTGTGTTTTCTATTACCTTAACCAAGGCACTTGCGGCTCTCAGGCCTACCTCTCTTAATTTATCCCAGGGCTAGAGGGATCATGCAGCCAGCCAACAGGTCAGAAGACTCTGTTACTGGGATACCTAAAAATCCGCACGGGACACAAGTTCCAAAAGGAACTAACACTTACTGACATACACACAAAGTTTATGTGTGTTACTAAACATGTGTAAGTGACACTGTGTGTGTGTATATGTCAGTTATTGTGTGTCACACTGTGTATGTTTGTTGATAGTTTGTGTGTGTTTATGAAAGTGTGTAAGTGAGGGGGTGGCAAAATGGATTGTTGCCTCGGGCGGCAAGAATCTTTGCACTGGCCCTGGATAGGAGCAAAAATAATAATCAAATACTAAGCACAACTTTATTAAAGGTAAATGAGAACCAGAACACACTAAATGTAAAAGTTTCAGAAATGTTTTTAAATTAAGTGTGTTTTGGTTCTCATATACCTTTAATAAAGTTGTGCTTAGTATTTGTTTATTATTTTTTCTTTTTTGGCTATTACCCTAGAATGATGTTAATGTGAGGTAATCTCAGTGGATTTTGGCTCCTATCTATTATAATTAGGACCCTTCTCTTACCAGTTATTTTCAAACTGTATCAGTTAGTAATTGTATGGTGGGCACTGCACAATCTGTAATTGGGGGAGGGCTTTCAATGTTTGCATATTACTGCATCTTAAAACCTACAGGGTGAATAGAGGTGATGGCAGTTTGGTGCTTAGAGTGTGCTTTTAAACTCAAGACTAGCACAGCAAGTCATTATATATTAGCAGTGTTTGCAGCTTTAGTGAAACATATTAATGTTGGAGAATTGTTACCATATTGAATAACATTGTTTTCATATTATTGATTGCAAACTAACTGCAACTGAAAGTTGTTGTTTTTTTAAAATAAACTATCTATTGGACAATATCTGCTAATCTCATGCTATTGTTTCAATGTTTATTGTTTAATTTAATATTACTCTCTTTCAGGCCTTAATTCAAAATGACGTTGATTTGAGAGACACGAGAAAGCATTGCGACAAGGGAAACCTGAGAATAAAGCCGCGGCAGGGCACGGCAGTCTTCTGGTACAATTACCTTTCCAATGGCCAAGGTATCCTACAGTTGTTACATTAAGCAAATAAAAGATCTAGCAATGCTTGAGTTACAGAACATTAGCCAATAATGACCTCAACAAAGTGACAGGTCTTTCAAATAGATGGTATTATCGTCAATTGTGCTCATTTTATTGACCAAGGAGAAAGATTGAGTTAACCATGGAGGTGTCCTGAGGAGTGTATATAACATCTGGGCACCCTGGATAACAAGGGCAGCTTTCTAAATTTGTTTAGTAATCAGTAAGCATAAGTCCAGGCATAATAACCATGCCAAGGTTATGTTGATAATGCCATTAGGGTACAAGAGCAGCCTACTGTTCTTGGTGAAAATTGCTTGAGCTTGCTAATGCTAATGTTCCACTTTGACGTTAGCAATAGCAATTTAATCCATATTTTCCAGATGCTAGCAGGCAGTACCAAGCAACCAAAATTGATGAAAGGATTATAATATTAAAATATTTTTCCTCTAAGCAGAAATAATATTTCTCCAGTAGAATGGGAGTTCAGCACAAGTTGTCCAAAGGTTAACCTAAATGCCACAAGGTACAACACCAAGCTGCCTCAGTTTGCATCTCTGTAAAGAGTAGACAATCCAAAACTTCTCAATGTCTTTTTTGGCCCTTTAAAAAAGTTTACATATTAAAGGGACACTATAGTCACATGAACAACTTTAGCTTAATGAAGCAGTTTTGGTGTATAGAACATGCTCCTGCAGCCTCACTGCTCAATACTCTGCCATTTAGGAGTTAAATCCCTTTGTTTATGAACCCCTTGTCACACCTCCCTGCAAATGACTTGCACAGCCTTCCATAAACACTTCTTGTAAAGAGAGCCCTATTTAGGCTTTCTTTATTGCAAGTTCTGTTTAATTAAGATTTTCTTATCCCCTGCTATGTTAATAGCTTGCTAGATCCTGCACAAGCCTCCTGTATGTGATTAAAGTTCAATTTAGAGATTGAGATACAATTATTTAAGGTAAATTACATCTGTTTGAATTTAGGTGACTATAGTGTTTCTTTAACTCCAAAACTTTTGATTTCCAAAGTATTAAGAAAAATTCAGATAGAGCTAGCTTTAGCAGTTATTTTCTTTTGTCAAACAAGAACTTGGTTTTCAATTCTTCTGTAGCCTACTGAGGCCAAAACACTCCTTGATGTGGAACATCAGTAAAAATGATTTTCACCTAAAGTGATGTGCTGGGCCATTACTTTTTTTTTACTTACCTGAAGTGGTCATGGTGCTTGGGTTTCACTATGAAAGGCTGCCATACAGAGGCGCTTTAGTTTCGCCCCCTGTCGTATGAGGTGACCGCCTTATGGGCAAGCCATGTCATGGCGACGTTTGTGTCGGTGTAGTGGTTATCCACAAAGTAGTGCGCCAGGGCACTCCTTATCTCGGCCACCCTCTCTACATTGTCTATCAGTGATTCATTGAGTCTCAACTGTTCCCGACCCCGGACCGGGTGGAGCGTAGTAAAAACTGATATGAGGGGGGCATGATCTGACCAGGTTATTGGGGCGACAGAGACCTTATCTAAAGTATCTAGCATTTTTGCATCCACTAAGCACATGTCTATACGGGAGTATTGATCATGTACCTTAGAGTAGAATGTGTAGTCTTTAGAGGCTGGGTATAGTGCCCGCCATGTATCGTGTAGGCCGTGTGAGTTCATAAGTGCTGTTACCTTTGCCCCTAATTGTGTGGATCGCAGGTGGGAGCCAGGTTTGCCAGTCCTATCTAGATCTGGGTCCAGTACACAGTTGAAGTCCCCACATATAAGCGTCTGCCCTCTTTTTTGCTGGTCTGCTCGTCGTAAAGCTTTCCTAATAAAGTCATATTGGTTGGTGCTGGGGACATAAAGGTTGACTACGGTCACATGGACGTCATTTAGTGATCCTACTAGTATTAAAAGCCTGCCATCAGGGCTTTTGTATTCCACTTCACATTTAAATTGCCAATCAGAGTGAAAGAGGATGCAGACACCTTGTGTCTTTTTTTGGTGCTAGGACATGGTAGGCTTGTGGATATGATGTGGACGAGAATTTTGGTGGGTTTTTGATCGAAAAGTGGGTTTCCTGTATGCAGGCTACAGAGGCGTGTAGGGTGCGTAATTGGGATAGCATCAGCCTGCGTTTTTGTGGGGTGTTCAGTCCATGGGCATTTAGGGACACTAAACGGAATTTATGGGCGGAGGTCATTTTAAATAGTTGGGGTGGTCTTAGGGCCTAGTTGTTTGGGTGTAGCATTACCCATTACTGCTACATAATAGATCTGGTAGGATGAGTCTATTTTTTCCCCGTGTCTTACACAGTAGTGGAGGGGGAGCATCTCGGGAAGGAGATTAGGGCAAGGGTAACAACCTAATTCATAACTTTGATAAAAAAAACATATAACAGAAACAAAGTATATACATATCAAATAGCTATTAAGCATTATGTGGAGGACTGCACTGAGAGGGGGTCACAGCGGCGGGTGGTGTCCCATAAGAGTATCGGGGGGGGGGGGCGTCTGATATTCGGTGAACCCGACCCCCTCTGAGAAGCAGGCGGTAATGGGGAAACTAACCGGTGGTTGTCTTTGCATAGGTCCGTGAGTAGATCGGGCATGTGGGGGGGGGGCGTGAGTTCATCTTCCGCGCTCTGTAGTTTTTTGGCCGGCCTTGCATGGGTTCGGTTTTTATTGGGTGTTGTCCCTTCACCCACTATTGTAAGCAGTCTTTGCAAGGCTCTTGAGCGGCAAGTCTTATTGCTTAAGGTTAGGATCTCGCGGTTTCAGGGTGGGCAAATTTTGCAGTGATGAGGCAATATAAATTTTTCTTTATACTGGGTTTGGGGGTAGGGAGAGGTTGAGTGAACATACTTACGTGGGTGCTGAAAGTCCTTTGTGTCATGCAATTCCCGGAGTGGGATAGTCACCATGTGGGATCCCATGAACCTTAACAGAGTGGCGTAATCAGACTGGAGCCGGCACCTCCGTTTGGGTGACAGTAACATCCTTTAGGCCTTGGTCCAATCCGCGGTCACCTTCTTTGGGGAGGCTTGGGCAGTGGATGTTTTGTTGTCTGGGAACAGGCCCCAGGTCTTGAGTTTATACATTTCCTGGACCGGATCTTCAATCTTTGTTAGGGAGCCATTGCGCCAGATAGGGATCGACCGATATTGATTTTTTAGAGCCGATACCAATACCGATATTCTGTGAACTTTCAGGCCGATAGCCGATATAATTTGCCGATATTCTGTACATTTACCATTTTGGAAAATAAAAACTATTTCTAAAGGTAAATGCACAAAATATACATGCCACGTGTAGTGGATGCAATGTGTTTAGACAGGGGAGCTGTGTTTGTTTGTGTAGTGTGTAGTGTGTGTAGTGGATGCAGTGTGTATTTGTCTAGTGTGTGTATTGGATGCAGTGTGTATAAGTGTAGTGTGTAATGAAAGCAGAGTGTTTGTGTAGTGTGTAGGTAGTGTGCGTAAAGTGAATGCAGTGTGTGTGTAAAGTGAATGCTGTATATACTAAATGCAAAGTGTGTGCGTGTTTGTGTAGTGTGTGTATATAATGAATGCAGAGTGTGTGTGTATTTGTGTAGTGTGTGTATAGTGAATGTAGTATGTTTATATAATGCAGTGTGTATGTTTGTATAGTGTGTGTGTATATAATGCAGTGTGTTTGTGTAGTGTGCATTATATAAACACACTGCATTAAATACACACACTATACAAACACACACACTGCATTATATAAACACACTACACAAACACTGTGTATATAATGCAGTGTGTTTATATAATGCAGTGTGCTTGTGTAGTGTGCTTATATAATGCAGTGTGTTTGTGTAGTGTGTTTATATAATGCAGTGTGTTTGTGTAGTGTGCATTATATAAACACACTATACAAACACACTGCATTATATACACAGTGTGTTTGTGTAGTGTATGTGTATACAATTCTCCCCTCCTTGCCGTTCTCTTTCTCAACCACATGTAAATCTTGCTTTCCCTACCCTCCAGACTTTCTACCCGGCTACTGAACAAGAGGTGGCTGCCCTTCTCCATTCCTCTCACCCCACCACTTGCCCGCTCGATCCTGTCCCATCTCACCTCATCAGATCTCTCTCCCCTTGTCTTGTGCCTACCCTAACACACATCTTTAACTGCTCTCTCTCTTCTGGCACTGTTCCTGCTGACCTTAAACATGCCACTGTAATACCTATCCTGAAAAAACATCTCTTGACCCATCCTCCCCTTCTAACTATCGTCCCATATCCCTGCTCCCTTTCTCATCAAAGCTTTTGGAAAGGCTTGTCTTTACCCGTGTGTCCCGCTTCCTTAATTCCAACTCTCTCCTTGACCCTCTTCAGTCTGGCTTCCGCCCTCTCCACTCTACTGAGACTGCTCTTATCAAAGTGACTAATGACCTAATCTCCGCTAAATCCAAAGGTCATTACTCCATATTAATTCTCCTTGACTTCTCTGCTGCCTTTGACACCGTTGATCATGCTCTCCTCCTTCAAACTCTTCAATCGCTCGGTCTCTGTGACTCGGTCCTCTCTTGGTTTTCCTCCTATCTCTCCCAACGCTCATTCAGTGTCTCCTTTTCCAAGGATACCTCCTCCACTCGTCCTGTCTCGGTTGGAGTTCCCCAAGTGTCTGTCCTTGGTCCCCTTCTATTTTCTCTTTATACCGCCTCTCTTGGTAAACTGATTGCCTCTTTTGGATTCCACTACCACCTGTACGCTGATGACACTCAGATATACCTCTCCTCCCCGGACCTCTCCCCTGCTGTCCTGCAACGTGTCACTGCTTGCCTTTCTTCCATCTCTGACTGGATGTCTTCACGCTTTCTGAAACTTAACCTCTCTAAAACTGAACTCCTTGTCTTTCCTCCTCCTAATACTGATCCTCCTCTCTCGCTCTCCCTTCAAGTCAGTGATATCCACATAAGTCCATCCCTGCAAGCGCGCTGTCTTGGCGTCATACTTGACTCTGGTCTCACCTTCGAGTCTCACATCCAGTTTGTTGCCAAGTCCTGTAGGTTCCAACTCAAAAACATAGCCCGCATTCGCCCCTTTCTTACGCAAGATGCTACCAAGGAGCTTGTCCATGCTCTAGTAATTTCCCGCATGGATTACTGTAACCCTCTCCTGATTGGTCTCCCCAAAAGCCGTATTGCCCCGCTACAGTCTGTAATGAATGCTGCAGCTAGACTGATTTTCCTCTCTAGTCGGTCCTCTCACACCTCACCCCTCTGCCGGTCCTTACATTGGCTCCCTGTATGCTATAGGAGTCAATTCAAAGTGCTAACCCATACATTTAAAGCACTGAACAGTTCTAGCCCCGCTTATATCTCTTCACTGATCCATAAATATGCCCCTCCACGTACCCTCCGCTCTGCCCGTGACCACCTCCTGACCGCTGCTCGCACCCGTACGGCCAACTCGCGCTTGCAGGACCTCTCGCGGGCGGCTCCTCTCCTATGGAATAGCTTGCCTACTGCCATCAGACTCTCCCCTAGTCTTCAATCATTTAAGAAGGGCCTTAAAACCCATCTCTTCAGGAAAGCTTATGGCCTCCCAGAGTAATCTCTACCTTACATACCTGTCTCCTGCTCTCTCCTATGGGACAGTGCTTTGCTCTCTCCTCCAGCTCTGCTTCACTCCTACTTGATATTTATTGTCCTAATGTTTCAAATACCCCACCTCCAATAGTCTGTAAGCTCGTTTGAGCAGGGTCCTCTTCAACCTATTGTTCCTGTAAGTTTTCTTGTAATTGTCCTATTTATTGTTACACCCCCCCTCTCAAAATATTGTAAAGCGCTACGGAATCCGTTGGCGCTATATAAATGGCAATAATAATAAATATATAATGCAGTGTGTGTGTGTGAGGGGGCATTTTTTATTAAATTATTATTATTTTTTTATATTTAATTATTATTATTTATTTTTGTTGTCCCCCCTCCCTGCTTGTTACCTGGCCAGGGAGGGGGGATATAGCATTCCCTGGTGGTCCAGTGGCATTGGCTGAGCTGTGGGGGGGCCGGCAGCAAGCGTTTACTAACCTCCCAGCAGCTCCTCCAGCTCCCCAGTGTAAGTTTTGCAGCCAGCGTGCCGCGCGGAGCGTTGCCATGGTAACACGTGGCAACGCTCTGACGGTCGCGGGTCTCGCGAGACTTACACTGGGGAGCTGGAGGAGCTGCTGGGAGGTAAGTAAATGCTTGCTGCCACCCCCCCCCCCCAGGACCGCCGGGCTTGTAATGAGCCTGGCGGTCCTGTTATATATTATCGGCAATATCGGTATCTGAATTGGCCGATACCAATATTGCCGAAAATACAGAATATCGGTCGATAATATCGGTAAAACGATAATTGGTCGATCCACAGCACCAGATAAGAAGTTTTGTAGGGAATCCCCACCTGTAGGGTATTTTGTTGTTTCTGAGGCATTTTGTGACGTTAATGAAGTCCCTTCTCCTGGCCATCGTTGTCGGTGATAGGTCGGCGAAGAGGGAGATTCCTTCATAGGTGGACGGCATCGCTGAGGCCTTCCTTTGCGCCATGAGTATGGCTTCCTTAGCATTGTAATAGTGCAGTCTGGTCACTATGTCCCTTGGGACTTCATGCGCAAGGTTTTGAGGTTTTGGCACTCAGTGTGCCCGGTCCAGGCGAAGATCCGCCGGCTCTAGGTTTGGTTTGGTTGGATTGCTTGAAAAAGCTGCAGCAGGTAGGCCAGCAGCTCCTCTTGCGTTACTGTTTCTGGCACCCCACGCACGCGGATGTTATTGCGGCGGGAGCGATCTTCTAGGTCTGCCAGTTTTTCCATAAGGCGTTTGTTATCTGCTTCTCTCTTTTGTATTTTCTCCACTATGGAGTCATTTACATGGCAGAGCTCATCTGTTTTTTCCTCTAGCGCATTCACTCGTGTCCCCACTTCAAGAATGTCTTTGCGCATGTCGGAGACCGCAGCCTGGAAATCAGTTTTTATAGAGGTGCGTAGTTCCTGCAGCATGGCCGCCAGGCGTTTCTCCGACACAGAGAGGTCATCAGCAGTTGCTTGCCTCAAATCTGTGTCTGATCCTGCGTCCGAGGTGTGAGTGGGTGATCGAGAGCCACCGCCATCTTGCTCCAAGCATTGCTTGTCCTTCTTCCCCTGTCAGAAAAAAGACGATGCTTTTTGCGATTTTGGGGGTGCCATTGTGTGGATAAGAGGTTCCCCTACTGTTGGGCACCTTGGCAGGGTGTTATGGGTTCTTTTGCCGCTTATTAGGCCGTTCCGATCATGGAGCTATTACAGCATGCGACCGCTCGGTCGGACCGGAAGTCCCGCCCCTCCCTCTGCACTTTTTCTAGTGTTATAATCACAATTAAGTCCCTTCTAGTATTTTCAGTCTGGTTTTCCAGCATCCAATTGTTTGTTACAACCATTTTTCACGTTTGAAAAAACCGACATTACAGTAAAATGTATTTTCCATGGTAAAAGCAACCGTACAATTTCCCTTCCTCTTGCTTGTGTGTCCATTGGGCTTTTTTCATATCCTGCAGAGTTTTTAGCTTGTTGCCCTATATAGGAAAAAAGGAGGAGGAGGAACAAGCTTACTCTTCATGTTGTTTTGTTTTCAACCTGGCCAGCACATTTACCCACTGTTTGGTACTACCTCTTTCATCCTTACAGCTTTTTACAGTAAGTTTAAAAAAAAAATTAAATAAAGCCATTCATTGACTGAGCACATTAGTCTGAGTGCGCAAACTACCAAAATGTACTTCACATATTTGGGTGTGCAACCTACTGAAATGTGCTGAACATATATGGGTGTCCACCCTACTGAAATGTGCTGCAAATATCTGGCTTCTCACACTACTGAAATGTGCTGCACTTACCTGGATGTATCCTGGCATGCTTTGGCTAAAAAAAAAAAAAAAAAAAAATTATTAAAATTTCAAAACTCTGATATATTTGTCCTGCATGTTACTATTTAACTAAAACTTCACCTCCAAGGAAAGGATGTCATTTTTTTATTTACCAATCACTGTTTTCCTTCTCTCAGGCTGGGTGGGAGACGTTGACGAGTTTGCCCTCCATGGAGGCTGCCTGGTGACAGAAGGGACCAAATGGATAGCAAACAATTGGATTAACGTGGATCCCAACAAGCAGCGTCAGTTGTGGTTCCAGCAGGAGATGGCACGATACGCCAGAGATGACAACGAGACTCAGAAAGACTGGACAGTAGATAAATCGTACAAGGACCTCCACATAGATTTATAATATGAAGACAAAGCCGGTACAGGGAGTACATACTTGGGTTCCAAGTACAATGATGTCTTAGTCATCCTAATGCACTCTTTCCTCATTTCTCTTGCAACTCTGCTCATTTGGAAGATTATTTAGTCCAGCAATTGGATCTTCCAGAAGCCTGAATTTCATAAGACAGAGGCATGAGGTGTTATGCATTTCTGTTATCGAGCAGGAGTAAACTTGAAAGGGAGAGCTTGTTTTCTTAGTCTAGTTTAAAGTAGGTTTGGCAAACACGAGGAGACAGACAAACTGGGATGAAACAAGTGATATTTTCTTCACACATGCAGGAAACATTTTAAAGAACGTGGATGACCATAAAAATCATGCAACAGACATAGCCACACAAAACTGTTCTTTAAAGCAATGAGAGGCAGCCCTCTTTGTATTTATCTATGTATTTACTTATTCAGGGTACAGGGGAAATGCCAGCTATTTAATTGGCAGTTTCAGCAGGGTATTTGGTGGAAATTAAATAAAAAAGAGGTAACTAAAGTAAAAAAACACCAGGTTAATTACAGACTCTCAAGAATCTGAAATGTCGAGTCTTTCATATGGCTGACTGAAATTTTTTTTAGACATTACTGCCACTCTAATCTTTTAGAGCATCGTATGTGCATGTAATTATCTTAAGAGTAATTAGTATATATACACAATATATACATATCATGAGGCTGATGAAAAAAACTGCTGTATACACAGCACCTCAGATGAATGTTGCTACAATACTCCTAGAATGCCAACGTATTAGGTCCCCTATGGTAAAATGGTTATAAAATGATTTTAAAACTCTCAGTGCTGGCTAGGTCTCCTCCTCCCACGACATTACGCCGATGGGGGAAGTAAATGCACGTGCGCAGCTAATGCCGCGCATGCATTAGAGCTTTCCCATAGAAAAGCATTGAATTCATTCTTTCATTTGGGAAATTTTAAGACATTCAATGTCCTCATGTTAGACTTGAGGTCGTCCAACGTAGTAAAATTCTGTTTGAGGCCTGGAAGTACTTCTAGAAGACAGCCACTAGAGGTTCTCTGAAACAGCAATGTTTTACATTGCAGGGTTAAAGGGACAGGGGTACAGCACGAAGAGCACTTCAATGTGATTAAGTGGCTTGGGTGCCTGTAGTGTCCCTTTAAATTAGATTAGGAACACTTCTGTTAATTAAAGTTTGAAGGAGAGTAGATTAGGTACAGACCTGCACTGTTCATAAAGATAGAAAAATCGTTTAACAATAGGTCTTCATTATTTCCTACACTAGGTAATCTGTCAAGGAAAAAGCTAATTTTAAACCAGTGTTCCCAGCTGACAATTGGAGAATTTTCTGGTCCTGCTATGTTGTCAAAATATACAGATCAATTCAATTACAATCCATTCAAATCAATCAATTCTTAGTTTAGTTAATAAAACCCTATGGTGATCCTTATGCTATGTCAAGGGGTGTCCAAAAGGTAGATCCCCAGATGCTGTAAAAATACAACTTCCATGATGCTTTGCATGCATTTAATAACAAAGCATCATGGAAGCTGTAGTTTTAAAACATCTGCTTTGCATACCTTTAGAATACTTTAGAATGAAAAAGCATCATGGAAGCTATAGGTTTAGAACATACGTGGATCTACATTTTGGGAACCCCTGTGCTATGTCATATTGAAGGCCAACCCACAAAGACATTATTATCCTCTTATTAGTATGTGAATTTGGTATGCCTTCCCCGATAGCATTGCCCATCAGTCCTATGGGTTGTATGTTAACGTTTTCCACATGTCCTAGGATAGTGGACAGTTTTCTGTCCCAACCATGCTATCTAGGAATATTATAAGGTTTATTACCCGGGCTAGTTATATTAAATCAAAACGCCACCACAAAGGTTTATTAGATTTTAGGGATCTAGTTCATACCAAAGATGCTGTATCTGTATATATATATCGACATATTGAAGGCTTATGTTATCTCTAATTACATCTTAACAGATGACCAATTTAACTCCACATCTCGCATATCACCCCAATCTACAGTATGCCATAGCTTTAAAAAAAAAAAAAAATAAGTGCAAGTTATATTACTTGTAATGTTTTAGCAGCATATGGGTGCTATTGTATTTAAATCACATTTTTATAGGATGCTTGTTTTTTTTTTTTTACTCGTTTTTTTTTTTTTACTCATTTTTTTTTTGTGCTCTCTTGTTGTAACAGTACTATCCTAAACCCCAGACGATGCAAATATTTCAAGGGAAATTATAACCCATATACAAAAACAGAACTTGGTTACATTTTAAGATATATATGGTGACTGCACAATTTTTATTTGTATGCAGTTGTAATATCCAGATTTGTTTTGCAAACAAACTCATTACAGAGCTATAGGCAGCTGCCATCTTGTTTTCCATTGGACATCATATCATATTTGTACTGTGATGCTGTGATATGGAATCCCATTGCTAGGTGTTGAACATGTCTCTTATTTAAAGAAACACTATAGTGTTAAAAATACAAAGCTGTATTCCTAACACTATAGTGTCTCTCTGTCCACACACCCCACTCCACTCCTGGTAGCCATCAAAGGTTTAAACCCCCTTTTTTAATTCACCTCGGCGCTGGGTCCATATCCTGCTCCTCTGACCTCATTGCGAGGGGGAGCCTTATGCGCTTGTGCGGTGAGTGCCGTGCACACATTAGGCCTTCCCCATAGGAAAGCATTAAATCAATTCTTTCCTATGGAGGATTAGAAAACGCTGAAATTCCTCAGGCAAGGCCTGAGGACGTCCAGTGTTGTTTCACGGTATTGGAAGACAGCCACTAGAGGCAGTCTTAACCCTTCAATGTAAACTTTTCATTTTCTTTTTAAGCAGTTATCACAAACAAATAATACCTTGTTTATTCTTGCACAGATTAGAATGATTGAGTCATATGTGTGCCAGAAAAAAGATGGCAGCTGCAATCTCAATTTCCAGATGTAGGCCTTGATTTTAATATTTTGTGATAAGCTTTAAATTTTTTAAACATTTTCGATAAACCTTTCAAATGATTTACCTACAAAAATCCCCATAGACTTAAATGGTGACTTCTTTAGAATTATATTGTCTAATATTAAATTTTACAAAGAATTAGTCTTTAACATTATTTATGACATGATCTGCTTCATCAAAACTATATCATATTTATTTTGCACATTGGTTTGTATTTTTTCCCCTGGAAAAACTTGATATATTTATTCAGTTATTTATTATTTTGATAAAGAGTCTATTACTTTATTATAGGTGTGACCTGGGTATCAAATCAACTGTTATATTTATTGTTCATATTTTCTGAATTGATGTTTAATTGCACCTTACATGAATTTTAGTTATTGTTCTAAGGATGGGGCAGCATGACAGGTATATCAATAGAAATGCCTTGCTTAAAGATCCCCCCCACCCCTTGAAGAGTTTACAGCCTAAACCATACCAAGGTTGTATGGATGTTTGTTTGTTATTTGCCTATATGGTCTTTGTCCTATGTAAACATATTTACTTAAAAACAATCCTACTAAACTTCAATAAATGCATATATGAACAAAATAACACAGTTACCCCAGTGCTGTCCTGTTAAGTTACACATAGTCAATGGTTTCACATTGAATTTATGAAGATCTTCTAAAAATGGGTAACTGTTATTACAGGTATTTAATGATAAATGTAAAACCTGTTTTGGAATGTTACAAGGACATTATTATATTTTAATAAGGCTTTAAAAGATAATATACAAAATAAATAAATGCAAGTAATAAGCTATATATATATACTAACATTGAAAGCTGTTGGATTTGCTGCGACTCCACAAGATTTGCAGCTTATGTAGCGAGCTCTCACCAAAGCAGAAGGTAGTTCGGCCAAACGTAATGCTTATTTAACCTTCTATAGCAGTGCTATAAATTCCTTCCAAATAGTGCTGTATGTGCATAGCTGGGAATTCAATGAGTTATAGTTCAATTGTCACAATTAATGACATGCAGGGTTATTCACTTAAAGGGACACTCAAGTGCCAGGAAAACAAATCATTTTCCTGGCACTGCAGGTCCCCTCTCCCTCCCACCCCCCATCCCATGTTGCTGAAGGGGTTAGAACCCCTTCAGTGACTTACCTGAGACCAGCGCCGATGTCCTTTGGCGCTGGTTTAGGGTCCGCCCACGCTCCTCCCCGGCGGGGGAGACCGATTGTGCATGCGCTGTCGCGCACACGCATTAGACCTCTCCATAGGAAAGCATTGAAAATGCTTTACAATGAGGATTTTAGCGACGCTGGAGGTCCTCACATAGTGTGAGGACATCCAGCGACGCTATAGCACAGAAAACCTGTGGTATAAACCAGGAAGTGCCCTCTAGTGGCTGTCTAGTAGACCGCCACTAGAGAAGGAGTTAACCCTGCAATGTAAATATTGCAGTTTATGAAAACAGCAATATTTACAGTTGCAGGGTTAAGGGTAGTGGGAGTTGGCACCCAGACCACTCCAATGGGCAGAAGTGGTCTGGGTTCCTGGAGTGTCCCTTTAAGTGAGAATTCACAGTGAATTTTACATTTAAGACCAAAGTAGCTGAGCTGAAATCATAGGAGATGATTTTTACAGTTCCAGTAATTTACCTTACATTTGAAGTTCACTTTGAATTTTCACTTTAGTGAATAATCCTGTTAAAGTATGCTATATTATTGGAGCAAAATAGGAAACACTGTCGGTTCAGGATGGGTTGAGGGATTGAAAATGAACTAATTCCTGATTGATTGATTGATAAGAATTCTTGATGTTAATGGAGGAAAATACATTTAAATATTATCAACTCATTCACCAAAAAGAAATAACTGATCAAGTGGCAATCTAGAAAATAGATAGAAGGGTGGAAATTTAAATAAATGTATGGTTTGAACAGTCCATTACTCCTTTTTATGCATTTTCCATATATTTTAATGGAGAAAGTTTTTTTTTTTTTTTTCTCCATGTATGCTGCTAACATGACAAATTTGAAGTATTTTAAGCAGTAAGTTTTTAAAGGGACACTCCAGACTCCTATAGCACTTTAGTGGTTAACGTGTGTACTTTTTTTTTGTTTTACAAAAAGTTCAGTTTTCAGTAGAAATCGGGACATTTATAAATTAACCTTGTTACACCTCCCCTCAGATGTCAATCAGGTAGCAGGTCCTGCAACTGCCTACTCAGGGGGGCTCAAGAGGCAGAAATTTCCCAGAGCACCTGCCTTGCATAGTTTTCTCATTGAGTTGCATTTTGAAGTCTGTGATTGGACAGCCATAGAAAGTCTGGACTGGGGAAGAAGGGGACAACAGATCTGCAGCTTTGTGCAAGCTGTTTTTAGATATACCCCAATGAAAAAATGCATAATTAAATACATTAAATTTTTCATTCAGGTTTTTTTTTTTTAGTGAACAGTCATTTATATTTATTTCTATTTCTTGGAGGAGTGTAATAGAAACTCATCCCCATGCATTTTCTCCTTGTTGGACTGCAAGCACTATAGGGGAACACTATAGGGTCATTAAAACAAAAAGGTGCTCCCCATGCGCTTCCTTGGTGACATTATCTAAATTGCCGATTTTTAGCCAATCCGAGGCTTTCCCATAGGGGGCGTGGCCAAACACCATTTTGGTCAAAGAGCACCTTCTCATAGAATCAATCATTGAATCAATGCATCTCTATGAGTAAAATTCAGCTTCTCCATGCAGAGCAATGTAAACACTGTCTTGTCTCTGAAAAGGCAGTGTTTGCATAAAAATGCCTGAAGGGAATGATTATACTCACCAGAACATTAAGCTGTAGTTGTTCTGGTGACTAAAGTGTCCCTTTAAGGTTTAGTCAATTAACATGGAATTACTGTAACAAACAAATTGTGAAAATCAGACTAAATAGCTGTGGTTATAGCTTACCTGGAGACTTTTATGCAGTTTGCGTTTCAATCCACTACAATTAGCTGTTTGGCGAATTAATGCCAGAATGTCTTCAGCTTGTTTATTTATTTATTTTTTAATATAATTTTATTATTAAAAAGAAAGAAGGAAAGATTGATTATTTTTTTTTATTACTACTTATATGACTATCCATGCATTCAGAATATTTAAACCAAGAACAAAAAGTGAATTACATTTCATTTTAATTAGTAATGTCTCCTAATTAATCATGAGAAGAATCACGTTTCCACACATTTCAGTGCCTATTTTAACTGATGTGATACTTTACCGTTTGTTTTGTTCCACCTGTTCATTGCATATGTTGTTTGATTTTACATTTTCTTATCTATTTGTGGCATTTGTTATATGGTCATTTTACTGCATTTGCTATTTTATGGCAAGAAAATGAATGATAAAACTTTCGATCTGTAATACATTTTCTATTTGATCCTTTGGTGATTGAAGAGCGAAATAAATATTTTAAGGCCTCCTGCAATTTTACTAGTTGTGTGATATCCAAAAGCTTGTCAGTTAGATTCAAAACCTCAATGATTGTAAATCCCATTTGTTAAAAATATCTGATCTGACAATATCACCCCTTCAATACAATACTGTGAAAATATAAACTTTGGTCAATAATATTAATATTGCCTGAAATGCTGAGATCCTGTCGCTATTATATTTCAGAATGTTTGTGTATTAGGTTCCCAGCCTATAAAAAGATTTTATCTCAGAACTTTCAGGACTCCAGGTAGTTGTACTAATATGTAGTGATCTTATTACCATCACTGAAAATATAGGTCAGAATACAATGAAATAATTTGAGACTGGTCTAATTTGTAAACGTTGAAGTGCTGATTAGTAGATATACTCCCAAGCCTCCCTGTGCTATATTAAAACTGCACATCTATTTATATAATGAAAAGTCAGCCTAGAAGTCTTGGGGAAATGCAATTGCCTCAGTTCTGTTGAAGGAAATGAATGAATGAGACTCATTTGGTAAGCAAACCACTAAGAATGGGTATGTGTGCATGCCACTCAGATTCACTACTTACCTACGCAGCTTTATTATTTGGCAGCGCACGTCTTATTGATTGTTGTTTTTATTTATTTTTATTTTAGTTACTATATCACTGATTTATTTATCTATTTATATTTTAAATGAGTTAATTATATCACGGTTGTGTCTGTTTACACTACTCTGTAATCTTTAAATCAGATTCATACTACTGTTTCTGTTCACATTTCAATATTTATTGATTTTCTTTGTATTTTTTTTAAAATCTCTGTGGATTATGGATTAACCAAAAGGCAATCAATGGGTAAAACGGTTTCCCCAAATCTGGGTGCCACCTGCAGTGGCACCACAATATAGAATTGTTCTGATAGCACATTTGAGATATATAACAGGTGTGTGAGATAGACAATACATGCACTGACATGCAGATAACATGGGGAAATAAATGTATATCTGTGTGTACATTTACTGTATTTCGGTAAATTTTAATATTATTGCCCTAATTTATTTGCTAAACAAGGAGTTCACAAGGATGTTTCAAAATAACAAGAGCAAAGTTGGTAAGCATACACAGACTCCCCTGAATTGGAGACGTCTGTCTTTCAACTTACCACAACTCCTTGAGTTATATTAAGCTGTACATGTGGACATAATTGGCCTTCCAGCTGTTGGGAACTGCATTTCCCTGCACCTCGCAGGTGTACAATTATTATTTTATATGCATTTTCCTGCAGAGTAAATTTTAGACCAAAATAGCCAGATTTGATTAATTTTCTTTGAATTAATGAAAATTCACACTTTCTTTTTTGCACATGGTCAGTACCAGAAACCATCAAGTCAAATATGAAAGGTCTTAGTCATCCAAGCAACTCAAAAGCTTGAATATGGAAAGTTATGGCAATTTATCAGTGGAGTTGCAAAATGGAGGCCTAATTAGCGAAGCTGGAAACATAGGCCATGTTGAGGATTGCGGTCTAGATTTTATTCACTTGGCAGTTCACCACAATTTCCTGTCTCGTGAATTCATTCCTTGTGAATTCCTATGTGAATTTCTTGCACTTTTCTCACTTTGGTTTTCTGTTTACACATTAAGATCTTGTTTGTCAGAGTGAGATATTTATTAAAGTAAATCATAAATGTTATTTATTTGCACTTTATGACATTTTTGTTTTGTACTTTTGATCACCTGTATGAAACTGTTTGTTCCATTAATAAAAGACCGAAAAATAAAGCCTATTTGAATATATTTGTTCTGTGTTGTGAATTCACTGTTCTATCCCAGTTTCAGACCAGAAGTGTGCAATGTTTCACTATTTGTGCTGCACTGCTTTCTTTTAATGTATTGCCTACACTCAGTACACTACCAATGTAAGCACAAATGCATCATACGTTTGGCTTATTTTGAATTGGTAGAAATTACTCCTTAAATAAATTAAACTAAAGTGCTGGCCCTCACTTGGTCTTCTAGTGCCGGTATTAATATTAATAGTAATATGAAATACAATCAGAAAATGCATAAATAATAGTCAGATAAATCAGAATTGTAACACACATTCACTAATCTGTTATATGGTCTTCAATATTTGTTGTAGTTGAAGTGTGTACACTTAACAGTTTGTGGAGTAAAAAGACACAAAATTTACAAAAACCGAAAGAAAATCGAAAAGAAAAAAGGGGGAAAGATGAAAACCAGTGTCCAATATTAGTTCAGCTGTGTACCAGAATAGTTAATCAGTATTCCAGATTGTGTATATATATATATATATGTAGTCTGGGGAAATGTGCATAAACTGCGATAGCTGAATTCACCAGAATCCACCTGGCTAACTCTCTGTAGAACTTCAGGAGATCTTTGGATCCGGCAGGGCTGTGCACAGGGGACCTTCCTAATCCTCGGTCTAAATCCTTCCTAATCCTCGGATAAAACATACTCGTTGTCCTGGCACTATAGTGCCCTGAGGGTGCCCCCACCCTCAGGGACCCCCTCCCGCCCGGCTCTGGAAAGGGAAAAAGGGGTTAAACTTACCTTTTTCCAGCCCTGGGCGGGGAGCTCTCCTCCTCCCAGTCGGCTGAATGCGCACGTGCGGCAAGAGCTGCGCGTGCATTCAGCCGGTCACATAGGAAAGCATTATCAATGCTTTCCTATGGACGCTTGCGTGCTCTCACTGTGAAAATCACAGTGAGAAGCACGCAAGCGCCTCTAGTGGCTGTCAATGAGACAGCCACTAGAGGAAATAGGGGAAGGCTTAACCCATTCATAAACATGGCAGTTTCTCTGAAACTGCTATGTTTATGAAAAAATGGGTTAACCCTAGCTGGACCTGGCACCCAGACCACTTCATTAAGCTGAAGTGGTCTGGGTGCTTAGAGTGGTCCTTTAAACATAAAAAGTCAGTCCACCCACCAAAGTCTATTCCATAACAAGAGACCGGAGCAGTGGATCAGTCATTGAGATGACATGTGTAACATGCCGGGCTGGCATGAACTAAACCTGCAAACAAAATGTTTCCTATCCCATATCCCTATGTACATTTTAAATAAGATTTTTAGTATTCCTCCAATGGCCATTAAACAATTAATTTTGTTGCTTCCGGCTAAAAGGCAAAATCTCTAATAAGACAGAATAGGGTATATGTCACAGGAATATAACCTAACACACAGAATCTAGGACAACAATAGCTGATAACATAGAACAGACATATTACCAGATCTTAGAGTGGCTGGGTTTAACGTACAAATGAGAGAAATTGTAGACAAATACAAGCGAAGTCTAGGATAGTGGAGAGACAAAATAATCGAAAAAATAGTGTCAGGAAAACAGAATAACAGAAAAACAAATAATCTAGCTGATAAGGGTTACTGAAATACTTAGATTCAAGAACTAGCGAAGGCCAATACCAGAAAAATCAGAAAGAGCATAGTAAATGGCATAACAGAACTTTAAATAGTGTTAGGTGTGATTTTATTGGTCCGCATCACACTTGCGCACCCAGAACATACATGAATGGGTACACCGGACTGATGTGGATCCTATAGAACTGGAAATGATGTGAGGCCCCTTTTGTACCTTTAAGAAGGTACAACTAATGCAAACAACAGACTTAAGATTTCCGTGCTGACAGGGTAAGTAACGCCACAGTTTTCTAATGAACTCTACATGAACTAAGCCTGACTAGAATGAATAATTGGTGGGAGAGGTCATCGGAGTCTGTTAGCCAAGAATTCACAGTATATATTAATATAAACAATGGAGTACAAATCCACTTTAATGAATAACCTCATTGGCCAATTGTTTGGCTGTGATGTTTTGCTAGGGCCAGTATTGGACCTAGAGTTCTATAGTTTAAGTTTATTTGCATTTCTAGTAAACAAGTAATAAATGTAACTGAAAAGGAGAATTATTAGTACATACTAACAGGGAGTGTTCCAACTAAAACACATAAATGTAGAAAGAAACTTGACATGAGGAGACCCCAAAGATAAACAAGGCCACTAGAAGGAAAAAGGAGATTATCAGAGAGGGACACAGGCAGAAAGAAACAATGAACCAAGGAGAAATGCACAGGGGTTCTATGGGATAGAGGCTAGAGTAGGGACGAATTTCCCATCAGGCAAATTAATCACCTGCCAACAGTCACCTGACCACTAGGGGTGCCTGTTTGTAGAATGTATTTTGAGCTTAAATAGGCTGGTGAGGAGTGATAAATACCAAGGGCCTTGTCTAGTTCTCCGAAGTCCAGTGAGCCTTACATTAGACCTGCAGGAACAGTTATAGTATTACCGGAGGAATAACAGGAACAAACCGCAGAAGCCACACATAGAGATATGGACACAAGTCTTCAGGAAGTAACAGGTCTTTTATTTACACACCGATCGGGTCTCACACTGAACTTGTGTTCAAAAGGTATGAGCCCAGAGCATAGTTTGCACAGGCTATTTATTAACAATAACTCCTCCCATTCATAGCTCCACTCACACATACCCTTAGACCAATCGGTGAACAGGATATTCAGGATCACCTAATATGGGCAGACCGTATGACTCCTTTTAAGGACAAAGGAATGTGACTACAGTTGATGCACATGCTCAGTACATTGATGACAGTATCTTAGCTACATGTAACTAACTAACAGATACAACAAACACCTGTACTTGTATATGCCACATGGAGCTTTCAGGCCTACTAAATTTTGAACCATGTTTGAACCATGTTGAAATCCCATCACAATAGAGGTTGTAAAACTTGGCATTGTCCGAGCTCCTGCAGTGTCTGTGTGAGGCTGGACAGGTATTGGAAGAAATCACTTCCCATCTGCCCACTAAGAGCTTCAAACAGGAAATGCCTTACAGGAAGAGCAGGGGAAGTCCTGGGTGATGCACACTTTATATCATAGGACAGCAACAAGCGATGCACACTGTATAATGGCTCCTGCACCTCTAATATCATCAATCTGACTGGTCTACAGAAGACTTAAGAGGTAAGTACTTTGCAAATAACCCTTCAAACTCCAGCACTCAAAGTCTAAACTTGGAAATGAACATTTACCATAATCCTATGTTTAACTCCTCTTTACTGAACACCTTGTGTACCCAATACTAAATTTAACCCAATCCTAAACTCAATAATCCTAAACAGCCTTTACACAACAAGTTTTTCCGCTCTCGAGTTTAACACATATAATCTCACTCTGACATTAACTCCCTTACCCTAACCACTTCTAACAGTATCTTTAACCCTGCATGCATTTACAGAGCTGAATACACTTACTATACTCACAACCCCAAACACAATATATTATGAGCAGAGCAGAAATCTGCACATGCATGCATTTATACATATGTAGTTGTTAAATCTGAATATGTTTTTAGATATTTCTAGGCCTGCAATGTCCAGTTTATAAATTAATTATATTTACTTTATCTGCCTTATTTTGGGGTTGGGGAGCGTAAGCCTCTTGGAATACTGTGCCTGCAGACACCTGGCATGAAACTCCATCCCTGGGCTAGAGGGTGTAAGGGCAGTGTAAGTACCATAACCATTACATGTTGTTGTAGTGGTTGTGCTGCTAGTAGGCTGCAGGTGCCATCCCCTGGATCTGCATCAATTCGTTTTTTTAAATGGTTTAACTAAAAACAATAATTTTCAAGGCACCCACGGCTAGGCCCTGCTCTCTGTATTGTTAATGTGCAAGTTCTGCTTTTGCGTTAGTAATGTCAACTACATCCGTAACTGATTGGCGGTGTAGATGATGCGTTTAGCCAATGAATGTCATCCAAACATGGCAAAACATTTTTAATTTTTATTGCAAAAGTGGAAACTCCATGTTGGGAATATAGCGAGTGGTAGGCCCCAGATCCTCTGTTTTATTTTCGGAAATCACTACAGTGAGCAACAAACTGGCTGCTGAACAGCGATACAGAGTAATTAATCTATGCATGTCTAGCACAGCAATGTATATGGACTTTAGAAACATGGGGAGGGAGAGTGAGTGTGTGTGTGTGTGTGTGAGAGAGCATTAGCTCTTGCATATATTTGGTGTTTAATGTAAGGTGTATATAAAAACCACATTCACTTTCTCTTATTTCCTTTTTACCCAAATCTTTCAGCTTTCAGCTTGTCTTTCTGTTAGAAATGTAGGGTTACATACTGACTTAGACACAAAATTCAGGATCTGGAAGCAGGTAAAACCCATCTCACTGGATACATGGTTTCTTATTGTAAAAGTTACTTTGCAGTGAATACTAACCTCCCACGCAGAAATGCTTATGGAAATAACAAACAAAAAGAAAAACACATACACTAACAGGCGCACAGAACATGTGCAAAGTCGCGCTTCAGTACACGTCATCAATGCCAGCCAGAGCTCTGAGAACTCCGGGCGGAAGCACGTGTAGAGAAGGAGGAGGGGAGACATGGTGTCACTGGGTAAGGAGCATTGCACTGGCTGCTAGGGATACTGGCATGAATGGCCATTGCAGATATGACATATTCCGTGTTAGGGTCCAGTCTGTGTACAATACAGCTCACATTCTACCAGACACCGTGTTTCTGATGTCATTCCCTGACTGTACAGGAAACTTAAAGGATGTCTACTGTTATGTCCTGATTTAAGATTAATTTTTTGTTTGTTTTTTTGCTTAATATTTTACTATTTCTAGTTCAGCTCTCCCCCCCACCCCCCCTCCTGCTAGACTAGTAGTGTGCATCTTGCAATTTGCTGATCAAGTTACCAACTTTCATTGTTTAACCCCTTAAGGACACACTACATGTGTGACATGTGATGTTTCCCTTTTATTCCAGAAGTTTGGTCCTTAAGGGGTTAAAGGATAACCCAGTTCCTGTTCAGGATGTGGTATTAGGTTGTGATGTCTGTACCATTGTAGCGATTGCAGTGTATGTTGATGATTGTGTGTGTGTGTGTGTATATATATATACACACACTGTATTCCAAAATGCCACACATTGTCAATCATGAGTGACTATGGGGATTTCTTTGTAAGTAACAGTTAATTGTTCCCTCAGCCTAGTAAATGCTACGGAAGCATTTATTAGACTTAATAGTGCTGCTAAATAGGTAAACATGCATCTATTTGATTCATTGGTGAACTCGGGCACCTATGAGTGCATCTGTGCATTCCTTGAGTAGTAGTGTATGCTGCCATGGACTACATGAGAATTAAAGGGACAGTATAATCACCCAGACCACTTCAGCTCAATGAAGTGGTCAGGGTGTCAGGTCCCTCAGGTTTTAACCCTTCAGATGTAAACTGTTTATGTAGCAGGGTTAATCCAACCTCTAGTGGCTTACTTCCTGACAGCCGCCAGAGGCGCATCTGCGACGCTGGACGTGAAAATCGCATGCAGAATGTTTCCTATGGACTGTTTGAATGCGTGCGCGGCACTTGCCGCGCATGCGCATTCCACTTCACTCGGGAGCTGATGTCGGGGGAGGAGAGGTCATCAGCGCCGAGGGAGCACGGTGCTGGATTAAGGTAAGCTGTTTTAACCCCTTCAGCACCAAGGGAGAGGGACCCTGAGGGTGGGGGCACCCTTAGGGCACTATAGTGTCAGGAAAACCTCTTTGTTTTCCTGACACTATAGTGATCCTTTAAATTTACATGCCCTGCCCAGAAGTTTTTTGTTTTTTTTAAGTAAATAAATAAAAACTAGTTAATTTTGTATGCATGTGTATATCACTTTTACAAATTTCACACTTCTAGCTGAATAAAACATCAGCTGTATTGTAACAGTAAAGATATCAGAGTTCCACAAATAGCTGAAAACCACTATGCCTATACTTTATCGTTATTTACTTTAAAAAAATAAATAATAATACATAAATATCACCACCCATAGGTAACTTGGGCATCAATTTAAAAAGCTTTGAAAAACTAACACAATTGAATCAGTAGCTCCCTATTCATATAAAGGTACATAACTTGTTTTGTTATTGAATGTGGAGCTATAGATTGATGGGGAGCAGATTTGAAGCCAGCTTAGGGGTTAAACGATTCATGGTAAGGAAGGACCATGGGTCGCTTAACTTTAAGTTGTTATGGTGCCGGCTATATTCCTAGAATTCTGTTGGCAAGGGCGTGGACAGTGACCTTTCCACCCCTCATTATTATTTCATCCCCACCCAATGTCCATGGGTAGGGGCACAGGGCAATTTGTACCTGATCACCCCCTGTATTTTATTTATTACTCGTTTATAATTACAGTAAGCTGCTGGCTGCTCACTGTTTATTAGACAGATTAAAGGACCAGTATAACCACCAGACATCGGCACTGCTCTATTGAGGTCCTATCAAATGCTTCTCATCAAAATAACATTGGATGGAATGGGCACTGAAGCTCCCCTTGCAGACACACAGAATGACAGAATTTACACTAGGCAGTTCAGAAAAGAGTTTTATGTGTCACATATTCTTCGTCTCCATGTGTCAAAAACTGAGATAATTACCTTCCGAAGATAGAGGGGAGTGCCGCTCGGCGGTCTTCTGCTATCATGCCTGGCTTTTGCGGCATGTCGTTGGCCGCTGCGGACCCACGCAATTATATAGCCCAACGCAATTATATAGCCCCACGTCCATCTGTGGTAAAGACGGCGTCGACGTGCGGGTGACGTCACGCAAAAGACGAATACGCACGTTTTGGGGTCGAGGGCTAGGTACAGTCAATCAAATCTGCAAAAGGGGTTATTTAAACTCTCATATTCCCTTAGCTCATTGCCCTGTATTGGTTTCCCTTAGATGGTTATCCGAGAGTGTGTTCCTGATCATGTTTTTCTGGTCTTTGACTTTGGCTTCGTTTTGACTTCCCTGATTTCTGGTACCCTTGACTTCTGGCTTTTCCTTATCACTGTGTATCGTTTTGTGTCCCTGACCTCAGCTAGTTTTCTGACTGTTCTCGGGTACGTTATGTCCTGCTATTCTAAGGCGCGATAAGACGTTGCCCTTAGTTCTAGGGTGTGATACTATTCTGCGTGCTGGATCAATATAATCCTGACACCATGTTGCCTAAGTGGTGCGCTAGGTTTGCAACTAGCCCCTGGCACAAAAGTGCAGATATCTTTGTACTTGTGAAATGCTACACATACAGATTCCTAACACACGAGCACTACTAAAAACAGAAATTATCATAGTAAGTGGAGTACCTCTTTAAACCTACCTTTCCTTGTCAAATACTTTGACATTTTATTTAACATTGCTAGTTTAAGTTCAATTATTGTTGTATAGCTTTTTGGATTTTTCTGACCATTGACGTCATGTGTTTTCTGTAGATGCTGTTTTTAGAAAATATTTTACTTGACAACTGAATGACAAAATGGATTGTATGCTGCTTGTTGCTCCTATCACAGCCTTGGAATTCATTGGCGAATACCTTCTGGCTGGTAAGTATTCTTTATATAGTGTTTAGAATAGATTAATGCCAAATTGTAATTTATAGTGTGATGTCTCCATCCATATTTACCCATATGATGTAAAATGCTAAATTTGTACTACAGAGATTTTTTGATACCTTGAAGGATGTTGGTTTATCATTCTATACCAGGGCTTGACAATACCCTGGTGCCAGGTCGCCGTGGTGTGCAGAACTGACCCAGGATGCACCACTAGAAACCATCTGAGTGACTGTCACTAGAAATGTTACTAGGCAACAATGTAAATACTGCCTTTTCTCTAGAAAGGCAGGGTTTACATTGAAAAGTGTGCGGGGACAGGCTATAGACACCAGAACAACTACATTAAGCTGTAGTGTTCTGGTGACTATAGTGTCCCTTTAAAAAAATTATTTTTAACATTGAAAAACCTGACTCTTAGATTCCAAGCAAATTTGTCAAGCCCTGTTCTATACAATGACTGAAATAGCAGGCCTTTTTATTCTAATGCTATAATGCTTGGAAACCTTTTCACAAAGCACATTGCTTTTTACTATTCTGTTTGACCACACAGACACACACACGTTTTCCTACCAAGGATATTGGTAGAGGATCCCCAAAGCAGATGCCCTGATTTTCCCCTTGGAGCATATTATTATTACGTATTGGAGGGTGGTACATTTCATATACTATCCATAAGTTATATACGTTCAAGACAGTAGTTCTGGCAACAGCTTTTGGACATTTAATTCCTTCTGTTCTTCAGTCGACTTCCAGCAAGTGGTATTCTGCATTGCCATTTAAGCGTTACATCACTTCGGTTTGTGCAGCCTTAGCCACACTTCCTCTAGCTGAGACTGACACAGCCTGCTGGAAAAATGGTTTAATTTTCAGATGTTAACTTGCCTAAGAAGTTTTGTATCTTCTGTGCTGTAAATTGCACTTTAATCCTTCACAGGATGGTCTTGAAGGCTGTTAACGGAGCAGAAGATAAGCAGAATGTGCAATAAAGGAGGTTTACACATTAGATCTTGATTTACAGGCAATGGAGGTGTGACTATGGCTGCATAAACAAAGTGATTTAACTCCAAAAAAGCAGGGAATTGAGCAGTAAGACTACAGGGACACGATCTATACACCAAAACCGATCCATTAAGCTTAAGTAGTTTTTGCGCCTGTAGTGTCCCTTTAATTACTGCAGTTTAAAAACAGGATTCTTCCTGTAAATGAGAATTGCTGAGATTTCAAACAGGGTTTCTTACTAAAGTGAGAATTCACTGTGAATTTCAATTGTAAGGCCAGAGTATCCAAACTGAAAGCATAGCAGACTTAGAGAATTTTTCCAATTCAGCTAATTTGGCCTTAAATTTAAAATTCACATTGAGTTCTAACTTTAGTGAATAACCTTGAAAGTGAATTTCAGATTTAAGTCCAAAATAGCTAGAATGGAATATTTCAGCTATCCTTTCAGTTCGGTTACTTTTGGCGTTAAATTTGAATTCCTGACTAAACTGGTTCATGGATTGCAGGATAAAACTTACAAGGAAAGGTTAAAGGATCTTAACATGTATAGCTTGGAGGAAAGACGAGACAGGGGGGGTTATGATAGAAACATTTAAATACATAAAGGGAATCAACACGATAAAGGAGGAGACTATATTTAACCCCTTCCCGACCCCGGACGTATCAGGTCCTTAAGGTATCAGGTTAGTCCACGGGGAATTAGAGTGCTGGAAGCGATCATGATCGCTTACAGCAGCTCTAATGGTATTGTCTCAATGTTGAGGCTTCGCTGCAATATCCCCCTCACTGCCGGTGGCCCCCGATAAACTGGGTGATCGCTCACCTGGGAGCGATCACTTCCCGGTTGCTCCACGTGGAGCCCGGCAGTGAGGCAGAGCATCAGAAGCCATCAGGCAGGCTATCCGAAGCTCTGCTTGTACTGAGTGCCTTGAGGTTTCGAGGCACTCGGTAATTAAAAAATATATATATATATATATATATATTTTTTTTTTAAATAAATAAAAAGAAAAATGAACCCTCTACCCTTCATCCCTCTCCCTCCCCATGTACTTACTGATCGCCTCTGTTCCCCCACTGGCGATCAGTCTTCTTCCCCCTCTCCAATTTAGGACCCCCAGGGGCCATGTGACTGCTCTAAAAGAGTGGTCACATGGCCACCATAGGTGTCCACAGTGCTGCCAGCAGGGGGACTGCCTGAACTGACAGGTGGAAAAAGTTTTAAAAAGTTTTTAAAAAGTTTAAAAAAATAAATAAAAATATAGTTAATAATTTTATTTAAATGAATTTTGATATATATGTATATCCCCTTATATATATAAAAGTCTGACAAAAAAAACTGTCGTTAAGGACCGCGGACGTATCTAATACGACTGCGGCAAATAGGACCCCTGGACTTACCAGGCGATCATGGTTGGTGGGGGTGGGGGGGTGGACTGCCGGAGACCCTAGCAATCCCTGTGCAGCAGCTCTGGCCACCCCAGCCTTCCAGGACCATGTGATCACCATGATCACATCACCGCAATAGGAGTCTAGGAGCTGCCAGCAGGGGAACTATCTGAACTGTCAGACAGTCCCCGCAGGCTGCGAAAAAAGTAAAAAAATATAAAATAATAATAATAATAATAAAAAAATGAAAATATATAAAATAATTAAAGCATTTTATAATATATCATACATATAAAATGCATATATATGATTCCATTATAAGTGTACTTTGAGATAGGGTTCAAAAGGTTCCACAGAAAAACTTCATAGGGAACTCCTGCCCTAGGGTGTCTACTTTTCAAAAAGATATGGTTTGATGTGGGTAAATTAAATTGGCCTGCTTCAAAAATGTCCCAAATAGGACATGGCTGCATGATGACCAGCTGTGAAAATTCCAAGTTGGAAAACTGGAATGCGCACCCTCCAAATAAGGTCTTTTAGCCCCCAGAGAACCGGACACACCTATTCATGGCTGGTATCACTGTAATCAGGAGATGTTGCTGAACACATATTGGGGGTCTTCTTTGGCAGTAACCCTTAAAGTTCTCCGTACATGTATTCTTAAATTGCTATGTGTGTCAAAAAAATCACCAGTTTTTTTTTAATTTGATTTTTTTTTATTTGGCATAGATTGGTGGTAAAATGGTTGCATTAAGAGTCAAAATACTCCAAGTTTAATACCTTAGGCTGTCTTCTTTAAAAAAAAATATATATACATGTGAAGGGGATTCCTGACAGGTATCAGTGTTACAACGTGCGTTAAAGGACCACTACAGTGCCAGGAAAACATACTCCTCAGGGACCCCCTCCCTCTGGGCTGGATGGCAAGGAAAGGGTTAAACTTACCTTTTTTCCAGCGCCAGGCGGGGAGCTCTCCGCCTCCGATCCTCCTCCGATCCTCCCTTTCGGCTGAATGCGCATGCGCGGCAATAGCTGCGCGCGCATTCAGCCGGTCTTATAGGAAAGCATTTATAATGCTTTCCTATGGACGCTTGCGTGTTCTCACTGTGATTTTCACAGTGAGAGTCACGCAAGCGCCTCTAGCAGCTGTCAATGAGACAGCCACTAGAGGATTTGAGGGCTGGATTAACCCATTTATAAACATAGCAGTTTCTCTGAAACTATGTTTATAAAAAAATGGGTTAACTCTAGCTGGACCTGGCACCCAGACCACTTCATTAAGCTGAAGTGGTCTGGGTGCCTAGAGTGTCCCTTTAAATGTATTCGTATGGGCAAGCTTGGATGCATGCATGGCATTAATCGCACATTTGTATTTGGTCCCCAATTGGTTTGGAAATAGCAAAGTGCTACTTGTACTTATACCCCTAAAACTTTCCAAAAAAAGCTAAGAACATTGGGCATTTCTAAACTTAGAACAAAATTTAGAAACTATTTTGCATGGGTGTTTTTTGGGGGTTGTGGATGCGTAACAGATTTTGGGGGTCAAAGTTAGAAAAGGTGGGGTTTTTTTTTACATTTTTTCATCATATTTCATAAAAAATTTATAGTAAATTATATGATATGAAAACAATGGTATCTTTAGAAAGACCATTTGATGGTGAGAAAAACGGTGTATAATATGTGTGGGTACAGTAAATGAGTAAGAGAAAAATAAAAGCTAAACACAAACACCGCAGAAATGTAAAAAGAGCCCTGGTTCTTAACAGTAAGCACATTCAAAAACGGTGTTACTAAGGGATTACAAGAAGGAAAACTACCACAACAAGAGGACATGGTCTTAAATTGGAGGGGCAAAGGTTTAAAAATATCTGGAAGTATTACTGTACTGAGAGGGTAGTGGATGCATGGAATAGCCTTCCAGCTAACGTGGTAGAGGTTAACAAAGTGAGGGAGTTTAAGCATGCGTGGGATAGGCATAAGGCTATCCTAGATATAAGAGACCAATACAAATATTTCGCAATATTGGGCAGACTAGATGGGCCGAATGGTTCTTATCTGCCGTCACATTCTATGTTTCTAGCGAACAACCCTGTAAGTGATTCTGATCAGCGACTTCAGGTTGTTATGGTTTCAAATATCCTCATATCATCTGGCAGTTTTGCACTTAGTGCTTGTTTCTTAAATTATTTCAATATTTATCAGACTCCTGTAGTGTTTTGTTGAGTTAAAGCCCCTGTATTGTTGTATCTTTGCTATTTGATCCCTCAAAGCTAAGGAGTTTCAAATTCTCACTTGGTTCTCTGTGTTCTAATACTCCTATAATTAGCATTCTAGCATTCTTCTAATTACCATGCACGAAATATCATTGTATATCACTGAGTGATGTCCACTATGTCATACAAAATGTCCCATGTGTCTGTTGGGCTTAAAAATGCAATACAGCAATATTTTTTTAACTTTTATTTAAATTCTATATTTTTAAACATTTTTTGTTGTCTTACAGGTGAAGGCCCTTATCTTACTGTGTATAGTGTAAAGGACAAACATATCAACTCACAGAGGATTCGTCAAAATGTGCTCCACAGCTATACGATCCATGGAATTAAATTGTGTGACTCTGCTTCTTCAAAAGCCAGCGATGTCCTGCTATGTGTGTTTGGAAGCAAGGGGCTAATTGTTTTGCAGTTGAACATTATGGATCAAGGTTTGAACTTGTTGAAACTCTGTGATATCCGAGAACTTAATGATTGGATTTGGGACGTTCAATGGCTTGGTGATGATTTGCAACCTACCTGCTACCTTGGTCTCGCAATGGGTCACAACTCTGTGATTCTTTACGATTATCTTAATGGGGAGATTCTGAAAGAAGTCCACTGCTCAGAAAAATGCATTCTATATTCTGCTCATTTTTGTGGTGTCCAATGGGAGGACCTTATTATGGTGTCAGGGACTGTTTTTAACCAATTGGTCGTTTGGTGTCCTTCTGATCAAACAAACGTAGATGGAAGAGTAGAACCCCGAAGGAGGATCAGCGGTCATAATGGTGTAATTTTTAGCATTTTCTATAACAAAGGAAAAGGTATATTGGTTTCGGCTTCTGATGACCGCAGCCTCCGGGTTTGGGATGTCGGTGACCTCTCAGCCTCCACCTTTAATGTCCAATGTCTACATGTGTTATACGGTCATCAGGCCCGCGTTTGGTCAGTCAGACTACTCTCTGATTACATCATTAGCATCGGAGAAGACTCTGCATGCATTGTGTGGGACTATGCTGGAGGTTTAATTCATAATTTTAAAGGCCATAAGGGTCGAGGTATCAGAGCTGTTGCCGTTAAAGAAGAACCTGGCTGGATAGCTACTGGTGGTGCCGACGCTGCTATCAGAATCTGGCAAATCAAAGGGAAATCTTTTCTACCAAATGGTCTCCAAGCATTAGAGTTTAGCTCCTCATTTTGCAATGGTTCCCCAAAGGCAATAAAAATGTTGGATACAAATTTTCTAGTTGTAATGACTGATCAGGGTTCTATATATACTTACAATTATATCTCCAAACAATGGAACTTCATTTTAGAGGATAACTCATATGCATCCTATAGTCTCCTGGATATCTATAAGTCAAAAAATTGTGTCCTGTGTGCTATTGGTAACATAACAGGTAATATTAAGATCTTCCCTATCTCTTCTGCTTTAAGTGGCAAGGACCTCAAGCTTCATCAGGGTAAAGTCCATAGCCTGACTTGGGCTTCATCTCCATGTCAGAGTTCAGACACATGTAGTCTTTTTTCATCTGGATCCAATGGTGTAATGGTTTGGATTGAAGTAATATGCCTACCTGGGCATGTTCTGTCTGTGACAGAGAAACTTTCTTTTGCTTTACCCACCTGCAAGCAGAGATGGCATACTTGCATAGCTTTTTTGCCACAAAAAGACTTTATTGTGGTTGGAGATCGAAGAGGGTCACTGATGCTTTTTCCTATTAATTGTCCCCCAGTGCAAAATAATGAAAATGGAATCAGAAGGTCCACTGCCCCAGTGAGCGAAACACAAAATGATCCAAGTTTTGATTCTGTCACTGCAGAAGAAAATCACACTGCATCTGTGGGCAATGTAAAACAATACACAAGTGGCCCAGTTTCAACTCTGTTTGGCATTCATGGCAAGTTAGGAGTTACATCTGTCATGTGCCACGATGGGTTTGTTTACACCACTGGACGAGATGGACTTTATCGTCAGCTGATGGTAACAGAAGGACAACTAGTCATGTTACGCAAGCTGAAGGCATGTAAGGGGATGGAGTGGATAGAGTCCATTTCTTTTACATCAGAGGGTAACTTGTACATTTTGGGCTTTCAATCTACTGACTTTGTAGTTTGGAGTATGAGGACCAATGAAAAGATTCACTGTGTTCCCTGTGGCGGAGGACACCGATCGTGGAGCTATAGGGAAGATGAAAACCAAGCTGTGTTTGCTTACATCAAGTCTGGGGACATCTTTGTCTACCAAAGTCAAAAAACAGAAAAAATACACAGTGTATTAAAGGAGCCTATGCATGGCAGAGAACTCACATGTGTCCGCTATGTAGGAACGATTATGGCTCTGCACACTGAATCTCTTCATATTCTCATAACGAGTAGTGAGGACACCACTGTTAACATATTTTCCTTCAGCGAAGTCACAAAAGAGGTACACCAACTTGCCACCCTCAACGATCACTTGTCCAGTGTACGGACCATGGCTTTAGCAAACACCAAGCAAATTCAGGGTGGAGTCTGCAGCCTTTCCACTCTACTTTTTACTGCAGGCGGGAGAGCACAAATTGAGTGCTATAGAGTACAGGTGATGTGGAAGAAAGATGAAACAAGACTTTCATGTCAAGTGTTCCACTTAGCCTCTCACAGATTGGATAAACACTGGGAGAGAATGAAGAACAAACACAAAAGTGTGAAGATGGACCCTGAAACAAGGTAGATGTGAATCTGCATATTCAGAGTTGCTTCGAGCACACTGGTCTTTTTAATGAATAGCAGTAAATTCAGTCACTGGCCCTGTAAAAACTGAAAATAATTTTACAGGATTCATTAGTACAGGGCCAAGTGCAGCAGTGATGAACTACAACTTCCATTACACTGTATCTGCATTGTGGGAGCTGTAGTGGAATTCTTTTATCTGCCCACAGCTGTCTATGTTCAGTGCAGTAGGTCTTTTTGTGTGTGTGTGTGTGTGTGTGTGTGTGTGTGTGTATGTGTGTAAAATAATTTAGGAATTATTTTTCACTTTTTTACTGTTGCAGCATTGGGCTAAATTGTTTTGTGAATAATATCCAATATTGACAAAGCAAAAAACAGGTTTCTGGCACCCTTGCAAATATATTAAAGCGGCACTGTCATGCCGAACTTACCTTTCCTCAATCTCTTCCTCTTCTCCCCCTCTCTCAGGATCTGTTCTTCTTTTCTTCCTGTCTTCTTTAGTTTTCTTTAAAATCATTAGACAAAGTAGGGACTCTTTGCCTTATGGAGGATTCCTCCGCTTGACCAGCTCTGACCAGCGGAGGAGCAAAGTGTACTTCATTTCCGCTGGTCAGAGCAATTTTCCCATGATCCTTACCTTTCCTCTGTGTTCCCGCGATGCTTCCTGTCATTTTAGACGAAACTGACGAATTGCGTTCTAACTGAATGAGAACAGTATGTTCGTTTCTTTTAGAAGGCAATTCGGCATTTTATTCGGATCGGAATTTCATTCGAATGAATGAAACTCCGATCCTATTCTTGCTGTGGCTGCATCTTGCAGCCGCTTAGTAGATAACTCCCTAATTCGCACGGTATCATGGAGTTATCTACTAAAAGGCTGAAAGACCTAAATTGGTCTTTCAGCCACATTTACTAATACTAAGTAAAGATTACTTAGTATTATTAAATGCTGCCCCTACTCGCTATACCGTGAGTAGGGGCATGTCGGGTAAACGATGAGCAGCCTGTGGGGCCATAAAGATAATGAGGAGGGGGACCTACTGCCCTCCCGCCCCCACCCCTGGGCGGCGGGTGGGGGTCAAATGATAATGAGGGGGGACCTACTGTCCTCCCACCTCCCTCCCCCCCCCTGGGCAGCAGGTGGGGGCCAAATGATAATGAGGGGGGGACCTACTGTCCTCCCCCACCCCTGGACGGCAGGTGGGGGCCCTAAATCCATTCTCCCCTCCCCCCCACAAAGTGACTAGGGGTCCCCAAGCCCCTAGTCACCCACCCAAATAAAAAGTCCCTACCTACCCCCCTCACCCTAAAAAATAGTGAGGGGGGAATAAAATAACTAACCTGTAAATAAAATTAAACTTACCATTCGACATCTTCTTTTTTCTCAAATCTTCATTTTTCAGCCCCAAAAAAGGGCAAATAAAAAACCATCATAATCGTTGAACTTAAAAAAAAAAAACCTAAGCGCAAAAAAATAATCCATCTTCACCCATGGAGGGCTCCGCGCAGACTGAGCCCCGCAGGGCGGGGGAAGGCTTATAAAGCCTTGCCCCACCCTGCAATTAGGCTAAGAACACTCTGGTGGGTTTAAGCCAATCAGAGTGCTCTTTGTCATTTTACACAGCGTGGGAAAATTCAAAATAATTTTCCCACTGTGTAAAATGACACAGAGCACTGTGATTGGATGGCTTGAAATCCATCCAATCACAGTGCTCTGTGTCATTTTACACAGCGTGGGAAAATTCCAAAGAACTTTCCCACGCTGTGTAAAATTACACAGAGCATTGTGATTGGATGGATTTCAAGCCATCCAATCACAGTGCTCTGTGTCATTTTACACAGTGGGGGGTTTATGAAGTGGTGGGGAGCACTGCTCCCTGCCACTTCTATCTTTACATATTACAAGGAGGGAGCTGCGTGCCGGTAGCTCCCTCCTTGTAATAAACTGAACGAACAAACACTGATAACTCAGTGTTTGTTTGTTTGTCTGACATTTCTATTCACTCATTCGTCTGTCTGATGAATGAATGAATGAATAGATGAAATTCCCGTTCACATGTCCAGGTGTTTCACTGGGCATGTGCGGGAATCTCTAGTGTGGGCTGATGACGTGTCCCACAGGGACTTCATCTACCCACACAAAGATGGCTGCGCCCTGAATAAAGTTCGGGGCAGAAAATAAGGAATAAAAATAGGTAATGTGGGGGGCTTAGGGGCATTTGAGGGTGACTAGGGTGTCAGTTAGGGATAGTAGAGGCCGGAGGGGGGTTAAAAAAAAAAAAAAAAACAGGATTCGGCATGACAGTGCTGCTTTAAGCAGAGAAAAACCTGGAATATCATATGGACATGAATACTCAGACCCTTAGCAGCGGTTGACCCTCAAAACGTAGAAACATCTCAACGATGATACAGAGAAATTGGATGTATCTGAGCAAGTGTCATAACAAAGGGTCTAGATGCTTATGTCAATGTGAGTGTTCAGGTTTTTCTGTGCAATAAAAATCCAATTTTATTTGCTTAGTTAGTATGGGGTATTGAACTTTTATTAATGTGAATAAATATAAGGAGGCTGCAATATAAATATATAAAAAAGGTTAAGGGGTCTTTTTTTATATTGCTGGAGCGTATACCATAAGCAGTGCTTCGTAGGAACAACAATTAACAGTTAAGTGTTAGGAATACAATTCATAATGCTCTAGTGTCCCTGTCACTAGATATATTCAGATCACCTAGCCGTTTGCAATAAAAATGAAGAAAATTTTAAGTTTTACTTACCTTTTTCAAGTGCTGATGCCTCCTGCAACTTACCTCTCTGCCTGTCACAATATCATAGAGGTACATTGGGGACCAAATACAAATGTGCGATTAATGCCATGCATGCATCAATGCTTGCCCATACAAATACATTTAAAGGGACACTCTAGGCACCCAGAGCACTACAGCTAATTGAAGTGGTCTGTGTGCTGTGTCCCTTTTTACACTTATTTCCAGAGAATTGCAATGTTTACATTGCAGCTCTAAGTCTGCCCTCTGTGGCTGTCTAACACACAGCCACTACAGGGCTTCCTGAATCCAAACCGACCTTTGGTCAGTTATCTGATGCTGGACGTCCTCCCAGACCTCCAGCGTCAGATTTTCCCCATAGGAAAGCATTGAACAATGCTTTCCTATGGGAAGGTCTAATGCGTGCGGCCATTGCCGCGCATGTGCATTAGGTCTCCCCCGTCGGCAGGGGAGGAGTGTGGGCGGATCCTGACCTTGGCGCTGGATTCAGGTAAGTGGCTGAAGGGGTTTTAATCCCTTCAGCGACATGGGATGGGAGCCCAAAGGAAGGGGGGGACCTATTAAACCTATAGTGCCAGGAAAACTAGTTTGTTTTCCTGGCACTATAGGATAACTTTAATCAATGCTTTACTATGAGGGTTACTGCATCACATGAACAGGTTATACTCACAGAAGTGCCTCTAGTAGCTGTTAGTATGACAGAAACTGCATTGTTTTACATTCCAGGGCTAAAATAATAGGGACATTTCATTTCATTGAGATGGCGTGGGCTGGGTGACTTTAGTGTTAATTTAATTCTTTATTTAGCCAACACTGTGCACACATTGACTACAATGCACACAATACATTATGGATAGAAAGCATCCAAGATAATACACTTGCGGTGTTTGTGAGCATCCCATTGTAGGTTTTTCAATGATTACAGCTCAAACAAGGGCAATAGGCACACGGTAGTACAACCGTAATTTTGGAGCAAAAAGGAAAACATTATGAATTGGACATTAATGGAATAAAATCCAGTATAACGGACTGTTTTTCATGTTTTGAAGAATCTATTCCATCAGTGATGTATTTTGTACACCCTCACTTTTTACGCCTATGGTTTTTCACTTTTTCTTTTCAGGTACATGTCGATTGTTCCGGTTACAGAAAGTCAAGACAAGCAGAGGCAGAGGTCGGGCAATCTGTATGTGTTTCTGGCGGCGGCCTGCAGTGATGGATCAGTCAGGTATGTACATAGGCCAAAGGCTTTACAGGGCCTTAAATAACAAGGGGAATTTCCTAATTAGTTAGCATTTTTTCTCCTAACAACCTTATTTAGGTTTTTCCTGATGTGTGAAGGTTCCAAGCGCCTCGTCCTAGCTGCGCAATCTTTTTATCACCAGCGCTGCGTGTTGAAAGTCGACACTTTAATCTACCAATCAAACGACAAGCAGAGGTGAGATTCTGTACTATGCATTCATCATGCAGTAGTAGTAATAAGTGTAAATAAATAGAATAATGCATGCCTATATGATTGTAGGATTCTATATTATACATATGTAATATATCTATTTGTTAACTTTTAATAATGCAAAGATAAAAAGAGAGTAAATGTAATCGAAAAAGAAAGTAGAAAGGAGTGCTGTGTGACCCAGTGGTGGGTAGTACTAGATATGTGTTACTGCCAGATGGTCCAGAGATTCAGTTGGCTGAACGTGCAATGTATCTCCAAATCTACACAGAAACACATAGCGAAAAAGCAGTAGGTAAAAAATCAGCTGCTATTGAGAACATGTCAACATCTTAGTGACATGTAAAAAAAAAAAAAAATATAATGGTAAAAAAATAAATGTAAATATATACAACCAAATTCATAAGAACATAGTATACAGAGGGCCTGTTCTGAAGTTTTCAGGCTGCCTCTGTGATGTCTATTGCAACAAAACACAGTTGCAATTGTAGACACAGTATAAATAGCTGTTGATGTGTACTCCTTAAGGCACAGTGTGACCAGCTATTGGGTAATTAACTAGTTAACAAAACGGTGATACAGATATCGCTGGTGCCCCACAGATACATGAGTTTTGATGTGTACTCCTTAGGGCACAGTGTAACCAGCTATTGGGTAATTAGCTAGTTAACAAAACGGTGATACAAATATCACTAGTGCCCCACAGATAAATGAGTTAGAATAAATAAACGTGAAAATCTGTTCCTAGAACCCTCAGATACCCCAGGGTAGGTATTAATAGCTTTTATCCACTGCGTGGTCAAGTAATACATGTTTCAGTCTAGAACTAGGTACTCTGGTATCCTTCTATATTTCCTTGACATGGGAATCTTCGATACCATCTTAGATCTATACGTAGATAGCAATCAGTTCCTTATGTCTTTCTTTAGACTTCGAGCATAGTTCATTCCTTTTGGAACTTTCTTGTACCCCCATTGGAAATTAATTATTATTGTTTAAAAATTTTGGTCATCTAGATACCTCTCAGTATATTTAACACTCTCTATACTGGATTTTTTCTGTTATTCATTCCCTCTCTGTCGCTATTTAATCCTTTGTATACTCCACAGGGTTAATAATAAGATGCATCTCAGGCTTTAGCGACTCAATCATTGTATGTTCCCTAATCGTAATGGACCTCACTGCTGACCGGGTCTCCGTGTGGACCCGCCGAGCAGCCTTTCTGTCCCTTCAGAACTACTATTGAATAAGTCTTGATTCTAAGCGGCTCCTATTACCGGTAATGACAGCAGTAGTGATTCTTTCCTCTGCAATACCATTACAATTTGTACTTACGTTTTCGGCTTTTTAATATGCCGACGCTCATTTTCACCTCATTTTTATTTTAGCATTTTTGTAACATAACGGAGGTTGCATTATGCTTCTCCCCTTCTCCCCCCCCCCCTTGCAATATTATACTGTCCACTAAGGACAGTGGGGATAATGATAATGATTGTATATGGCATATATATCACCACTTAAGCAACTCTTTAATTCCAACTGGGTGCAAATCTTTACCAATGCCAGTACGAATTAATCTATCTCCCGGCCCCTCTCTGGAAACTAACTCTTTCTCCCGTGCAGAACGCAGTTTTGACAGCATCAGCTCTATCCACTTCTTCCTTAGGATCACTCACGACTTTTATTCCACATTCATTAACATTATAATATTCTGTACATGCTGATCGGCTATGGTTTATGCCGACCTACATGTCTAATGTGGGTATCTTCACCCTAAAGGGTTAACTATGGCTGTTTCTCTATTGGCCATACTCACCTTCTAATGAACATGATAGGCTCATCGAAACCAGCGGTCTTTTTTGAACCCTCCAATCAGCTCTATTCTTCACCTGTAAATAAGCTGACACTCACCACACATCGGCTCCCCTCTGATGAGGTGTGGCGAAACGCGCGCGTCAGGGGACTCGGAGGATTCACTGCTATAGCACAGAGTGCGGCATTGTGATCATTTGCACCGCACTTTCCACATGAATCCCGAGCGTTTTTTCTGTTTCTACCTCAGCAGTTATCTTTTTTCCTCTCCTTCCCAAGGGGTTTATCTAACGAAATATGGCTTTCACCGTTTATGGTATCAGATACCTATGATCGGATACTAGCAGCCATACCTACCCTGGGGTATCTGAGGGTTCTAGGAACAGATTTTCACGTTTATTTATTCTAACTCATTTATCTGTGGGGCACCAGTGATATTTGTATCACCGTTTTGTTAACTAGTTAATTACCCAATAGCTGGTTACACTGTGCCCTAAGGAGTACACATCAAAACTCATGTATCTGTGGGGCACCAGCGATATCTGTATCACCGTTTTGTTAACTAGTTAATTACTCAATAGCTGGTCACACTGTGCCTTAAGGAGTACACACCAACAGCTATTTATACTGTGTCTACAATTGCAACTGTGTTTTGTTGCAATAGACATCACAGAGGCAGCCTGAAAACTTCAGAACAGGCCCTCTGTATACTATGTTCTTATATGTTCTTTTTTTTTTTCATGTCACTAAGATGTTGACATGTTCTCAATAGCAGCTGATTTTTTACCTACTGCTTTTTCGCTATGTGTTTCTGTGTAGATTTGGAGATACATTGCACGCTCAGCCAACTGAATCTCTGGACCATCTGGCAGTAACACATATTTAGTACTACCCACCACTGGGTCACAGAGCACTCCTTTCTACTTTCTTTTTCGATTACATTTACTCTCTTTTTATCTTTGCATTATTAAAAGTTAACTTTTATATGTATCCGGGGCACTCAGCCTGTCCTCCCCTTTTTTGTTACTACTCTGGTAGTTTATTGTGGGTTACCCCCACGTATTTGAGTGCTTCCCTAAGCTTCCGTTTTCCTTTCTTCTCTTTTATATCTATTTGTTGAATTAAATTTTTGTATGTTTTGGTTTGTTTTCATATATTTAAAATAAATAAAAGAAAACCTTAAAGGAATACTTTCAGCAAATATTTTCTTTACTAATTGGCTTTTTAAATAAATAAAAATAATGTGACTTGTGCAGTATCAAGGCATGTGAGGATTTCTGTGTGTTCCACAATTGTGATTGTCTGTCATTGTTTGTGTGAACTGTATCAACGTATATCTGAGCTTCTGTGTGTGCACTGTCAGTGGAATTGTATGTGTTTCTGTGTGTATACAATGTCTGTTTGTGTGTTCGTTGCTGTTCTTGTGTGCCTGTGCATTGTCATGTATGCGTGTATGTTGGTGTCCCATAGTGCATAACATCTTGCCCACCAGATGTTTGTAAATTGCATTTGGCATGAAGCCCAATAAGACTTATTTATAAGTATAGTATATTATTTCAAAGTTTATAATCCTTGCATGTGCCGTTCGTTGTTTCCTGCTTGTCAGTTGGTTTGAGAGTTCTCTGAACTTCACAGCTATTGCTGGAAGTGTGGTGGCGCCCTCTCTCTAAGGCCAGCCCTGTCATAATAGCTATGTTATTTGGGTGCACTTTTACAACTGAGATTAAAAATAAAGAAAAAAAGAATGTTAACATTAGGTGTTTCTTTAAGCTGCTGGAAAATGTAAAAAAACAAAGTACATTATGTTTCTGTGGATTAATGTAAATTTGACCAGTCTGCAGGGGAAGTAAATGCCAAGAGAGTTCTTCCCCCTTGCTTCCGAGTACAGGTAGTGATATTTCAACTTAATTCTCTTTCTGTATGTAAACTTATACAAACATGTTTTTTATTTATAAAGTAATTCTTTAACATTTTGTTGGCTTTTTGCCATTGAGCTTTGCATGTCTGTAGACGTGATGTTTCAAATTTTACTAACCTGTTCAAATCAATACAATATTTTTTTTTTTTTTTGTCTAGAATTTTGCTTTCCAGCGCTGCTACTGATGGACAAATTGCTTTCTGGGATATCAATCGCACAATGGAGCAAGCTCACACAGTGCTTGAAGACACGGATTGTCTTCCTCTTGGTAAGACTGCATCTCCATTTAAATAAGATTCTTTTAGTGGGGAACATATGTTAACTTAGCAAATATCTAATGTGTCTGGAGTAGGAATATTTATTGACATTTTTTATTAAAACCTCTCTACTAAAAATAAAATAATCACATTATACAAATAAAACCGCACGACTGGAAAAAACCAAGAGTACACGTTAGCGTTCATTGAGAAAAGCATTTATCGAGAAAACATTTAGACTGAATACGTTGTCACAAATTTGTTCAATTATATAAAAAACCTGTAAGCGTTCACACACCTTATACGTTAGGTGTTAGAAGAGTCCTTTACAAAAAGGGCTGTAAGTTAGGTTAGATAAAGCATATTTGTTCCTACAGATACTCAACATACTGTGATAGGCAAAAGGATCAGCGCTAATATACCTAACTAAAAGATATATATATAAAAATGACAGTAGGCGACACACCTTAAAACATAAGGCTCCCTCTAAGCCTTATAAACAACAGAGATGAGTCAAACAGGGGGGATAAAGGTTGCGCAAGAAATTATAAAAACAGACATGTTATATTCCTGAACCCCTGAACTGATCTGGGTGATTTCTGGATATCATTGTCACCAAGATCAGGAAGGTTTTATGTATATTTAAGGTGCTTTTGGGGTGTTTTGGAAATGTGTGTTTTTTATGCTGCTCAATGTGTAGGCGTAAGTGGTATAATTGTAAACCGTTGGATTCTTTTGGAGTAATCCTCACTGGAACTTAAAATCGGATGCCAGGTAGAAAATAATTAAAAAGTAAAATGGCACACTCACAGTGGAAAGAGGCCAAAATACCTTAAAGTGTATTTTGTGTATTGTGAGTGTGCCATTTTACTTTTTTATTATTTTCTACCTGGCATCCGATTTTTTTTCCAGTGAGGACTACTCCAAAAGAATCCACGGTGGGGATTATACCACTTACGCCTACACATTGAGCAGTTAGTCTGCCCAATTAAATGTGAGTACCTATTCATTATTCTATACTACTGGTACATTTTATACTTTGAGCACTATTGCTGTCTCTCTCATATTTTTTATGATCTTCATATCGATGATACATCTACCTACTTACCTACACCATCCTACGTATGCTATAAGTGGGGATTTTACCACTGTACGCCATTCAGACTAGAGCTAGGTTAAGCTCTATCAATTGTAAGTAGGACCATAGACATTTTATTTACTTTTATGTTATTCTGGGATTTTCTGCACCATTAGTTCTCTCTTTCTGTTGCATATGTGGCTGCCAAGAATACTCTGATCTGACCCCATTCCAGAGGAACTACCCTGACTCTTTGAGGTTTTATCTTCCAGCAAGTTTTACCATTTGGATTCACACTTGGACTTATATTTGAACTTTCTTTTGCTTTTTATTTGTGTGTGTGTGTATGTATATATGTATATATAATGAACGCTTGGCACTCTCCTTATAATAGATATAAAAGTATCTTGCCTGGGTGCTGTATCCTTGGCGCCAAATATATAAGCAAATACAAAAACGGGATGCACTCACAGGTCTTCATCAAAGTGAAAAAAATGGTGTTTTATTAATCCATTAGGTGTATACAAAAATCGATTGACGTTTCGACCCTGACGGGTCTTTTTCAAGATCATTGAATACAAATCATAAATGTGCTTATATACAAAATGTAAAGGGTAACACTTACCAAACAGTGGAGTGGAGTGTGTCTGCCCGTTACAACCCGGAAGTGAATGGAAGCACGGCGCACAGCGGAATGATGTGGTTACCATAGTGACAGTAAACAAAATACCGATTGGGTACAAGAAGAACGCTTTGGAGGAGAACTGTCAATATGCTATACTTAAGGGAAATAGTGGCAGTTAATGCCAAAGTATGAGTAGACCAAGGAACCAGTGAATAAAAAGTGCAGACCATATAAAGTGAAATCATGCAACTCAAGTGTAGTGACTAAAACCTGTGAAGACTACTCAAAAAGTGCATAATGCCTAATAGAAAAAATAGTGTTAAAAACATTACAAGGTCGCACAAAATTAATGCAAACTACTAGTTATAATAACAATCATCAATTTACAGAAAAAATTCATCTTAGACAAGATGTAGTACTAATATGGATCGCTGAATGCTGATCACGACAATTAGAAAATAGAATAAATAATATATATTAAGCAAATAACATATATTAAACAAAGACATTGAGAAAATTCTCCATAGTGAAAAAAAGGGCAACATGAGGGCTGAAACAACTAATATATATATTAAAGGCACAGCCACATATTAATAATATATGCAGATAACCTCAGACTATAGGGCAAAATAGTATAATGCGCTTTAAATAATGCCTGATCATATTGTAAATGGCTAAATGCTATTCCCAACAATAGAACAGCCATTTACAATATGATCAGGCCTTATTTAAAGCTCATTATACTATTTTGCCCTATAGTCTGAGGGTATCTGCATATATTATTAATATGTGGCTGTGCCTTTAATATATATGTTAGTTGTTTCAGCCCTCATGTTGCCCTTTTTTTCACTATGGAGAATTTTCTCATTATTGAGGATTTTTGCACTTTAGCATTGAACACATATTGGATATACGCAGTAATCATACGCTATAGTTGGCAGGTTGTCTTTTTTGTGGCAATATAGGTCTGTCAGTCACACAATGTCTTTGTTTAATATGTTATTTGCTTAATATATATTATTTATTCTATTATCTAATTGTCGTGATCCGCATTCAGTGATCCATATTAGTACTACGTCTTGTCTAAGATGAATTTTTTTCTGTAAATTGATGATTGTTATTATAACTAGTAGTTTGTATTAATTTTGTGCGACCTTGTAATGTTTTTAACACTATTTTTTCTATTAGGCATTATGCACTTTTTGAGTAGTCTACACATGTTTTAGTCACTACACTTGAGTTGCATGATTTCACTTTATATGGGCTGCACTTTTTATTCACTGGTTCCTTGATCTACTCATACTTTGGCATTAACTGCCACTATTTCCCTTAAGTATAGCATATTGACAGTTCTCCTCCAAAGCGTTCTTCTTGTACCCGATCGGTACTTTGTTTACTGTCACTATGGTAACCACATCATTCCGCTGTGCTCCGTGCCGTGCTTCCATTCACTTCCGGGTTGTAACGGGCAGACACACTCCACTCCACTGTTTGGTAAGTGTTACCCTTTACATTTTGTATGTAAGCACATTTATGATTTTGTATTCAATGATCTTGAAAAAGACCCGTCAGGGTCGAAACGTCGATCGATATTTGTGTACACCGAATGGATTAATAAAACACAATTTTTTTTTCACTTTGATGAAGACCTGTAAGTGCATCCCGTTTTTTGTATTTGTGTGTGTGTGTGTGTATGTATATGTATATATATATATATATATATATATATATATTTTGTATATGTTATAACACTGTTATCTGTTTTTATAATTTCTTGCGCAACCTTTATCCTCCTGTTTGACTCAACATACTGTGTTAGTCAGATGACTGTTATAACAACACATAACTGTTTAATCAGTTAGTTGTCAGTTGTATACAGAGACACGGATACTCTTTGTAGTGGAAAATTGGGAGGGAGGGAATTGGATACTTAGAAAAGTAAATGGTACACAGTTACTTAATCAATAGTGTATAGAAATAATCTTCAATAAGTTAAAACTAAGACTATTTTGTTACTGTAAAATCCAATTATCCAGAGTGGTCCTATGTCATAGAATCTCATAAATCAATGTCTTGGCTGAGTAATGAATGAAGCTAGGCAATTGTAGTTACCCTAGTTACAATGCAAATTTAGATTTGTGTTTTGGATTAAACAGACATTATACACTAGTTCCATTAAATATAGCATAGGTCGATTCAGTGCACAGGGTGTTAGAATTGTACACCAGATTTCAATTAGTCCTCTTCGCTAAATCTGTTTTGTAATAGTTTTATGAAGCATCCACATACATGGTATCTTTAGAGTTATATGTTTATTGATTCTGCTGTATCTATTCATCAAACCTATCCTTTCTGCCGCTCTTTGGATTTGTCTGTCCAGCCTATCTGGTTAGACCTATCTCTGTATCATTGATGATGCTGGCCGTCGAGGTGTTAAAAAGTCGGTGCCACAGTGTATTACCGAGAAGGTAAAACCAGGCTCGCTAAGTGGGTAATGCACTATTCATCACGCTCATTATAGATTTATTAAGAGTTGAGTGATTTCCCCCTGTACTAGATCAATAGGTAGAACATGATATCACTGTCAGATATCACTGGCCATATGGTGGATTGTAAAGCTGGATGTTCAGGTAATAAGACAAATGGCAGGATGCCTGCTTCCTGTAAAACACTTTTATTAATAACATGGAATGAATCTTGAATGGTTCACCAAAGCTCAGTACTACATCACAGTATCTACCTGTGTGACTCTTTTTTTTCATTGTATATTTGCCCCCTATGTATGGTGTACTTTAGGGGCTGTAAAGTTTATCTCTAAAATAAATACATTTTATATATTATTAAATATAAAAAGATCTTAATATAAATATATATTATACTATATATATATATATATGTATATATATATATATATGTGATCCTGATGAAAGTCCACACGAGGGACTGAAACGTTGATCTGCTCTTAATATTACAAATAAAAGAATTTGTGAGTGCAGCCAACCATTACTACTATTTGGATACTGGAGCCTCGGTGATGCACCCGGTCATATAACTGAAGCCTGAGTACAAGGTACATTTGGTGTGTGTGTGTGTGTGTGTGTGTGTGTATGTGTGTATATATATATAGTCTCTTCCTTTTGTTGTTCACTTATTCATTCGAATGAGAATTGCAAAGTGAATTTAAAATTAGACTGCAAAATAGCAGAAGTGAAAAACATTTTTAAGTCGGCTATCTTTTTAATTCGGCTACTACAGCCTTAAATTTGAAATTCACATTCAATTTTCACTTTAGTGAATAACTCTGTAAGTCTACAACTGCTCATAGTTCTGAGGGAGAAAGTGAGTGTGTTGTATTATTCATCAAGTCAGATTGTAGCTGTGAGTGACGAGGCCTCAAGGAAGGTCCTAAATGCAGAGGTGAACTCCTTCCTGTACAGCGAGGCCTGCACTTCTACAGATATAGATGCACAATGTCTCTGTACATTGTGTGTATCTCTGCATGAGTCTGTCTACATGTATCCCACTGTTTGTGCATATGGATCTTTGTCTGTATGTTTGCTTGTGCATTAATGTATCTGTGAAAGTCTGAGTATTGCTATGTGTTTTTATCTGTTACAGTGTGTATGCATGTCTCTGTGAGTGAGTGTATCTGTGTGTTACAGTATGTATGCATGTCTCTGTGAGTGCGTGTATCTGTATGTTACAGTGTGTATGCATGTCTCTGTGAGTGAGTGTATCTGTATGTTAGTGTGTATGCATGTCTCTGTGAGTGAGTGTATCTGTGTGTTACAGTGTGTATGCGTGTATCTGTATGTTACAGTGTGTATGCATGTCTCTGTGAGTGCGTGTATCTGTATGTTTAAATCTGTCAGAGTATAACTGATTCTGTGTCTGCACATAGATTGTCTGACCATGTGTAATCTTCTTAAAGGACAGCATCCAGAGATAACAGAAAGTCTAGTCAGGTTTAAAAAGGTTTGGAGTCTAGTGGTAAGATAAGGTGAGGTCTTCTTCGTGTGGAGTGAGTGAAGGAACCAATGGTGACTTTGGGGTGCACTAAACATCGCTTCCACAGACGAGACAGTCTATATATTCTTGCTGTCAGTATTTATTTAGCTGTAAATCCGTGTCCATAAAGTACATATTAACAACAGAAAATGAGCATACACTTTTTGCTTCTCTTGTCTACTACACCCATTTATTTCTTACTCGTGAGGTTCTTCACAAAGGTCCAAACGTGCTTCTGAATTATAAACTTTGCGAAAAATCCCAAAATGTTGTCCCTAAAATTACATTCCTGGCAAATCAGAAATTTACTGTTAATTGTAACTACAAAAAAATCCCTAAAAATGTTAAAATTTAATTTAATGCATTAAACCCAGTGGTGTATTTCCCATGAGGCTAACAAGGCATTTGCTTTGGGCGGCACTTTTAGGAGGGCGGCGAAAATCACAGTCCCCCCCAAGTGCCCTGGCAGATGCCCTGTTAGCCTTTTTCATGGAGGGCTCAAGAGCGGGCCGGCTGGCCACCTTGGGGCTCCCCGAGGCTTTCAGATGCTCACATTGCAGATGGGGGGAGGGGAGGGGGAGCACTGTTCTCTGAGCTCCTCTTGCTCAGCTTCCTCGCACCTGCCTGCTTGCATGCCCTGCCAACCCAGCAACAGCCAGCCAGGCAAGTCCCACTGGACCCCAGGGAAGAAACCACTCCAGCTCTCCCTAAGGTAGGGAGGTTAGGTGGATTAAAATACAAAAAATAAATAAATAAATTTAAAAAAATATATATATATAAAAAAAAAATATATATATATATATATATATATATATATATATATATATATATATATATATATATATATATATATATTTTGTATGTGTGTGTTTGTCAGTGTGTGTGTGTGTGTGAATGATTGTGTGGGTCTGTCAGTGAATGTGCGCATGTCTGTCACTGTGTCTGTGAGTGAATGTGTCTGTCAGTGTATGTCTGTGTGTGTGTGTGTGTGTGTGTGTCTGCAAGTATGTGTCAGTCAGTCAGTGAATGTATGTCATTGTATGTGTATCTGAGAGTGTGTGTCTCAGTCAAACTGCATGTTCATCTTAAACAGGTAAGGACGGGGCAAATTTAGATGGGTGGGGGTTTCGTCATGCCTAGGGCAGCACATACCCAAAATACACCACTGATTAAACCCCAACATTTATCAGATACTAGATTGCCTCATAAACCAGCATTCAAACTCCTGCATGATCTATCCTGAGATCCAACACGGCCCAAGTGGCGGATGGAACAATTCAAACAAATTCCTGTAGACAATACAACCCAGCCGTGTTGTCTGCATCAAATAGCTGTTTGGCAAACAGTCCATTGATAGTGGCAAATGGCGACACTGTTGGATAGTAAGGAAAGACACTCCTGTGTGTTCCTTCTGAATTGTAGCTGTGATTCTATGGATTTAACATATCAATGCCATTATAGGGCTTCTTAAGCATTGCTGTCTGACATGTTTAACAATTCCTACCAGCTTTAAAATTAAATTGTATTTTATCTTTGCAGAAATGGAGCCTTTGTCTTTCACTGTCTCTGCTCACCAGTCTGGGATCAACAGCCTTCATATTCTAGAAACTAAACATGGACATCACTTGGTGGCTAGTGGTGGAGATGACAATTCTCTCCATGTTTGTCTTTTGACTGTAGATCAAGTAAATGATCCCAACCAAGGAACGAGCATCCAACTCTTAAAAGAGTTCTCTGTCTCTTCTGCTCATTCTGCACATGTTACTGGGCTGAGGATACTTCAAGAGGATCTGTTGGCATCTGTGTCAGTGGACCAACGTCTGACTCTATGGAGCCTTGATGGCAATGGCCTTCGGCACCTAAGCACCAGGTTCTCCCATGTGGCAGATGTATCTGAACTAGACTGCTGGGTTTTAAAAGACAAAGAGGAATACGTATGCGTTCTCTGTGGCCAGGGTCTGGAAATTGTTAAATGTATGAGATGACAAAACCATGTTAGGTGCGTGTTCTCCATCTAACCAGATCTGAGGACTTTCACATCAAAAGATTATCAGAATCTAAAATGCAGGTTTTTTTGTTTTTAATATTTGTCAATAATAATTAATCATTGTTCAAAAAAGGAAAGGTGTGTATTTAATTTACAGCCATCAGTCTACAGATATATTATTCCCTCCTAACTTAGCCACCCATGCTGACCTTTCCACCACCACTCTTTTAGTACGGTCACCTGAAAGGGTATATCCCAGTACCCATTCACTACCTGTTGTACTCTTGATAGGTTTTATAATGAATACAATTGTGGAATGACAAGCCTTGCCTGAATAATTGAGTATTTTTTTCCCGCTGACAGGCTGATGCCTGGGCTTTGCAAGAACTTCATTCATTATTAAAGTCCAATTTTCTCCTGTGTCCTCCGACTGTTCAGTAGGAGGCCTAACTGAGCTCAACTGAAGCTAAACCGGGACCTTGAACTTCATATTCCATTTATCAAGATTGTTCCTGTAGAGGAAAAGTGTGCAATTGTCCAAATGATGCATTTTCGTGGGAAAGTGATTTATTAAAATGGACCCGGGGAGTATCATAAAAGATGCAGGGAATCTCTAACAAAATTCATGTCTACCATAATAATAATACCAAGAATGAAAGGGGAAGCACAGAAAAAGGACGTAATATGGTGGTTGGGTTGTTGGCTTCTAAAGGTCTTGCAAATGGTACGAGAGAAGCATTACCCACCTCTCAGGTGCACGCACACAAAAGGCAACAGACAACTGGGAGAATGGGAACATCTTGGACAAATTGGGGATGCAACCTAAGCCATCAGCACAATAGCTGTACAAGGGAGGTAAGTCAGAGAAGCTACAGAAATAGGACATTCTGCCTTCATCTGAATCTGGGTTCTGGAGATTTCCAGAGACAGAGGTTTTCCATCTGCAAATATTGTTTAACCACTCATCTACCATGACCTCTAACAATTTATTTAACTAGCACATTAAATAATGATGGAGAACAGCAACCTCACTTTTATTTACTTTATTGGCAGGATGTTTAATGATGACTGCAAAGTATGAAATGCCCCCTGAGAATCTAGGCATACATTTGGGTTTTCTGCAGATTATGTTGCTGGTTTGCTAAACATTAGTTTACTTTGCCAGACAGTGGTCCAACACAGATTACGAATTCCATGGCTGATAAAGAGGTTCTGTCACTCCTCAGGAATATATACCATTTAATAAAACATAGAAGGAAAACAACTTGTGATAATGTTTTTCATGAGATAGTGTTTTCTTTTAAAATAATATGATTTAGCTAATAACATTGCAATCATTGCAAGTGAAGAGGAGAAAGAAACATAGTTACATTTCTAAACGTCTCTGTGTACTTTCTCTATGCTGACTGTCAGGTGCAAAGGACTGAAACGGTGCCGAGATGGAGGCTCCCAGTTGCAGGATAATGAGATTTGTATTTCTACAATTTTATTTTTTCATGCTTCACAAATGTGTTTTTTTTTTGTTAAACCTAGAGATATGTAAACCTGGTATTAAATAACCGGGGAAGTGACAGTTGTTCTTTAAGTCATTGCTGGCATGTGATATGTCGTGTAGGGTGCTACCTGGATTGCAGTAGAAGCATAATAACCAACAAAAAGGATTATGCATAGATTCATATTATGAGATGGCTTCATTACAAATAGGGTTAAACATCTTGTGAACACATGGGAGTTGGCATGTTTTGAAAATCGTATGTTACCAGTGTTCCTATTGGGTTGGAAGAGAAGGGGTTCATATTAGACTAGTTTGTGAAAAATGCACAGATTGTTATTTAATTTCATAAACTCCATAAAAAAGAAAGCCTACCGTTATGCCACTACCTCTTCAGAGAATATTGGATGGATATTAATAACAAGTCATCGGATTTTAAGTAGACTGGAATACAAAATGTGCATGTATGTCCTGGTTTGATATATTTTGAACTACTTATAGTTACACGTTAGAATATGAGAATTAACCCAGGAATTGCAAATAGCGCTGTGTAAAACTAATGTAGGGTGTTGCTTTTTCAAACTTTATAATTTATATAGTTCATACAAATATAGAGAAACAAAACATTTTCTTAAATGTAAACAATTTATGAATGTGTATGCCCGGCCTCTTTTAAGAAATTACACAATTGCACCACCTTGTGGTTGCTTTTGTGTAATGTATCTTTTTGGAATACAAATTATTGAGGTCTAATTACTTTGATAAACATCTTATTCTGGTAACAGTTGAAGGAACATTCCAGACACATAAAGCACTTCAGCTTTATAGGAAGTCAAGAGTCTTTCATATTTGTGACAATGTCTAAAAGTGCCAGTTTCAATAGAAATCTGCACTTTTATAACCCGGGTCAGAAACGTGTGTCCTTGAGGCTCCGGGACATAGACTTCTCAAGAGAAGCCTCCGATTGATGTATTACCTGGCACAAAATGAAAGTCTGTGCATGGGAAAGAGGAGAGGGGGACCTTTCCTCTGTAATAGTGTAATAGAGAAGACCATGTTTGGTCTGTTTCAGAGGGAGGGTTTTAAAATAAAAAAAAGTGTATTTTAACTGTGCCCAGTTACAAATTTCTGTAGGTTTACCTGCAAATAAGACGCGAATATATTTTATGATATTGCCTTCTGCGAGATTTCTTCATGGTGAATCTGGTTAAAAGGTTAAAATTCTAAATTTGATAAAAGTGTCTTTGTGTGTGTATATATATATGGTCAGGGACAATAAGCCGAGTTATAGTAGTGGTAGTGTAAGTCGGGTGTGGTGCGCCGTAACAGACGTTTGGGTAGTAAAGAGGGCCCAGAAAAAATTGAATGTCTTGATAAAGGGAGTGGTGGTTGGGCTGAATCAGGTAAGATGGGGCGGCCTATGTAGCTATAGGCCAGGTAACCCCTCCCACAACTTCAGGCATTGCCTACAGCCTCAGCCTTTTTATTTGTGGCCAGTGATAATAAACCGAGTTGGTGTCCGTGATGTAAGTCGGTTGTGGTTTGGGTAGTCAAATTACTGCATTTGGTACTCTATCTACTAAACTGTGCCAGTACCAATAAATATTAGCTTCTATTTATCGATAATTTATATTTTTATTCCTATTAGTGGATGTATAGGCAGGGCCCCAGAGCAATGCTTTGCTTGAAAGCCTATAATGCTGTTAATATGGCGCTGTCGGCTGCAGTTTGATAGGGTTGTAGTAGACCCTTGTAAAGCTCATATTTAATTGAAAGTGAATTTCTCTTTTAAATGTCATAAAATAAAATGTCTCTTCACGAACATCCAATCAAGGTGTGAATTGCTACATATTTATTCACTAAATACTGAATTATTACTGGGAGATTTCACATAAGTACAATTTCAGGGTTATTTTATAAAGACCAAATGTGGTTATTATGGACAAAGTTTGGTTAAAATAACTGTTACGGGGGTGGGGCCTGACCTGCAAATGGAGTAGTCGCATAGGAGCTCCCAAAGCCATTGCTGATTTCATGGAAATTTCCAGGGATCCGATGCTTACCTTGATGCCGGAATACGCTGCCCAGGTTGAGGGCACTCTGGCGAATCGACTGACACCGGTATAACGGAGGTAGCCCACTGCGGCCTACGGTGGATGGGGGGAGGTGGCCACTCTCCTCGCCTCTACGCCGGGGGCGCTGAGCCACGATTGCCCGCTCCCCCCCCCTCCTTAGGACCGGTGGGGATGATCCCGGTCCAACCCTGCCAGACAAAAGAGCCAAGGCTGACACAGATGGCGGAGCCCCACAAGCAACCCCAAGCTCCACAGGCCCACATAATGGCGGACGCAATGTGCGGCCATGATGGCTGCGGAGGGGAGACTGCCACGATGACAAAACTGACCGCAATCCTCGACGCCTTTTGGGTGAAACTATAAGCCAGAGAGCGGCAGGCAAAAGCACGAAGGAACCTACCCAGAGAAAGTCCCACAAGTATCCGCCACAGCCGAGCTAAACCCCGCTCAACAGTCAACAAACCAAAATGGCGCCGAAGATGGAGACATCTCCAGCCAGCCCATAAGCGCTTATACAGAGCGGCGATACCTCCCCAAGAGGACCTACAGAATCCAGGTCACTCCCGCACGACATCAAGCACTGCTCAGCGACCACTGAGTGGCAGTCCCTCACCGTGAATCCAGAGCACGACACAGCCAAGGGGAACTATAGAGGCCCAGACAAGCACATCACATACCTGCACAGTGATCTCGGGTACCCACAGTAATGAACAAACGTGCCCACCACGGGAACCACCTCAGCTGGACTTTCCTCTGCTAGAACCCCATGCCTCTCCTACACACTTCCCCCTGCTGGGTATTGGAGGAGAGCACGGGGACACTGGCACCTCTGCCGTAATAAACCCTGGCTAGTCCATTCTGCGACTCTTTAAGCTGAGATAGCTGTTCAACCCTGATCTTTACTGCTTGGTACTACTCAAACGTCTATGCTCACTGCATATATTACTGATACCTGCATGATAATCTTATGTCTTCTAATAGCTGTGTTTTTAGATAGCCTGTTACTGGCCAATGTCATACCAAATAGCCTATGTGTCTGGCAGTTTACAGGTTGCACTGACTCCTAGTTCAATCGAGTCTTATCAGCAAAAGTTTTTTAGTTTGGTCGTATGTAGCCATGCATGCCCTATTAATGCTCCATGTCTGCTCACTCTGTAATTATACCACTTAAGACAGGCATGGAATGCGGGTAAATCAGCAACCTATGTACAAGCGGAGTCATAAATCTGTTATCAACTCTGTTATCAAACATGTCTCACCTACACTTTCACACTTAGCACACATGTTAAGCTGTATAGATGTTACTAAGATGTCTATTCTGAAAGCTAGATGAAGCTGCAAAAAGAGTCCCTCTTGACTTAACAAATTTTTATATTGATACCCAACGTACTGTTTTAACTCTTGCAGCTCTTGCAAGTTTCTAACTTACTTGTAATCACAATCTACATTTTAATCCAACTGTTTAAGCCTGTTTTAAAAATAAATAAATAAATAAAAATTGTGCCTGTTATCCATGTGCCCCGCATGTTAAGCGTGGGAAAATCCAGAGGACTGCTTTTGGGGCACCTCTCGCCAGCCTGTAATGTATATTTGCACTGCAAAAATAAAGAATAAAAATAAATAACTGTCAACTGAATTTGCAATTGTCGTATTTTCTAAAGGAAAACCCTATTGAAATTTGGTTATTTCAATCGGATGAGCACATTAAATTGGTTACTACTTTAAAATCAACATTTCCCAAATAAGAATTCTACATAAAATATACACGTTTTTATCCAACTTAGACTTCACCGAGAAGAAATCTCGCAGAAGGCAATGTCAAAATATAAACACTTGCTATTTGCAGGTGAACAATTTGTAAGTAAAAATATTAAATTAATAAAATATACATTTAATATACAAATAATTTACATATATTTAACCTAAATAAACATAGCTTCCAATTCTATCTAATTACCACTGCATTTGAGCATTGAATGGCATATTTTTTTCATTCGCTTATGGATTTTAGCCAATTGGTTACTTGTAGACTGGCTGAAATCAAGTGGAAAGTCGAAGTAATTCAGATACAGTATTGCAAAATGTAGACACTAATAAAAGTGTGATCAGTGTCTGTGTTTTGTTGTATAAATTTCCCTAGATGGTATTAGATTATTTTTAATGAGCCAGACTGTGGAAATTCAGATCTTGCGTATTGCTGTTTGGTTTAAAATTAAAAAAACAAGTTTTAAATTGATTGGACTTCATTTGTGTAGCGTTATATGTGATGTCCTTTATGGGACAGATGTATCTTTGTAATCGTGTGTATGTGCCTGTACATGTATTTTTGAGTGTGCATTTGTATTTGAGCCTATACAAGTGTGCCCCTGAGTGTACCTGTATTTCTCTGTGTTTATAGTTCTTTATTCTGATTATTAGGCAATACAGTGCTTGGTAAATGGGATCACAATTCCTATTACTCTCCAATTGGCTATACAAACTAGCAGCAACTGGACATGATCATTGATTAGCCATTGAGAGATGTTATGCTACAGACATGTTCTAAGTGGTATCAGTATTGATGAAGGTGAACGTTGTGCTTAGTATATGCAGTGTCAGCAGAGGAAAGGGAGTCCAGAAGTGTTCAGGGGCCACAAGAGGAAACTGAAGTATGGGTATCAAAGTAGAAGATGGGTCTGAGGGAAGCATTCACACAATGGCAGAGAGGACAATCCATGGTACTTAACGGTAGAGGAATAGGACATGGGACCAAAAAGCGAAGGGAAGAGGCACTCCAAAAAATCTTAAGGGAAATATCTAAAGGTTTTTCTTCAAGTACAGTCTTGGGGTGAAAGGGCGAACCTGAAGGTTAACAGGTAGATACTTCGGGTGAAAATTGTGAGCTGAGAGTTCATTTACCTTTTAGCTAACAGCCAATACAATCTTTACAATACAGAAAAAAAAAGAAATTGAAAGAATTGGTCATCTCCAGCCTGAAGTGTCCCTTTAACACAAAGCCACCTCTCACCTATTTTGTCTCTTGAATATGATATCATGCTAGTGGACGTTATATCAATTTATTTCTTCACCGCAGATAACAGCTGTCACCAGGTGCCCAGGTGCGACCACCGAAATACCAGATCAGGAAGAACAGAAGTCCATTTTACCACTAATTAAGAATGGAAGAGGGAGGAACCCAGGTATGGTATAAATTGGCTAGCAGATGGCATGGGTTAGGATGATAAAGTGTATAAACGGTCATTTGTCTGGTAACCCTTCTGCAGGGACACACAGGTGCTGAGGTCTGTAATTTTATCTAATGATAAAACCATACATTGGTACTGCCCAGATGCCCTGGGATAATGTTGAGCTCTTTGTGTCTGTGCCAACGGTAGTTGATCTTAATCACATACCTGCCACAACAAGTTAATTGTTGGCAATGCCAACATCCAGGAATATTAAACTAGGGGTAATCAAAAGGTCTGTGTCCGACTGCTTAATGACATAGATCTCAGCACAAAGCTTTATTTCCGTAGAACTTGGCACCGTCAGTTGGCTGTCATGTGTACTTAATCATTAAATCCCTGTGCATTACAAGGCTTGATGTATTATGTGTCACGGGCGTTGCTGGAACCTCTACTCATCCATTACAAAATCAAGAACATCAAGGCTTGTGCACATTAAAAAACACAACAATATGTGCTAACTGTACACCTGATGCCATTTAAAGTGTCAAATACAAGGGCTGACTAAGTGAGGAAACCCTTAAATAAACCCTTTGATGACGAGACAGCTGTATAAGATCTCTGCTCCACATTTGGAGAAAGTTTAGTGTAATTGATGTAATCTCTGCATACATGTGCATGTATTATACATAATTTAAGCTAATTTCTTGGTAATTTGGTCCTTTAGGTGCAATTTACAAAGAAATAGATTAGTGAAAGGAAGTAAATATATTGTATATAGACCATATAGTCAAAGGAAAGCCGGTGATGCCTATATAGTGCTACTAATGGGTATATCACTAGACTATGACCTGCGGAGAACTGTATAAAAATGTGAGTTAGGGCGAATCTATGAAATTGTGTAAATGAAATCTATAGGGCAACGGCAATCAAGCATACAGAGCAAGGTAGGAGAGAGTAATACAATTTGAACTGAGGAATATTGAAAAAAGAATTGCATGTTTTTGGGACAAAACAGCAGAGCTATGTTTCCATTTTGGCTGTTTGGGTCTCAAATTTGCAATCCTCAGTTAAAGGGAAACTTTTTGTCTAAAAAAAAAAAAAAGAAATAGGCATATTTTGAATGCACAAAGTTAATAGTTGCAAATGTTTTTATTTATTATTCAAATTTAATTTGTACAAATATTCTCTAAGGCCTAAAAACATACCTTTTATTAGCTGCAGAACTCAGCAGCTAATAAAGATCCACCCTGTTTTGCCCAACATCTACTTCCATGTCCATGTTAGTGTTGGGCATTGTCCGGATCCAAAATGTTTTGTAAAGATGGTTGGTTTTATTGAGATTTGGTGATTCATCTAAAAATTTCATAATTTAGGACTCTATTTGTACAATGCCCTTTGCAAATATTAGGTTTTTTTTTCTGTCTATTAAAATGGTGACTTGCTATATAAAGGTATTGTGGCCTAAAGTACTTAGCTAGCTAAATAAAATCTCTGACAAGTTTGAGTGGAGTTATATTCCACATAATTTGTTTAGCAAGTTAAGTTGTGTAATTATATCATATGTATATTTTAACTTCTATCGGTCTCAGTCAGAAACTCACTGAGAATGGCAAGACTTGTAGTTCAGCAGGGCCAGACAACATCTTTAAAGGACTACTATAGTGCCAGGAAAACAAACTTGTTTACCTGGCACCATAGGGTCTTTAGGTTTCCCCCCACCCTCAGGGTCCCACTCACATTGAGCTGAAGGGGTTAAACACTTACCTTTCTCTGGCGCTGGGGAACTCTCCTCCTCCTCCCGACGTCAGCGCTGAATGCGCATGCGTGGCAAGAGCCGTGCGCACATTCAGTGTTTTCCTATGGACGTCCAGCGTCTTCTCACTGTGATTTTCACAGTGAGAAGCCCGGAAGCGCCTCTAGCGGCTGTTAGTGAGACAGCCACTAGAGGCTGGATTAACCCTCAGTGAAACATAGCAGTTAAAACCTGGGGGACCTGGCATTGAGCTGAAGTGGGTGCCTATAGTGGTCCTGTAAAGGGATACTATAAGTGCCAGCAATACAAAGCTATATTCCTGGCACCATAGCTTGCTCTGCCACCCTCTCCCTCGCACCCTCTCCCCTCTGTGGTCAACAAAGGGCTAAACACCCTTTATTTATTCACCTTATCCCAGGGCTGATGTCCCTCAGCAATGGGTCACGGACCCGCCTCCACTGATGTCCTGCGATGAGCCGCGCATGTGCATTAGACCTTACAATAGGAAAAATCTGATGCTGGATGTCCTCGTGCAGAGCGAGAGGACGTCCAGCGTCAGATACCGGACAATAGGTCCGTTTGGATGCCAAAAGAGCCTCCAGTAGCGGTCTGGGAGACAGCCACTGGAGGCAGACTTAGTGCTGAAATATAAAACATTGCAGTTTCTCTGGAAACTAAGTGCAATAGGGACACTGCACCCAGACCACTTTAATGAGCTGGAGTGGTTTGGGTGCCTATAGTGTTCCTTTGAGCAATTTGATGGGGCATTATTTCCAAAGTAGCCGAACTGGAAGCACAGTTGACTTGGAGAAGTTTTTCAAAAGTTTGCCATGTGCTTTCCCCCCACCCCCCTCTAACCTCTAAACCTAGGGACCTGTAATTTTTCTGGTTTGGATTTTTGTTCTAAAATGTGCAATACCCTGGTGAATACTCAGCCAATGAATAGTTATTTAATAGCTGGTACCTATTTATGCTAAAATACCTTGTAATATTTTTTTGTATGAACTACACTATTAGAAAACCATTTACTAACTTTATATGTGCCCATAAAATATAGGTAGAAAGAGCCTGCCTACACCGAAGCCATCTCGGAAGCAAGAGAAGAGTAGGATTCAACCTTTCAAAGTTGGAGAGATGACTCCATGGGTTAGGCCATCACCTTCCGAGAGTTCCCTTGCTACTCTTCTGTTTAGCATCCCATCCCATAAGCCATGCTTTGACCCGGTTGAGCACCTAAAGAGCCCCAGAGCCATCCAGCCTGTTCTATTCCAGGAAGTTGGCCTATCTCAGACACCTTTAGTTACACATCAAATCCCAAGAGAGAAAACTATTATTCAAGCAAAACAAAGGAGCAGGACAGGACTGACAAAGAAACGCTCTGCTAATAAACTGTATAGCATAAAATTACCACCGGTCCCAGAGGTGACTGAGCTCAGCTTCAGCCGAAATTTCAGCTTTTCTTTCTTTGAACTTCCTGAGCACCAGAACCCTCAGCAATGGCTCCAGCGGCAGAGACTGGTTCATATAATGATGAGTGAGCTCCTTGGAAAAACCATAGAGTGAGGATAAAGGGGTACAAAACTAATTTTAAGTAGATGAAATAATGTTATAACTAAAATATAATGGTTCATTCTTATTTATTCCTTAGTGCAAAGTTTAGATTTACTATTATGTGGACATTTTTCTCAGTCTCCCCATAAATGCCAACTTTGAAGCATTCCATTTTCAGTACACAGTCACACGCATAGAGCACTGTATAACTAAGTACAGGTTCTGGGATGGCAGTGCATCATGGGAAATATACTTTAAAATCAGGATTGGCCATCACAGATACAGAGAGAGATCACGTAATTTCAAGCCATTTCTCTGATTTTTGTAGACATTGAAAATTGTCTGTTTTTCTTTTTCAATAATACAAAATCATGTAAACTTCTGTTTTTGTCTTTATGTTGCATATATTTAACATAAAGTTGTTAATACATTCATTCAGTACAGGAACTGGGTCCCTGACACACACATTTCCTTATGTAATCTGTACTTTCTCATTGGCTGTACTTTACTTAACCCAACATGCTCCACAACCTGTATTAGGTTTATCATTAATTATCGTTACATGCTATGCAACCCATGCTTTTTTTTTTTTAGTACCAGTGCAGTATCTGCACACTACATCCCCCAGCATGCTCTGTAACCTGTGCTAATTCACTGCATCTCCCTCAATGCTTTGCAACATCATATCAACTGCTGTATGCCACGTCTTCCTTCTTTACCTGTCTCTTGCCAAGTATCACATCAAGCTAAGGTCCAAACCTTCCCCTTCAGGCATTCCTGGACTACTTTTCTCAGTATTGTCTGCCAACTATAGCTAGAAAGCCAAGATGAAACCACTCAGACTTTGTCAGAAGTTGCTTTTATGAGTAAATTATAGTACATTTCCTATGCTTAAATTAAAAGATAACCTGTACTCAGTAACAAGAACTTTTTCTCTTTTTTTAAAGAATGCACTTTCAGCATGCATTGAACAACGTATTTAACCATGTAACTTAAAACATTTTTCTTTAGGTGGGAATGTTAAAACAGTCTCTGGTACACAGATTATTAAACCATTGTGGATTTTTAAAGCATGGTGTTTCTGGCACTGGAAGGGTTAATCCACTTTTTACCCTGTATGAGGGTGACGTTTCTTTGTAATAAGTCCTCAATGAAGGAGTTGGGTTTTCTTTGGCACTCTGTATAAACAAATTTGCCCTCCCCCCAGATTAGGAAGTCGGTTTGTATTGCTGGTCTGGAGTCTGGGTTCAAAGTTTGGCTAGTCCACATGCATCACATGCGTTCTGTAGCAGATCTGTTATATCTGTGTCAGTGGTGGGATGTGCAGTGAGCCCAGCGCAGAGCACAGGATGCTCTGAATTGCCTTCATCAGCTGAAGCCTGGCAAACATCTGCTGGAACAGATGCGGCAGTGGTTCCTGTGGGTTAAAGAAAAGCATGGTGGATAAATGCCATTTACCAGTGTCTTTGGAGAAATAACCACTAAATTTACTGGAAACTCAACACATAGAAATGTGTTATTTAACTGAGCATGCTGCATAACTAAACATGAAGCAACGTAAACAAGATAGTTAAGGGCAGATCACACTGTACTGATGCTGGTGATGTTGACACCTTTTCCTTATTACACAAACATTTCAAGGTGTTCTGTGTCTCTTTCTCAGTACATGGTTTTTTTTTTTTTTTTTTACTAAACTAGAAGTTGTGGAAGGTCAGCAAAGAAATGATACATTTTAGGCCAAAAACACCTAGCTGCAAACTCGTAGAAATCAAATGTTTCCAGTTTGTCTATTCATGTCTAGAATATGGATTTCTTTGTCAATTAGCCACAATTTCCAGTTTAGAAAATAACTCCACCAGTGCTCTGTACCAATTTCTCAATGTGAATGACCTATGACTCTCTTCTATCTGATCCACTTCCTTTGGTTAAAACATGAAGTAAGCTGAGCTACGAGGCTGATAAAGGTAGAATAATACTTCTGGATGGGAGAAAAGGTGCAGACAGTGAAGTTTTAAAGTGATATTAATAGACAAGTTATTTTCAAAACCATAACTGATAACGCACACCTTGTAAAAGAAACCTAAAACTGTATATCTGTGAAATAGCTCCAGCCTTTAATAACACGTTATCTTTTAGCTCAGTCACAGATTTTTCAGGTGCCTTCATGCTTAAAACGTTGAAATCTGTTCAGATTTTTGTCATACAAGCCCTACTGAAGTCTGCTCCTATTTACATTACAATTGTAGCTAAACTGAGTTTTTCAAAAGTGTCTGAAATGCTGACAACCTCAAAAATGAGCAGTTGAAGAGACCTCCCAAAGTGTTTGGGTTTTAGGTATGGGGGTTTTCTTAGTTTGTTGCAAAATTGGAAAGCCCTTCAAATTATTTTTTTTATTTTTTTAACCTGTTTGATCAACTGCAAAAAAGAGATGTGACAAAGGCTGAACCTGATGGATGCATGTCTCTTTTCAGCCTATGGAACTATAAGTAAGAAGTAAAATCTTTTTTTCATTAAATTCTAAAATATTGTACAACGCTGCAGAATATGTTGGTGAGAAACAAATAGTAATAATATTGTCACTTACCCCGAGAATATGAACTCTGTTATAATAAGAACTGAAATCCATGCTTAGATTCACCAGGAACTTGCACACCTAGAACAGACAGATCCAGACAAAACACTATTAAAGCTAAACTGCAACTACAGAGGTATCATCAGTAGTAGCTGATTATTTGTCGACACCAGGGTACGGCAATGCTTAAAACAATTTAGCTGTAGATTGGTTTCTTTTGTATTTGGCACACCAACAAGACAAGTCCATCTCCTTGTATATTAATTTTTGTGTAAACACCTGTAGATGTAAGTTTCTAATAATGTATGCAGACTTCAATGTGCTCAAGGTCTAGCAGTTAATGCAGAGTTCAGTCAACTAAAATGCTAGTAATGTGTACTGACATCAGTCTCATATTGACAAGTAAAAAGATAAAAAAAACAATTGAAAAAGCCATACTGGTGGAAACGTGTTAATGGATGTTACTACTTTGTATTTTAACTATTAAAGGACTTTGGTCACTATACTTGCGTGCTGTGCCAATAACCATTTTTATTTAGTTTTAATACTGTTTTCATACTTCCTGGCATCTTTTATCTCTACTCCAAAGCAATCCTAAATGGGGATCAAACCACCAACACTGTCATCATAGAGCAGTTCGTCTGCTCTATATTTGTGAGTATATTTTAACTATTTTTATCATATACATCACTTGTTTTATTAAAAGCACTATCTGTCTATTTCTCCCGGGGTTCCTGTCATCGTGAACCAAATGGACACCTCCAATATATCTTATTAGTGGTGATTATACCACCGCACGCTATACACGCTAGAGCTGGCTAAGGCTCTATGAAATTGCATAATTTCTGACCCTTTAATTGTAGAAGGTAAAGCAATTCTGAAGTAATCACTTATGTAACTGGTAAAATGTTTTTTGCTAATTGATCCATAATTAGTGCTCTACCCCACAACTGCCCTTTAAAAATATGCCCTCTAGTGTAGATTCACATCCAGTAAACCTAGTCGGGTGTATGCTGTGCAAACCATCAGTAAAGAATAACAAACTCAAATGATCTTGTTTGAAAAAACAATAATGGCATTTGCAAAATCATTCTAGTATTGTATTTGTGGAGATTATACATGAAACCGATAAATAAACTCACAAAAACATAGTGATGGTGTGATCCATTTAGCCCTCATTAAAGTAAAAAAATATTGTATTGCAGTATCTTGTAATACTTATTTGTTGTTGTGGATAAACAGAATTTTATGAAAGCAAACTTGCAAGAAAGCCTCACTTTATCAAGCATAAAGCATTCCTTAATAAATGGAGGATCTCCCCAAAGAGAATAATTCAAAAATTCTGTTACTCGAATAAAAAAAAATACATATTATATCTAATTATGCATATATTAATAATTTCATGATAATAAAGTGTGTAATTCAGGCAACAGAGTTTTTGAACCAGACATACCAAAAAAAAAAGTGTATCTTACCGCTTCTGTGTTGGCCGTAACCCGGATCCCTGGGGATGCTAGTGAAATCTGTGCAGAATGAGTGAGGACCTCTGGGAAAGTCATGATATAATTAAACAGCAGGAGCCATTCCCCCTGTGTGACATAAATACAGAAGACGTGATGGTAGCATTGTATGACTTGGAGAGAGATCTGTCTCTAAACACAGAGCACAAGCCAAAACAGAATATGATATGGGTTTCTTCCATACCATTGCTTTTAGCTTTTGTTGCATCTATATTTCTTTTCCAGTGGGAATCGCAGCAAATAGATGATTTAGTAAGAAACCCACATTAGAGGCTACGATACATTTTACACAGATGAAATCTGTGTATGGTGTTAATTCCTTATCCTGAGATCACCTCTGTTCTGAAGCTGCCAGAACAGATCAGATTGCACGCAGCTAGGGGAGTAAATTCACTTTAAGAAACCATTACGCAAACCTGGCCAAGAAGGATGTCCACACTAAGTTAAAGATTTTCAATGGTGCAAGGGCCATGGTTTAAAATATACACAGATTAGCAATGTTGTAAACATGCTTGCCCACCATACCTCCCCTGTTGACTATGTTTGGCATTGAAAATATGAAATGACCTTTCCAAGATTAAAGCGCTGAAGACTGCCATTTGGTCATAGAGTTCAGATGTCAGAAAGGTAGGCATAACCATGAACTTCCCCTAAACTCACCTCTTCAGTTAAAGTAGAGTAGTTTATGTCTCCAGAAGGTGGGAATGTTGGGTATGAGCCTAAATAACAGAAATCAAAATGCCTTTAATATTATAAATGCATGCGTCTAATAACAGTATGATAAATCTTGCTATAAAACATTGGGTTTGATTTAGAAGCCATAGTTGTTAATTGTTTTCTGGTGACACTGTAGGGCAGAAGGTTAGAAGTGGATGTTCGCAGCAGAGTTCAAGTACAGGAGTGACTGATGCACATTTTAAACCAATATTTTATATAAATGCAATCTACAGAAGAATAGTAAAAGAGACACTCCATATCCAAAATAGATTTTAAAAATATATTTTTCTTTAAATCACTGTTTAGTGTACATATACCCAAAATGAAAACATGCATGCAATTAATAATGTATTTTTTCATATATATGTATAAACAGCTTGCAAAAGCAGCAGTTATCTTGTCTGTAGCCTTTGCAAGCCCTCCCCTTCTAAACCTGCCCAGACTTTCTGGTGATGTCAAATCACAGACTTCCCAATGCAGCTCATACCTACCTCTTGAGTTTAGCCCCACTGAGCTAACAAAATCAGAAAGTAACAGGACGGCCAGGGGGTGTAACAAGATTAATTTATAAAAGTGCCAATTTTTGTTGAAACCTTCACTTTTTGTAAAATGCAGTAGGGGGAAAAAAGAAGACACAAACTGATGTGCTTTAGAGGTTTGGAGTGTCCCATTAACATTTACATGGCCAACCATTAGTTCTACGAATAACAGAATCACACTATTCCTCAAGTCCTCTAGAGCAGTTATAAGTAGATTAAGAAATGCCCAGTCCACAAAACCATCTTGCAGAAAATAGTATATTTTGGGGGGAAGACACATGGATGATTTGGGGAGATTGTGAGAGAAAAGGAGACTAACAGCTATCAAAGTTGAGGTAGCCACATAGGACCAGGGTTTTGGCATCCCGCAGTCCTATATTGTGCAGGAGGTTGGGCACTATTATTTTTAATAAATCCATAGAGATTGGGCACCCTATGGTCATAACAATACTTCTGATTATTATCAGCTATATAGTGACAACATTTTCTGCAGGACTTTACATTTACAGCTTGATGTAGTGGTTATGATGTGAGGAGTACCCTGCCCCTCTGTCCTGGTAAGGATGCAAAGCATTTTGGAATGGTTTGTCCTCTTATCTGGGTCCCTCTTGTTATGGGCTATCTAGTGCCGCATCAATGACAAAGCCAGATGACACCACTGGCAGCAAAAGGATGTATATAAAGACTCCAGGACCACTTTAAGTCACTCAAGTGTTCATGGTGCTTGGAGTAACCCTTTAACAACAAGCAATTGACAGACAAAAATAATGTTGACAGACACAAACAGTTAAGAATGCCCTGCTTACAACCTAGGAAGAAGGGGTAAAAACATCACAGGGTGATAGGGCTGGGGGCATTATTAGTACTGAAGGAGTGGCTGAAAGTGTCACTTGGCTATTTCTAGTTAAATTCTGGGGTATCACAGGGTGAGTTGAGTATTTTACTTTTCTAAGGAACAGGAAGCATTACGGCTGCAAATATCAACAGTTTTTTGATTAACATCAAAACACACCAATTTTCACCAGTGTTATGTGCTTCTAATAGGGAAAAAAAAAACATACAATGGAAGTGCAACGTAATACGCAAACATCAGACTACTCAAGCTAGACTACTGATCATGCTAGACAATCGAAAAGGGTGTATTTTCTGACTGACAAGCATTACTCATTTTATGACGTATGCTGATTTTAAAGCCAGTTGGTAAATCCCACCCATTATTAATATGTTTAAGTAAATTTATAAATTAATAGCCTTTCCAAATCTGACATAATAAAGTTAATGAAACACAAGGTTTTCTGTTTGAATATTGATCTAACACTTGCATCTCTTTAGCTAATAAACTCCAGTGATTATGTACCTTGAGTGACTGCGTTGTTGTAGCTTTCAAACATGGTTGCAAGACGTGCGCAGTTATACATCACAAATGATCCACTCTTTGTTCCCTTGGTAGTGATGTTAGCATCTTCTAAATCCAAGGTTACCTGGAAGAATGCAGAGAAATAAACGTCGGTAGTGATGACTCCAGAAACTAGTCTTACAGCAATTTTTCTTGACATGGAAACAGGATACATGCCTGGACAGAACATTTGGAATAGAAATAATCACCATTTTATCCCCAAACCATGCTTTAAAAATAGTGTCATTTTAACCAAACACATTCTCTCACGAAGATATATTTTTATATTTTGTTTAAAATATTACCTGGCTGCGGTGAGGTGTAGACATCATTTCAAAGTGGATAGCTGCTGAGGTTAAAGAGTTAATTATTTCATCCCAGCTGTTACCTGCACAATACAGAATATACACATCAAAATTCTGAAAACTATGCTAAGTATTAAAGCATGATATGTACGTTAACTGATCTACCACTGTCCCATTATGCCTATTTGGGTACTTGCTTTCTTGATGAAGCTGATGGAATTATTTAGAGACAGCTGAGACAAGAGCAAACATATAGGATACTATTTTTACAGAGCAGATCTGTATGATTTGTAAAAATGTACCCAGCTGATTGCTACACTTTTAGAACTATTTCACCAAAAAGCTTGTAGACACTGGGAGTGGCTATTACCTTAGTGTGCACCCTAGTCTTCAGTTATAGCACTGGTGGCACACGGGAGAAGAGGTTAATATTATCAACAGCCCCTACAGAACCTAAATAAATCATTTCAGTATGATAGTCACAGTTACAAATACTGAGAATCTGCTTCATTGCCAGTATGAATGAATGAAATACAACATAACCTGAAGAGAATTGTAAATGGCCAGGCTGGGAAAATTACTGTTGGAAGCCCGAAGCTTGCAATTTTCTACAATTCTCCACAATTCCTGGTTTAGTAAATAGACCCTGTAGTATTAAACTTTAATAAGAAAATGAATTATAGCAAAGCATCTTAGACAATGTTGCATATGAATAAATGATGGAAAAGCATATTAGGCAAACCTTGTACGACTTCACCATATTTCATGACAGAGGCTTCATGCATCTGGGATTTCCTGATCCTATAGTAGAAAACCAAAATAATTGTAAAATTATATAAGCACATTTATTTTCTTAATAAGCAGTGGTACATGCCATCTATAGTCCTGTACATGAATGGAGAATGTCTTACTGAAAATACTGAGGGCAGCTGACCAGCATCGATGGATTCAGAAGTTTAACTGGACCACAGATCAGATGTTTCTGCAACAGATTAAATAATATTTTGATAAAACACAGCAAAGAACTGGGGAAATATATGTATAAATGGCATGTTTTATGGATTGTGAAAATTATTATAAACACCAACATATATCACAGCACTGTACAATAGGTGGAGTAATAACGAACAAGGCAATTCGGAACGTTCAGCAACAAAAGTTGCGGCATGACTTGCTTAAATTAGCTCACATTGTAAGGCTTAGTGCGGTAAAATGACAAAAGAGACAAGGGTACAATTATCTATTTTTGGGAAAAGTTGTTTGCTAGAGATTTTACAATAAAGTCAATGTTTAGATGATGAGGAGACAAAGTTAAACAGGTTAGCGAGGTAAGAAGTGGGATAGGGAGTTTATTTTTTTAATTAAAGTAATTGAGACAGGGGTTGAGTCTAATGGAGCGGGTAGGCAGCAACTCAAGAAAAGTCTTGGAGAGAGTCAGAGGTGTGTGTATGAATAGAGGACACACGCAAGTCTCTGTAAGAGTAGAGTGGTCTGGATGGCAGATACTTATGAATTAATGATAGGTTGATAGAAACAGTGGTTTCTAAGTAAGGACTAAAATTTTAAATTTAATCCTAATTCTTAAAGGAACAAACCAAGCACCATAACCATTACAGTAAACTGTAGTGGTTATGGTGCCAGAAGTGCCCTGGAGCCCCCCAATATAAGTTGTCAAACAGTTTGGTAACAATTTGACATACCTGGAGTCCCTGGGACATAACTTTCTGGAGTCCCTGGGATGCAACTTCCTGCCTTTCTGAGCTAACCCAGAGGTGCAGAGTTTAGCTCATTTGCTGAGAATGATCAGCTGATGCTCTTAGTCAATGAGCCATCCCTACACTCCAGGAAGCTTCTAGCAAGAGCTTCTAACTCACAGGACCACAATAAGAGGGGTATGCAGCAGCAGCTAACAGTCACCAGGTAAGAACTCAAACCATTACCATATGGTTTAATTGATTACACTGGCCGGGTGCTAGGGTACTCCTGACACCATAACCACTATAACATGCTGTACTTATTATGGTGCTTGAACTATTGCTTTTAGGAACAATACTAGCGCTAATTTGATCAAACATCTTCTAATGGAAATGTATATCTATTCTCCAGTTTCCTTTGAATCACTGTATCTCCACAAAGTTTATACAATGCATTTTAAACTCTAAATCCATTGCATGCACTCACAGTGTGTGTGAAATGAATGATTATTCCTCTAACCCTTCATATAAAGTGCTATGGCCATGCAATTTCTGCATAGTACTGTAAGTACCTGTAAGACTGCTCTGGCCCTAGGATCCAGAATCCTCCACAGAAGATCCAGCTTCTGCTGATGGAACTCGTCCTCACAGCTCACAATGTGTACCATAGTATAATTCATCTCATCCTGAAAAGAAAAAAGTAATTCGTTTGGAAAAAGTATCAGTAAAGGTAAAAGATCTTGGTAAGGGAATATCCACGGAAAAAGCAATAGTCTCTTCTATAACGATGCACTTAAAATGGACAAAAAAAAAAGCATTCTTTTTAGTCCACAAGGTTTTTAACATGGCTATAGCAAAAAAGGTAAATAGTTGAGTTTAAATGAACACTGAATCTCTATGGGGAGCATTCAGCGTGTCTATGCTCTGTAATGATTGCAAGAGGTGCTACTAGGTAGCAATGTAAACACTGTCTTTTCTCTGAAAACACAGCCAAAACCACCACATTAAAGGACCACTATAGTGCCAGGAAAACATACTCATTTTCCCGGCACTATAGTGCCCTCACCCTCAGGGTCCCCCTCCTGTCGTGCTCTGGGGAGAGGAAAGGGTTAAAACTTACCTTTTCTCCAGTGCCAGGTGGGGAGCTCTCCTCCTCCTCTCCTCCCTTTCGGCTGAATGAGCACGCGCATTCAGCCGGTCTCATAGGAAAGCATTCATAATTCTTTCCTATGGACGCTTGCGTGTTCTCACTGTGATTTTCACAGTGAGAATCACGTAAGCACCTCTAGCGGCTGTCAATGAGACAGCCGCTAGAGGCTTTGGAGGAAGGATTAACCCTAACATAAACATAGCAGTTTCTCTGAAACTGCTATGTTTATTTAAAAAAAGGGTTAACCCTAGCTGGACCTGGCACCCAGACCACTTCATTAAGCTGAAGTGGTCTGGGTGCCTAGAGTGGTCCTTTAAGCAGCAGTGGTTCTGGTGATCATCGGTATAGAAAATTAAGATATACAGAAGATCACTAAAAATCTTGTTTTGATATATTGCGAGTACATTACGCAGCTACTACAGGAATAGGGCTAAAGGGGTGGTAGTACTACCACAAGCTCATCAATTAACACGTTAAAGAACGCGACTATTCTTAATCATTCGTTTTTATTCCAATCAAAAGTTTTAAAAAAGGTTTTGACCAAGTCTGGGATAAAGTAGAATATATATTTTTTAAGATAGGTCATTTAACCACAAGCAGGGCAGTACCAAGTTTTATTATGGTGCTTGCAGACTGTCCTTGTTGTCAGATATCATGATCATCTAATAATGTTTAAAACACTGACTGATAATATGTTTGCCCAATCAACATGATTATATCCCCTCCGCCTTCTCTCTCTCTTTCGTATACTCACCATGTTTTCTAATACAATATAAACTATTTACATCTAAAAAGCTGTCATTAAAGCTGTGCATTAATCAACATATACCTTCAAAAACATACCCTCATTTTACACCACTCGACAAGTATTTCAATTTTTACCTCAGTCACAAAAGAGCAATACTCAATATTATAAGCTTGATGTCACTTTATTCACTATATTGAATAGTGGCGAAGAACCTTGCAGTTGCATTCCTTTCTAGTATGACTTAAAAGAATCAACTGTGCATAGTGCTTACAATTAAAGAAATGTACAATATATCAAATGAAGCAAACAAAACAAGGTTTGTGCTTACAATATATTAATCCTCCAAAACACTGAAAAGAAATGTATGAACTGAAATATGAATGAAGTTCATGACCATCTAAACCAAGCATGTCTAACCCCCCCATGCCGCATGTGGCCCACAATGGGGCCGCGAGTGCATGCTCAGTGTTATAGCAGAGTAGGCACCTGCTTTCCCCATATTGCAGATGTCTACTCTGCTTATATTTACCCGGCTGTGGAGGAGGGCCAGCGAGGGAGCTCAGTGTTCCTGCTCTCCACCGCTCCCTCGCGTAAGCCATCTGTCTGTAGTGAAGCTGGGTGCCAGAATATGATGTCATATGGAGGCGAGGGAGCAAATAGAAGATCCCCAGGGAGAGGCCCCACATCAGCTCCAAAAAGTGGGGAGCAATAAAGAAAATGATGTGAGTGCAAGAATGTGTGTCTGTGTGTGTGTGTCAGTGAGTATGTGTCTGTGTGTGTTTCTGTAAATGAGTGTGTGTGTGTGTCTGTCAGTCTGTGAGTGTGTCTGTCAGTGAGTGTGTGTATATATCTGTCTGTGTCTGTCAGTGAGTGTAAGTGTGTGTTGGTCAGTGTTGCATTGGCTGCGACTGGAAAGTGGAGGTGCATGGAGACACGCAACGCCACGTCACAGTCCAACGTGACATTGACGTGCTCCACCTTCACAGGGTTTCAAGAAGTAGCGGGAGGATCAGATTTGGCACAGGATGTGGACAGCGCCATTTGGGGTATTCCAGAGGCCGGACTCCAGAATCGCATACTGGCAGCGGCAATGTGAGTGGAGTCTGCTTGTTTGCTAGAGGTGGGTACTGGTATTTAGTATATGGGGGGACTGGGATTTAGTATAGGTGGGTGCTGTGGTTTAGTAGAGGGGGATGCTGGGGATTTATTTATACTGTACTTTCAAAATAAACCTACGTTTCTATGAAAATGTAAGTTTTTTTTTTTTTTATTTGCGGCCGCATGCTAGACTTTGAGTTTGACATGGTTGATCTAAATCAATCTTAGTGTGGTTCTTTTCTCCACTGAATACCAGCTTCACCGGTCCACTGGAGCAAGAATTAACATGAAATATGTACTTATTTTGTACCTGAGATGCCAGGTATCTTCCTACAATATATTGTGAACATTTTGCTATCACTCACTTCTATCTGGTTTCATTAATAAGTTTTAATGTTTCAATGACATGCAGGATTGTCATATAATAAGATTTGCCTTAAACCTTTGTCCTTGGTATTGTCCTGTCTTTGTCAGCCACACACTCTCTTGATATTTTACTTTTATTAATATGTCCATGGAGAGATTTACTAAATCTTCAAAATAAAGCAAACGTGAACTAATGTTTCTAGGATAGGGAAATAAGTTGGTGGAACTTGGTGTGTTTACACCTAATAATGGATTATTGTGGTATAGATTCAGGGCGCAATACCAAATCAGTAGGTACTTACCATGCTTTCCTGGATAGATCTTTGCAGGGTTGCAACATGTGTCAGGTCCACCTTGCTTACTAAAATGAAGACCACAGGATTCATGTGAATTGTATGTATCATGGTATGGTATTATTTATGCTTATTACATCATTATTTACAAATAGTAAAACAAGGTTTGTTCGAAAACTTGTAGCACACTCGTTGACTTATCTGTATGAGACGAGAGAGTGCGTGCTTTTTTTTTTTCTTTTTTCTGAACGCTGCCTTGTCATCACTCAAGAAATCTGATATAAAAATGTGAAATTGACTTTCCTAACATTGATGTTTTCATCTTTAAAGAACTTCTCCTATGACAGCCCCTTTAGATAGCTATATATATTTAATCTATGCGTTGTGCTGGCCAGATTGCCAACAAATGCAAAAATGAAAGATAGGAGTATCTAAAGTGTGCACCGAAATCCTAAATTATGTCAAACACAGATGATACACAGAGATGCATGCATATAACCCTGCAGTGGCTATTACATTAGTAACAAAAATTTCGATTGGTGGAGCATTTAATTTGGATACCATAGAAGCAGGTCCTGGCGGGGTCAACAGTTTATGATATCTACTCATGTGAGCTCCTGTTATTTTTATTGGAGTTATTAAAAATTAAGAACATGACAGGCTTTTTCTTTACCAAGGAATGTGTCCAGGTTTGGGTCATATCCTTCCAGGCATAAATTATGTTTCTCTGCAAATGGCTTCAAGCGAACATTGTAAAGGACAGATGGTGGCAGCTCTTTCTGGTTTGTATCGCTATCACTGGAGTAGACACTCTGCTTCAGGTACTGTTCAAAATGTGAAACTGCCTCTTCGGTAGATAGTGCATCCGATGCCGAGGGCCATGACACCCCGAACTGTTGCAGGAAGACTAGAAGCTCCCTGTTGTGCACTGCAGGAATCAAGTGGACTTTCTGCCTGAAGCAAGATAGAAGAAAATAGATTGAAATATTCCCTTAAAATCTCATATGCACTGTTTTCTAAAGGGAGAATCCTATTTTCCTTTGTATTTTGCTTTCCTCCAATCTTATATTGACTTGATATTATCTGTGTGACCTTTCTTTCATGCATTTAGTATAAAATGCATAGTTTTATGTTTTTGTTTTTTCAGGGCTCTTACTTGTAATAATTCTGTACTTCTGATGTTGCATTGATTTTTGTTAAATTCTGGTATCTTCTAGTGACAACTACACAACCCTTAACATCACTACCAAACCTAATGGCACAAATACGTGAATATGGGGAGGTCTCATACTAGAAGTTAAATATCACCAAGACACAAGCCCTGGGGATGGGACTGAGCACGGACTTGATGGGCAAACTGAAGACAGCATTCCCACTGGACTGGAGAAACGACTACTTGACGTTTCTGGGACTTAGGCTTCCCAAAAACTCAGTGCATCTCTTTAAACTAAACTACGAGCGCTTACAAACAGAAATTATAGACACCATGCAAAAGTGGAAGGAAAATTTATTTCATGGACAGGCCGTATAGCAGCGGTAAAGATGACACTCATACCCAAAATCCAATATCTCTTTCGCACACTACAAATACTCATCCCGAAACGTTTTTTAAAAAACATGCAACACATCCTAAACACATCCATATGGGAAGGAAAAAAGGTACGAGTAGCAGCAGGAACACTACAACAAACAGTGAGCAAAGGCGGGATGGGCATACCAAATCTAATGGCATACTGTGGGGGGCGGCATACCTACACAATATAGCCCAAATTAACCTCCCAGTCCAAGCCCCACAATGGGTAGCAATAGAATCCCACTGGGCTCCCCAACACGACCTCCGAGCAGTATTATGGCTACAGAAATGCCCAAAACTCATACGAGAGACTCTGTTACCAAGCACACGGAACCTGTTGAGGGTGTGGAGCACAACGAGGAACAAACCAGTGTCTAACCCTAAGCTACCCATGGCCACGCCAATACAAACAATAGGCATGGAAATACCCACATTTCACTGGAACATCTGGAGGAGAGGGGGAATCCACCACATATACCAGGTCATTGACAGAGGCAAACTGAAAACACTACCAGCCATTCAAGCAGACTATACACTACCCACCACAACCACATTCTCCTACCTGCAGCTCGAATAATATGTGGCAGGCAAATTAAAAAACCGACCGGGAATAGATGACGAAAAAACCATGACGAACTTTGAACGACAATGTGTAAGAACAGCACCACTAAAGAAAGCAATGTCCTGGGGATACCATAATCTAGTCTCAAAACAAACACACACACTAGAGCAGATCAAAAATGACTGGCACAGGGAAGTAGGTCAGACATTCTCAAATGAAGACTGGGACAGGTCATATTCGGCCCACCGAGGGCTCACAGCGTGCGCCACACACCTAGAACTGCAGCGAAAAATAATGTACCGATGGTACTTGGTACCAGCAAAGCTACACAAAATATGGCCCCAAACAACTCGTGCTGGAGGTGCGGGAGGGAGGTGGGTACGATGCTCCACATCTGGTGGTCTTGTGACAAAATAAGCCCATTTTGGGAAGCGGTGACCCAACTGCATCAAAAGATATCACCTAACATAAGGTTGGATAAGCCACAGGAGTGTCTACTGTTCATGTTACCACTCCGCACCCCAAAGCAAATTAGAATCATTATGTACCACACCTTGATATCGGCAAACTTGCTGGTATCCAGGCTATGGAAAAAAACCACAACACCATCAATAGCCGAGCTGATGAGGCAAGTAGATGAAAACTGGACATACGAATTAATGGCAACGACACAATTTGGTAACCGCCCGAGCGTAAGAGCAGCCCACAAGACGTGGGAAAAAAAAATCACGAAACCCACTAATATCCAACGGGACACAGACCCAATCTCATCCCCTCCACCCCCCGCCCAAAGAGCGAGCGAATGCACCACACGACAAATGATACATGGAGGAGTATCGTGCACCAACATATAACAAACGGAGAGATAAAAATTCAGATATAACCATAACCAAATAGAGAAGTACACGCACCACCGAGAGACAAGGCGAATAAATATATAGCCATTTAAGCAACAAAGCGCCTCTCCCCAAACACGCTTCATGCTACACAGGCTCGAAGAAAGACTTCGGCGAGTTTGTAGTTTGGTCAATTGCTTGTAAGCACTAAAAGTCACTTCTGTATTTATCACAAGGAATGCTGAGTATTTGTTTGGTTTCTTTTGATATGTTATATATGTTTCCTCTGCTCTGCAACCTCATCATTTTTATTTATTTTAATCTTTTGATGTTTTCATTTTTTTCAAGTGGACAGAGAGAAAATTTCCTTAGACATTTACATTTTACTTTCTAAAGTACAAGCATAAAAAAAAAAACAACAACACACAATTCAACTGTAAATAAGGATTACAAGGTAAAACTGGTAAATCCCTCACCCTCTCAAACGCAGCAACTCAGCAAAATGATCTGCAACAAGAACAGCTCTTAAGTGGCTTAGTTTGAATGTGTTCAGGCCCTCCCATGAATGCAAAGGGACACAGTTCAGTATTACAATATTTGGCTCATTATCAGAAGCCACTGGTGCGTGTTTCAAGTATGGAGAAAAGTCAGACAGCACTCGGTGGAAGACAGCCGTCCGATCCAACTGTATGACAAGCCCTGCTTCATTCTGCAGGCATCTTTGGATAGGAGGAACTCCACGTCCATTCAAGGATGACAATTTCTGTATAAGTTCTTCAGGAACCTGAAATCAAACAAAACTTTCGATTACTTTACTCTATAACAAAGGCAAATATGTGACAACAGTTATGCAGCTTTCTAGCCGGTTAAATAACCAACCTCTCCACAAACAACACTTTTTAGTACTTTTTATATAACATTTCAACATACTCCGCAAAGGTGTAAAACTGGTTTCATATTTAAAAAAAAAAAAAAATGAAAATCCTGTTAGATTCTTATTAATCATTACTTGGGCAGAATGAAATAAATAAATAAATAATAAGCTGACATTATTATATAAACATCAGTGAGAGGAGAGGTGCTAATTTGTTATTAGGTGTTTATTATTATTATTATTATTATTATTATGTATTTGAACCCCTTTTCTTCCTCCCTCCTACATAGGCCGGCTGTGTTGCCCCCTCCCCACGGTTCCCTGATGCCTTAGAGGCTTAGCCCATGATGCCCACCTTTCCATCAGGGAAGGATTTCTTTAGAGCTCCATTAGGGACCAGGAAGTCTCTGCTTTTCAGATTCCTCTGGCTGCTTTCTTTGAACCAGACCATAGATGGGGTCCCTGCACTTTGCATTACAACGCTCAGGGCCCTCAGAGCCTCCGAGATCCACAAGGGCTCCGCGCAGCAGCATCCCGTCTCCATGGTGACTCCAGAGCAGCAACCAGGAACCTTTCTGCACCAGCTTCTCCTACCCGGGGGGAAGTGTCCGTCGTAGGACTTCACGAAGCGGTCACCTACCGGAACAGGATGTGACGCCAGAGACCGCGTTGTTTTGGTCGCCATGTTGGTTGTGGCATTGTTTGCGATACTATAACATGATGATTTATTGTAAAGCGACACGGGCGGAAGTGCACCGTCATGTTTAAAACGATTGCTTTAACAAATGTTTACCCCTTCTCCTTCTTAAATGTTGGTGGCCAGCAGCACTGTTGTGTAGTGTATTGGCCATGGGTTCCATGCTCAGTGTGGAGTTTGCATAGCACTCAGCATTAAACCCATGGGCAGTAATACATAGTGTGTCTAATACAGTATAAGGCATTCTTCACAAGTGCAGCCCCTACTGTGGGGAGCCAAATACCTCCTTTGTAGGAGCTGAGTGTTCTTGGTGTGTCTGAATTTATTACAGAGCTCCTCAGCAATAATACAGTAATGTGGCTTCAAACTACAACACGTGTGTACCAAAATAAAAACATTATAGTTGCATACATTGTTACTAGTAAGGCACCTAAACAGCCCAGTCCATGGCCACACTCACACCCCTAAAATGAATGAGTCCCTCTTTGTCCATTTGAGATGATAATGTACTGTGCATGCCATGGGCACCAGAGAGAAACCTGGGATGTCAGGACAGCAGTTTCCCTTCCACCACCCCAACTAGCCTCTTTGGAGATTTAATAAATAAAACCATTTGACCCTGATTGACTGACACACACTTTTCTCAACTAATTCTACTTAAAAACAAAGGGGACATGGTAGGGCTGGCTTATAACGCGTATTACCTGCTGTGCTACCTACAGGTTATAGAATGGACTAAGGAGGGTTCACACAGACAATGGAAGCAGATATAGGGATCCTGTTGTGGCTTTTAGTAGAAGAATGAAGCTAGTTTGTACACAGCCATAGGATAGGGCCACCTTGCCCTGAAATATGAAATAGGATCTTTCTACCTTTCCCTCCCCAATGCTACCCTTGGTCCACAACCCTGACTTCCTTCCCACCTGATGCTCAAACTTCAATAATATAGACAACTACAACACTATACTCAAATACACCCCCGGAAGTCAAATGCCAACACTACAGACAAATGTACACCTGCATTCTAATGCAAATCCTACATACAAACACACCCTTGCACTTAACTGCAAACATTACACTGAAACACACCCCTGCAGTCAAATACCAACACTACAAATGTACACCTGCATTCTAATGCAAACAGTACATACCAGCACACCCTTGCATTTAAATGCAAACATTACACTGAAACACACCTCTGCATTCAAGAGCCAACACTACACCCAAACACACGCCTGCATTCAAACACCAACACTACACACACATACACACCTGCATCTAAATTGCAACATTACATACAAGCACACCACTGTCTTTAAATGGCAACAATACATTCAAGTACACTCCTAGATTAACACATATACTAAACACAAAAATCTGCTTACATGTAGTGGGTGCAAGGTGTGTTTGCTTATAGTGGATGCAGAGAGTGTGTGTGAGAAAAGTGGGCACAGTGTGTATAGTGGATGCAGTTTGTGTGTGTATAATGGATGCTGTGTGAGTGGTGGATGCAGTGTTTGTATAGGAGTAGTGGCTGAAGTGTGTGTAGTGAATGCAGTGTCAGTGTTTGTGTAGTATGTGTGCTTTTTGTAGTTTTGGATAAGAGCTGTGGGGCAGTGAGCAGTTTTTTTAAAATTCATATTTGGGTTTATTTTCCCATCTCTGCCTCTTACCTCTGGCCGGGGTGGGGGAGAGGGGAACACTAGATTCCCTGGCGGTCCGGTGGCAGAGCAGGATGTATAGAGAAGAGGGCACCCAGGAGATTCCATGATCCACCTCCGGCAGCCAGGCAGCAGATCCTCTCCTTCTCTCGTGAATTTGTGAGACCAACATATGTTGCATGCTGCCTGGAGCATTACTATGGCACCCTGCCACACCACTACAGTTGCGGCTCATGGGAGGATACTGCCAGAGGTGGAAATTGGAGTCTCCTGGGCCCCCTCTTCATTATAGAAGACAGCAAGAGCCCACAAGTGCATATATATTAGTGATGCTCGCTATATATATGCACATTGGGGGTATAGGTGCCCGGACCTCATACAGCTGAATTGGCAGTACACCCTTGATGGTGGACCTGCTTCTACAAAATTAGAAAAAGTAACAATGAAAAGCAAATGATCTCCATGGAGATGTTTTTGTAAAGCAAATGTGAATAATCCTTTACATATATTCAGGTCACACTGGTTAATTTATCTTTTGGTTTTTTTTATGGTTGTTGAAAAACTTGTTTGTGTAGGTGTTAAAATTAGATGCTTCTATTACTTCTGTCATGAGGCATTGCAGCTCAGGTCATATCAGGTTATTAGTGGTTGCCTTTTGTTTTGTGTGTTTTGTTTTTAATTCGGATAATAGTATTTTTTTTTCTCAGAAAACTGAATTTAGGAGACATCTACTCCAACATCTTATCTGTAGGCAGGCAATGGTATTCCTGACTTGATGGCACCACATATGAGCTAGTGTAAATTTAGGACCTACGTTTCGTCCTACCATCCCAGTTTAATTCGAGGGAATCAAGACACCAAGAAAATCCTGGACAGCATGCAAAAATGTGTCATTGGATGTGCTCACACATGTATAATTTGTTCTTCAGGGTTGTGTACGTAGTTGGCAAAACTATTGTCACGCCTTCATTCTATCCCCTGCTTCCAGATTCAACTCACTTGGGGTAAGGTTTTTGTAACAGAGAGGCTGTGGAATATAGGATTCAACCGCAGACATTAAATCTGTGGGGCATTACAATAACATGTTCCCATTCATGTATTTTAATTTACAGATACATTTAACATACCTACCAACATGTCAGATGGACGCAGAGCAGGATTAATCATAATTCAACAAAGGGGTGTGGCAAGTTTTTAAAACGGTACTTGCTCAAGGGACTAAAGTACTAGCCCAAGCTAATTGTCCTAACAAAAGTTCAAAATGTAAAGTTTGGGACCCTGCTATGGCTTGTTATTGGCAGGGTTATTCACTAAACTGCATTTTCCCAGGGTACTGTAGTGCCAGGAAAACGAGTATGTTTTCCTGGCACTATAGTGGTCCTTTAACTTAATTGACATGATCTACAGCCTTCACACCCTTTTCTATTTTTTAACAGTTAGCGTCCTGTTTGACGCATTGCGCATGGGCAAATGAAGCAAAACTGACACTAGGTGTCTAGACTTATTTAAACTCCTGCAATCTAGTTTCCATGCCATTCTGTGGCTTCCAGACCCTTAAGCTCATACTTTGCATATCTGTGGATTTTCTGGTTTTGACCTGGCTTGGTTTCTTGTCCTGTTTTGTACTTTCTGGTATTCTTGATCCTCCTACTCCTGACTATGATTTTTGTATAATTTTCTGGTTTTGATCAGGCTTGCCCGGACTTGATTTTAGTTTTTACATCCTGTTTTGGTTATACATTAATCTGGTTTGTTAGCATAGCTCTATTACTTCTTCTGTGTAAGCTAACATTAATGGACCACTATAGGCACCCAGACCACGTTAGCTCAATGAAGTGGTCTGGGTGCCAGGTCCAGCTAGGTTTAACCCTTTTTGCTGTAAACATAGCAGTTTCAGAGAAACTGCTATGTTTACCTATGGGTTAATCCAGCCTCTAGTGGCTGTCTCATTGACAGCCGCTAGAGGCGCTTCCGTGCTTCTCATTGTGATTTTCACAGCGAGAGACGCCAGCGTCTTTCCGCGCATGCGCATTCAGCCAGGGACGTCAGAAGAGGGAGGAGAGTCCCAGCGCTGAGGGAGCCCGGCGCTGGTGAAAAGGTAAGTGTTTAACCCCTTCAGCGCCACAGGAGGGGCACTACAGTGCCAGGAAAATGAGTCACTATAAGGTCCGATAATAGTGGTCATTATAAGGTCCGATAATATCCTCTTACTGTGTCTGTGATAGGGGTTGGCTTATATTTTGCATAAGGATCTGATGCATTCGTGATGTGTGTGCTGGCTGTGTTTAGTGTATGGTGATCTGTTTTTCGCACCCCCTATTCTTAACTTTCCTGGTGGATTTTCCTGGATCTATTGTGGTCCAGTAGGGGTCATTTGAAGTTTAAATAAATGTGAGTGTGCACTTATACAGTATTTATTATTTAGTTTTAATGTCGTGGCTGATCGGTTTCTATAACATTTATCTTTTAATATAATATTTACAATAAAAAAAAATTAGATAAAACTACAAGTTTGCCAAAAAAGGCCTGCCTAACATGAAAACTAAAATGGCCTAAATATAAAGTCATATATGAAACTTAGTGGTGCTGATAGTATGGGGTTAGGTAATATAGAAGCCCTGAGTTTTTGTTTTAACGGTCAACCTTCCAGTAATTGGCTAAGGGTGGTGGGAGTTGAACAACCACAACAGCTAGCTGTCTGTATAATGCTTAACTCTGAAAAAAGATAAGGTGCAATCACTCAAGACATTTTGCATGTGTGGCTGCTTTTAGATAAGACTCGTCATCAGATAAAAATAATCTCAAAAGGGCAAAACTTAATACTGTTTTTTATTTTACTATTTACATCTTGACACAGATAGCTGGACATGTGACCTATTATGTGTCTGGTTATTGCATCTGACTTGAATTAATTACATTAGAAATGTAAGATAATCGATTTTTGCAGCTTATGTTTTTTTTTTTCAATGTTTGCAAATTTATTTCATAAAACAAATCCTGGTAATTGTTCAAATCATGAGCTGACAACCTGTGATTCCCAACCTGAACCGCCTGAAGCTTGTGTCTTGTTTGCTTTCCAAACTGTAGAAATTATGAAGCAAGAGTGTAATAACTCATAGAAATGAGTTTTGAAAGTGGTTGAGATCGCAGGTTTTTTGTTGTTGTTTTTTTAAAAATGTGTTTCAATGTGTGTTCTATGAGCTCACAGCAGGAACATGGCACTATTTGTATATTTTCTATATTTTTTATTAGTCAATTTATATTTTTATTTTTACATCTCTCCACTACTTTAGTTATATATACTGGAGAAGCACATAAACATCACAAAACTAAGGAGACAATAAATACAAAATGAAAAGAAAAAAAGACTGTTTTTTTTTTTTTAATCTCTCAGAGACTTCAAAATGGCATGGTCAGAAGGTGTACTACTTCCATTTACTGACACAAATGGTGGACATCGTATTCTAAATACATAGACATTAATATGTAGTTGGACCCCCCTTTGCAGCTCTAACAGCTTCTACTCTTCTAGGAAGGCTTTCCACAAGATATTAGAGTGTTTCTGTGACCCATTTTTTGCTATTAGAGCTTTTATGAGGCCGAGCACTGATGTTGGACGAGAAGACCATGCTTGCAATCTCCATTACAGTTCAACGCATTTGATGGAATTGAGGTCAGGGCGCTGTGCGGGCCAGTCACGTTCTTTCACACCAAACCATGTCTTTATGCTTTGCTTATGCTTTGTGCACTCAGACACAGTCATACTAGAATAGAAAAGAGTCTTCCCCAAACTGTTCACACAAAGATGGAAGCATAGCATTGCCCAAAATTTCTTGGCACGCTGAACCATTAAGATTTACCTTCACTGGAAGTAAAGGGCATAGCTCAACCCCTGAAAAACAACCCCATACCACTATCCATCCTCCACCAAACTTTACAGTTGGCACAATGTGTCTCATTACTTGTGACCCCGCTCTGTGATTTTACATGGTCTTCCACTCTGTGGCTGAGTTGCAACTGTTCCTAAACACTTCCACTTTACAATAATACCACTTACAATTGGCTGAGGAACATCTAGCAGGGATGAAATTTCACCAAGTGACTTATTGCAAAGGTGGCATCCTATCACAGTGCCACGCTTGAATTCACTGTGCATTTTTCACAAATGTTTGTAAATGCATACTGTATGAATAGGTGCTTGTTTTTATATACCAGTGGCAATGGGTCTGATTGAAACACCTACATTCAATAATTAAGGGGGATCCATATAGTGTATATGTGGTAGGGCTGTCCCTAAAATAAAGATGAGTATACTTAAAAAAAAAAAAAGAGAGGATATGTTGAATTACTTTATATAGTTGGTTATCTCATAACTTTATTTAAAGCAGCTTTTTTTCTCTCTCTTTTAGAATTTAGATATGGTGCATATTTTCAAAGTTATCATTAGGAAACGTTGCTGATTGACAACTTTGTGAACCACTATTCACCTCCTTCCAGCGTTGCATTGCTTGCGTGAGCAGTGAGCTATAGATCCTTTCTGGTGACTCTAGCACAATCCCAAGTGTCCATATTTAAAAGGGGGCAATCCCTATTTTGGGCCCAAATCCCTCTCTCTTTTCTGCCCTAAAGTCCCTCTTTTCTAAGAGCTCTATATTGTTGGTGTGTCTGAGTATAACAGAGCTTTACAGCAATAAAACTCATAATAAAGTGTCTTGAATCTACAATAAATGTAGTTTGATATCAGGCTGTGTATCTAGGATACTTTGTTTGTATTCTAAATTACATTTTAGTTGCCTAAATTTTTATTTGTAAGCCACCTAAAAAAAGAAATATCTCAAAATAGGCACACCCGTGACATCACCCCCAGTCACACCTCTACAGTTAACAAAAAGTTTACATATTTGTCCATTTGAAATGTTGGGAGGTACTTCCATTCCAAACTAATTAAGAAAAAAATTTTAAATATATATATATATATATATATACTTGGACTTTTAAATATGATAAAAATGATTGTACACACACACACACAAAGAGTAAGTGTGTATAGTTGTGGCTCAGGCTGATGGGAGTCAGAGTTCCCACTCCTCTCCTTCCTCCCGCACGGCTTCCAGCGGTTGCTGGGAGGAAGTGACCGGGACTGTCACTTCCTCCCAGCTCTGATGTCAACTCATTGCCATTGTGTGGCCCTCACAGCATGGGCCACCCTATGGGCCCCTTCAATGCGGCCCCGGGGGTAATACCGCGTGGTCTGGGGACGTGTTACTTAGCCAGCGGGCACCGCGGTCGCAGGGGATGGGAGTGACGGGTTCGGTCACATCTGCGACGCGGTAGTTCTGCCACTGTGTATGTGGGTAAATGTGTGTGTAAACGAGTAGGTAGCAGCAGTATGTCTTAATAGAACTTTAAAACTAAACTTAAAGGGACTCTCCAGTATCAGGAAAACAAACCGTTTTCCTGGCACTGCAGGTCGCCTCTCCCGCCCACCCCTCATCCCATGTTGCTGAAGGGGTTAAAATCCCTTCAGTGACTTACCTGTATCCAGCGTCAATGTCCCTCGGCGCTGGTTCAGGGTCCGCCCACTCTCCTCCTCCCCTGCTGACGTCATCTGTCGAGGGAGACCTAATGTGCATGCATGGCAATGATGCACACGCGCATTAGACCTCCCCATTGGAAAGCATTGAAAATGCTTTCAATGCTTTCCTATGGGGAATTCTGCAACGGTGGAGTTCCTCACATAGCGTGAGGACATCTAGCGTCGCTATAGCACAGAATCAGCCAGTAGACAGCCACTAGAGGAGTTAACCCTGCAAGGTAAATATTGCCGTTTATGAAAACTGCAATATTTACAGTTGCAGGGTTAAGGGTAGTGGGAGTTGGCACCCAGACCACTCCAATGGACAGAAGTGGTCTGGGTGCCTAGAGTGTCCCTTTAATAGTCCCAGTTCTATTGCTTCTTCTTACCGGTCCTCTCCTGTCTCCCTTCTTAAGCACAGTTCAGGTTCCTCCGACTGAATACAGCCATCCCAAAGTCCTGCTCCCAGTAGACATGGTATAGGGGGTAGGGAGGGGATTTTAACAGGCAGAGCAGACGCCCCCTGCAGGACAGGCATCTGCTCTGCCTAAAAGAAAAGCCCTGGAGGTATGGGTCCATCGGGAGCCTTGTGCGGTACCGAGAAAAAAGTCCTGGCAGGACCAACACAGCATTGGAAAAGGAAAGTTACAATGGTTGTGGTGGTCAGGGAGCTATAAGGACCAGCCGATAAACTAGTGACAGGGCTGCTTTAAATATCCTATTTAAAGCATTATACCAAATAAAAAACAGGGTTTGGGGTTTGAATAACCCTTACTGGTTCCCACAACCAAGGGAAAAATAATAAAGAAAAAAACTTACCACTATGGTTATTATTTATTAAAGGGACACTATAGTCACCCAGACCACTTCAGCTCAATGAAGTGGTCTGGGTGCCAGGTCCCTCAGGTTTTAAAATAGCATATCAATGTTTACATAGTAGGGTTAATCCAGCCTCTAGTGGCGGTCTTCCCGACAGCTGCTAGAGGCGCTTCTGCGACGTTGGATGCGAAAATCGCATTCAGCGTGCAGAACGTCCATAGGAAAGCATTGAGAAGCTGAAGTCAGACGGGGAGGAGAGGTCACCAGTGCCGAGGGAGCCCAGCGCTGGATTCAGGTAAGTGGCTGAAGGGATTTAAACCCCTTCAGCACCACAGGAGGGGGACCCTGAAGGTGAGGATCCCTCAAGGATGGTATAGTGTCAGGAAAACGAATTTGTTTTCCTGACACTATAGTGATCCTTTAAACCTGATTTAACATATTTATGGCAATATGCTAGGATCCTTGCTATGTCATGGATTTAGCAAAATATTCATCATAAAAGGGTTAACACCAAAATAAATAAATAAATATATATATATAAAATAATCAAAACAGTTTTTTTTGTGTGGTGCCCCTAATTTTTATGAGAAAGTTTGGTTTTCTTTTCTTGCCCTCACTTGATCTCCAGTTGCAATACATGTGTTTCCTTTTAGATATCTATTTTTTTAAACGTTCATTTGCTGGTTAACCGTAACACATGCAACTTGCTATCTTACCTTGATAGGTTTACACAGTGTTCTTAGCAGTTACATGATGTCCAGAATGGAGATCATGGTGTATTGTCTCGGAGAATCATCACATGAACAACATAACAAGACTTTGTTTAGACATGTTTATTGTTCAGAATATAAAGGTTTCCTTATAACATAATGAGTATATAAACAATACACAGCTTATAATGCTGTGGTAGGACTGGGTTAAAATAGGAATGTGCACACTGCACAGCAATATTGATCTTAAGTACAACAAGTAAGAGATCTGCAAACAAAGAAAGCTCTTTACGAAATTCCACAAAGTCTTTAAAGTGTTCTGTCACTGGAACTGAAAGACTCTTGTATTTTGTTAAACAATGAGTGATTGGTTGTCTTGTGCGAATACTGATATATTGGTCATAGTATATGTTTAGTACAAGTTCGGTGCAATAAATGGGATAGTTTATAGTTATTTCAAACATACAAAATGAAGCCCTGCGCTCAAACTGTCACTAATCCTGGGTGGCATCAATGACTATAGTACATACCAGCCCCAATACATACAATAAAAAACAAAAAAATAAATAAAAGTTTCTTGCGCACTATCCAAACTCTCTATGCACATTTAAAGTGGCACTGTCAACTCTCCTTCCCATCCTTCCCTCCCCTAAAAAATTTGTATTTCTTAATGATAGTGAAATTCCAACCTATACAAAAGATATACAGAAAAAGTGGGGACTACGTTGTCTCTGCATTTTTTTCTCCACATGACTCCGTGCGGAATCGAAGTGTAAATCCAAACAGCCATCACCAGTGCAGGGAATTGGCTCTGTCTAGAGCGAATCCCAATACTCAGTCCCACTGCTCAATTCTCTGCCATTCAGGAGTGAAAGCACTTTGTTTATGCAGCCACAGCCATACCTCCCTGCATGTGACTTACACAGTCTTTCTAAACACTTCCTGTAATGAGATCTAATGTTTAAACTTCCTTTATTGCAAAGTCTGTTTAGTTTAGAATGTCTTATCTCCTCTACTGTTAATAGCTTGCTAGTCCTTGCAGGAGCCTCCTGTGTGATTAAAGTTCAATTTACAGAGCAGGGGATAAAAACTTCTAAAGCAATTTAACATTGAGCAGTGAAACGGCAGGGGCATGATCTACACACAAAAAACGTGCTTCATTAAAGGACCACTATAGTCACCCAGGCCACTTCAGCTCAATGAAGGGTGCTGGCTGCCAGGTCTTAACCCCTTAACGACGAGTGACGAGGGGATTGCCATAATGACGAGTGACGGACCTTGTCCGTCACCCGTTAAAATTAACCCCGGATCGCCGCTATTGCGGAGATCGCGGGGTTAATGGTGCTCCGGTCTGCCTCTATATTAGAGGCAGACCGGGAGCACCCGATAGTGCTGCCCCAGCACACGTGCTCGCTCCGACAGCATGTCAGAGCGAGCACATGTGCTTAGTATACTTACCTTCCGCCTCCCTGCACTTCCTGGTTCTGTGTGAAGTACAGGGAGCCGGAACAGTGCTGATCCTGCCCCCTGTAAAAAAAATATAAATAAAGTTTATTTAAAATCCCACCCCCATTTACTCATTTTAATTAAAAATTAACCCCTTCCCTGCCAATTGATCACTGACTACAGTGATCAATTGGCAGGGATTACATTTTACGGTCATCTGATTTTTTTTTAACCCTCAGGGGTTAAATTTATTAAATTAAAATTTTTAAAATTATATATTTAGCTAGCTGGGGTGGAGCTTTGTGCGGTACCGAGAAAAAAGTCCTGGCAGGACTTTGGGTGGAAGTTAGTGGGGAATTGGGGGATTTGGTGTTAGGCTAACTAGGGGTTAACGTTAAATTTTTTTTAAAATAAACTTTAAAAAGTTAAAAATTAAGCTAAAAAAAGTTGTAATAAAGGTTAAGTAAAAAATAAAAAAACACCCCCCTTTACCCAGTCCAAATAAAAATTAACCCCTTCCCTGCCAGTCGATCACTGCCTACAGTGATCAAAATACAGATCACAGAAAAAATGATCCCACGCTAAGGTTCAAAATATGCCTTTTGAATTAACCCAGGGTGTATTCTTTAATAAATAGTTTGTGTTTGTGGGGAAGTTTCAATAACCAACCGTCTAAACTACTCCAAAATGGAACATGGACACAGCGTAAAATTTCAAAGTTAGAAAAAAACTGAATGGCTGCGTCTCAAATGCGCCCCTTCAACATCCAGATATACCTAGCAGAGGTTGGCGGTGAAATGGCTACGTAGAAAGTGTCAAAACAACCCTAGGTAAATAGCCTGTGATGTGTACTTTATAGAAATATATACTTTTGTGTGGCAATTTTGTTTTCTTTTATGGCTATTAAGCTTACAAGACAAACATACCAAATTCTAAAATTGCTCCACATTCAAAGTTTATTTTACTCCTTGTGCTTTGTGACCTGTAACTACCAAAAAAACCCAAAAAACTTAAAATCCCAGACACATTATATATTCTGTAAATCAGAACTAAATGAATTTATTTTTAATTACTTTCCTTAACCTGCACTAATTATGCACACATTATTATTGCAAAAACTGTAAAAAAAAAAAAAAAATTTAATTTTTTTGTATTTGTTTTATAATAAATAAACATCAAATTAAAGCCCCTTGTGTAAACATAGTTTCAGAGAGCTAAATAGTTTCTAAATTTTGTACTGAGTTTAGAAATACCCAATGTTAACATGTTCTTAGCTTTCTTTTGCAAGTTATAGGGTTATAAGTACATGTAGGACATTGCTGTTTGAAAATAGATAAATTTAAAATTTATCAATAGTGACATTGTAACACTTATCTGTCATAAATCTTTGAAATCACACCTCACATGTACATATTTTTTTAAAGTAGACAACCCAGGGTATTCAATATTAGGCATGTTCAATCTTTTTTTAGTAGCCACTTAGTCACAAACACTGGCCAATGTTACCATTTATATTTGTGTTTAAAAATGCAAAAAACAATTATGAACACTAACTTTGGCCAATGTTTGTGACTAAGTGGCTACTAAAAAAGACTGAACATACCCCATTTGCAATACCTTGGGTTGTCTTCTTTTGCAAATGGTATACCATTATGGGAGTAATTCTCATTCCCAGGTTACCATACGCTCTCAAAGGCAACATAACCAATCTGGCAAATTTCAATGTGGAAAAAAAGGAAAATCAAGCCTTATATTTGACCCTGTAACTTTCAAAAACACTATAAAACCTGAACATGGGAGGTACTATTATACTTGGAAACTTTGCTGAACACAAATATTAGTGTTTGAAAACAGTAAACGTATCACAACAATGATATAATCAGTGAAAGTCCAGTTTGTGTGTGAAAAATGCAAAAAACTTCACTTTCACTAACAATATCATCGCTGTGATATGCTTAACTGTTTTGAAACACTAATATTTGTGTTCAGCAAAGTCTCCTGAGTAAAACAGTACCTCCCATGTACAGGTTTTATGGTATCCTGGAAAGTTACAGGGTTGAATATAGTGCTAGCAAATTAAGTTCTCTGGACTTTTGGCCTGGGTTGTCAGGCAGGTCCCTCAAATTGCAATTAATAAAATCACTTAATGATGTAAAAAAATTACATAAATATGCACGTAGAATTTAAATATATATACATATTTATATATTTGAAGTCTACATGTATATTTATGGCTTTCAGACAGTCCCCCCAGACCGGGAGGAACACTGATCGCTGGCAGGAACAGCGGCGATCGGTAAGTAAGAAGGACTGCAAGGACATACACGGTACGTCCGTGGTCGTTAAGGATCGTTTTTTTTTTGTCAGAGTACATCCCCTGTCCTTCATGAGTTAATTATATATACACATTTGGAATGTCTCTTCTCCCTGTAGAACGCAATGGACATTTGATAACAGGTTTACTAGTAAGTAGCTAGTTTAGAGATAACTACAAATTTAAATGGTCAGTGAAACCACAATAAAAACCATTGATTGCACCAGCACACCTCTTGCCAAAGGAGGAGATGTCCTCCTTAGATATTTAGGCACACCTAATTCACAAGTTTGACAAAGCTAACCCAGAAAAGTAAAAACTACTTTGATATCTGAGAGCAGAGTTGCCTAGTGTATAGGTGCAGAACATTTTGCAGATCCCTGTAGCTGCAAGCTACTCTCTGCTGGCAGATAGGGTACATTCAGATCTATAACCTCTACAATGGTGTATAGTTAGTCATCCTTTTGTCTTTTCTTTATTTCTTTAAAAATACCACCAAAGAAACTATTGCATAGTAATTTTATTGATGTGTGTGCACAGCTGGAAGGTTCCTGAGTGCTGAGCACAGCAAAAAGATGATCTGAGAATCTAAGCTCACGCCAGACCAACTTCTGACTGTCTACAGCAATAGGCTAGGGCAAGGTCAGTTGCGTTCTACCTTGTAAATATGCGGTCTCTTCTGAAAATACCGGAGGTGCTCCTAACAGAGAAAACATAACAAAATAACAGTACGTGTGCAAAAAAAAAAAATCAAAACATTCACAAATATGCCAATATAAAAACATGACCAAATAAAAGGACTTCTAGGCATGAGTAGGGATAGGTACTTGTTTTTATGGACACATCATTCCTACAAGCTGGTGGATAGGTCATAAAAAACTGTGCCCTATGATGTGCAGAATTTCCTATAGGAAGGAATTAACTTCACTAACCATGGCAGAATCTTATATGAGCTGCCTTTATTAAAGGATTTCTCTTCTCCTGTTGATGAATTGTACCTGATCAAAGGCACCATCTTTCACGTATTTCTGATTGAAGTTTTATGGGCACAGGGAACTGTATGCAAACATTTAATAGCAATTCTACGATAGGGGCTTGGTATTTCCTTTAGGCTGTTTATTTGATTATTTACAGTTTCCCTATAATTAATATTTGATACATTCAGTTTTTTGCTTCTTACTTTACATGTCCTAGTAATTCCACCAGATACAGTAGCAATACGTGAAAGTAAAAGCATTCAGTGAAATATATTTAAATACTTTTGTGGCAAGCACTGCTGGTTTCTCTCCACATTCTTTTCCCATACCTGCCTAGACTGGGGAGACACTGGACTGGCGTTCACTGGCAGCATTATTTTGAAGTACAAATATACTTGTTTTGCAATAGCAGTTAAATGAGAATGCCATTGTACAACTTCCTGGCCCATGCAGACGAGAAGTTGGACTGATTTATTTTTTTGCACCGAGTTCTTTCATACATTCATCCTACCCACTCATTGCCACTATTGGTATTGCTGTGCATCTCTCAGAATTCGTTTTATTGCTGTGGAGCAATGTAATGCACTCATTGACAGCCAAACATTTATAGCTCTTAAAAACAAAAGGAATGGTGGGAAATATAGGCCAATGATGATGAAGACTGGACTTCTGTTGTATAAGGAGAGATAAACAGGTTTATGTGTTGGTTTTTCTTCCCGAATGGCTGCAAATTTTTCAAATGTCATTTATAATTGGTGTAGAAGTTAGAGCTTAAACAAACCTGTATTCCTATTGCTATAGTGCCCCTGTCCCTAAAGCTATATAGATTCCTATGTAGGAAAAAAATACAATGAACCTAAATTTTTTAGTCCCAAAGCACTCTCTTCCACTATGGTCCAATCCAATGCTTTACATAGAACAGCGCATTGGTGACCTACTGCATGCATCCTAGCTTCCCCCTAGGAAAGCATTGTATTCAATGCTTTACCTAAGTAGTTCTACAACACGTGCAGTGAGTGGCTGTCACTATGCCAAACATTGCAGGGTCTACGATTACGGCAAATTTTACATTGCAGGATTAATAAAGGTCTGGGCCACTCCACCAAAACCACTTCAGCTCAATATATACACATTATGGTGTCCCTTTAAGAGAAGGTTGGCTTAGCATAATATTTAAGCTAGTTTCCTTACCTGCTCATCAAACTCTTCCTCTGCCAGTTGGTAATGGTGGAGATGAGCCAAGGTCAATAAAACAAGTGTGCAATCTGCAGATAAGTGAGGATTCCACCCAGAAATCAGAATAAGGAGTGGAAGTACCTGGAAAGGGGTAAGGCCGAGAGTAGTCAAAGCAAATTTATCCTGCTGGTAAGGATACCATTTCAGGTATTTCAATGTGAGTATTTCCATAACAGCAGGTGGGGTAACCCTGCTGTTGAGCTGTCCTTGAGTTATGCCAGCATTTCCAAAACTGCTAATAACAAAAGACACTTAAATATTTTTTATTTTAGAGATTTTTTTTTTTATTACAGTTCATTTTACATAAGTTAAAAACTTATGTTTTTAAAAAACAAATTAATTTTACATGATGCAGACGGCAGCCAAGTTTCCTGGAGTCGAAGAAAGAGAGAGCTTTGGAGCGACACGATATTCCCGATGGCGCTGTATGTTTGGGCTCAACGGGAGTGATCGTGTCATTCCAGGGCAGAATCTCTCCATGGTGTCGCAGGCTAAGGTCCAATAACGTATCTAAAAAGGAAAGGTTACCAACATAAGCAAATTTTACATTGCCCAAAAAACTTTTACCCTCACACAACGCTGGGCTTGTGTATGTCCCACATTTAGTAAATCATTACTGTGAAACATGCTGCAGGGATGGCTAACCTATGTAAAGAACACCACATTAGTCACAACTATTCAAGTGTCATCATTGACCAATCCTGTGTCTCTCATACCAGCTTGTAAGTTCTGTGAATATTATTCAGAGTGGGTGATTGGCGTTTTATTTCAGACAGTTTCCCATTGGAAGCTGTACAGACCACAGATGATGGCGTCTTATCTGTAAACAACTAACTAAATTAATCATCTCTGCCTAGTTTATGGTACCTTGCAAATTACATTTAAAATGAAAAACAAAGTTATGGGTGTATAGTTTTTTTGTAAAAGCGCCTGAAGTTTAAACAAATATACTTCTTACTCAGGAGGGGGGAAAATAAAAAGCCACCACATCCCTTATGGCAGAAACTAAAAAGCAAACTACTGCAGGAACTTTAAATTGAAGTATGATTTTAATTTTTTTTGCATGGTGTCAACTTCCTCAAAGAAACGTTATAAGTGTAAATGATGTTTTACTTAATTATTTAAAGATTCCAAAGTCAATAGAGCTGTGTCTGTAATATAGGAAGTAAATACATACGTTTTTAATCAAACAAAGTTTTCATACACTATTTTCACACAAGACGTTCAAAGTTAGTCTAAAAAGAAATCTATCAGGAACTGTTAGGAAGGGTTTACCCACAATGCCTAACCACAACGTGGATCTTACATGTGAGCCAACGTCTTCCGGTGTCCTTGAGGCACTCTATCCACATACATCTTCTGATATTAACCCTGTGACTGCTAGATTTACTAAACAATGCCTTGAAATGCAAGAACTTTCTCTTCCTTCTGGTGCAAAGATTGTGAAAACCCATTTCATTCATAGATTCCCCCTCCCCCACCTCAAACGGTACTTGTGGTTTTTCATGCAGGAAATCAGTATTTATCTTTAGAATTCACTTGTCTAAGAAGAGAGGAAAGCAGAAATATATTAAAAATAAATTTAAAAAACAAAAACAAACCCACACACTACACTGTTATATTCAGTAAACATTAAGTTACCAAAATATCAAAGGCGGGGAGGATTATTCCCTTGATATCTATTGCATTCAATGTTCTGGAAGTTGTAGGCTATTTACATCTTGGGGCCAGAGTTTAAAGTGACACTATAGTCACCAGAGCCACTAAAGTCACTCCTTAAGGACACATGCCGGAAATATTCCTACATGATTCCCTTTTTCCCCCCAGAAGCTTTGTCCTTAAGGGGTTAAATATGAATATAGTGGTTCTGGTGTTTATATGACTTTAGAGATAAGGCAGGGTTTACATTGCTACTTTTGTAGGCAGCCATTAGAGGTGCTGATTAGTTCAGCGTCTCTATGCTCTGCATGGAAAAGCTTAACACTCCCCATAGAGATACATTGATTATTAAAACAAACGATCATCTAGACTGAAGATCTCAGCCATTAATACGGGCCAGCAATGGCAAGGAAGAAAAAGTAAATAAAAGTTAAAAACCTTTTAACTCTACAGAAGGGGTCTGGACACCTCCATGGCTAGTTTAACAGTATAGTGTTATTAATACATGCTTATATTCCCGATAAATTATGGATCTTAAAAGGAACATTATAGTAAAGTAAGTATACAGGGAGTGCAGAATTATTAGGCAAATGAGTATTTTGACCACATCATCCTCTTTATGCATGTTGTCTTACTCCAAGCTGTATCGGCTCGAAAGCCTACTACCAATTAAGCATATTAGGTGATGTGCATCTCTGTAATGAGAAGGGGTGTGGTCTAATGACATCAACACCCTATATCAGGTGTGCATAATTATTAGGCAACTTCCTTTCCTTTGGCAAAATGTGTCAAAAGAAGGACTTGACAGGCTCAGAAAAGTCAAAAATAGTGAGATATCTTGCAGAGGGATGCAGCACTCTTAAAATTGCAAAGCTTCTGAAGCGTGATCATCGAACAATCAAGCGTTTCATTCAAAATAGTCAACAGGGTCGCAAGAAGCGTGTGGAAAAACCAAGGCGCAAAATAACTGCCCATGAACTGAGAAAAGTCAAGCGTGCAGCTGCCACGATGCCACTTGCCACCAGTTTGGCCATATTTCAGAGCTGCAACATCACTGGAGTGCCCAAAAGCACAAGGTGTGCAATACTCAGAGACATGGCCAAGGTAAGAAAGGCTGAAAGACGACCACCACTGAACAAGACACACAAGCTGAAACGTCAAGACTGGGCCAAGAAATATCTCAAGACTGATTTTTCTAAGGTTTTATGGACTGATGAAATGAGAGTGAGTCTTGATGGGCCAGATGGATGGGCCCGTGGCTGGATTGGTAAAGGGCAGAGAGCTCCAGTCCGACTCAGACGCCAGCAAGGTGGAGGTGGAGTACTGGTTTGGGCTGGTATCATCAAAGATGAGCTTGTGGGGCCTTTTCAGGTTGAGGATGGAGTCAAGCTCAACTCCCAGTCCTACTGCCAGTTCCTGGAAGACACCTTCTTCAAGCAGTGGTACAGGAAGAAGTCTGCATCCTTCAAGAAAAACATGATTTTCATGCAGGACAATGCTCCATCACACGCGTCCAAGTACTCCACAGCGTGGCTGGCAAGAAAGGGTATAAAAGAAGAAAATCTAATGACATGGCCTCCTTGTTCACCTGATCTGAACCCCATTGAGAACCTGTGGTCCATCATCAAATGTGAGATTTACAAGGAGGGAAAACAGTACACCTCTCTGAACAGTGTCTGGGAGGCTGTGGTTGCTGCTGCACGCAATGTTGATGGTGAACAGATCAAAACACTGACAGAATCCATGGATGGCAGGCTTTTGAGTGTCCTTGCAAAGAAAGGTGGCTATATTGGTCACTGATTTGTTTTTGTTTTGTTTTTGAATGTCAGAAATGTATATTTGTGAATGTTGAGATGTTATATTGGTTTCACTGGTAATACTAAATAATTGAAATGGGTATATATTTGTTTTTTGTTAAGTTGCCTAATAATTATGCACAGTAATAGTCACCTGCACACACAGATATCCCCCTAACATAGCTATAACTAAAAACAAACTAAAAACTACTTCCAAAAATATTCAGCTTTGATATTAATGAGTTTTTTGGGTTCATTGAGAACATGGTTGTTGTTCAATAATAAAATTAATCCTCAAAAATACAACTTGCTTAATAATTCTGCACTCCCTGTAGATGTGGTCCATTGCCAGTCATATGTTGGCTTACCATAATTACACTTTTTTTTGTAGTAACCACCCATTTTTTTTACATTATTACGTTTGTTAGGATTACATCAGTGTATGTTAAAAAAAAGTGTCATTGTAACTTATGATAGATTTTAAACAAGGAATTGAAACAAACCTTGAAATGTCCAAAAACTGAATGCAAATGTAACTGTAACTTGCAGTCATTGAGTTGACCATGAACTCCTCTGTATACCAAAAAGTATTCTAGAGTCAAATTAGGGGGGCCATCTGTCAGAGAGCTCAAGGCCAAAACTGTGTCATGCAACAGAACAATGATCCCAAGCACACCAACAAATCTACAACAGAATGGCTAAAAAACAAATTAAAAACCCAAACATATCGAATCAAGGTGTTGCCATGGTCTAGGCAAAGTCCAGACCTCAACCAGATTGAAATGCTGTGGCAGGACTTTAACAGAGCTGTGCATAAACAAATCTCAATGAACTGAAGCAATATTGTAAAGAGTGGGCCAAAATTCCTCAACAACAATGTGAGAGACTGATAAAGTCATGCAAAAAATGATTACTTCAAGTTATTCCTGTTAATGGTAATTCTGCAAGCTATTGAATCAGAAGGTATACTTAGTTTTTAACACATGGCTTCTCTATTTTTAAAATAAATCATGACAGTGTAAATGTCATGTGTTCATCTGAGCTTGTATTTACCTAATTTTAAGACCTGCTAAGGAAAATATGATTGTTTTTAGGTCTTGATCTGTAAAACCATAGAATTTAAAGAGGGTGTACTTTCTTTTTCCCACGACTAATATATTTTTTTTTATAAATTCGATTATTACATTAATCCAGAAATATGGAGTTGAAACAACTTGTGTAAAGATGACATTTGATGCAAAATGCAGCAACTTCCAAAGGGCGCAATAAAACACTTCAAATTTTTAAAGCATTATCTTTCAAAACCAGATTTAAAAAAAGTGTGTTTCCTTTACAACAAACATTCACCCACCACAGTCAATGCATTTTAAGGACTGTTTCTGTGTGCAATACATCAGGTGTCCTAGGTGCAATTGCCGGTGTTAAAGAACCTTGTCAGACGGGATGACTATTTGGGTGGTCATCATGCTTAATATATGCGATGAATATGCAAGAAATCAGTTAACGGATCCCAACTGCAGCTGAATTTTTATCAGCACAGCTGCTTTTGGGATTCCGTTGTTTAATTTGATGCATTAAAATACTGCTGCGTCAAGATTGATGGGAGGATTGTGGTGATTCCTGCAGAGAAAAAACAAACAAAAAAACACAGGAACAAGGGTCAAGTCAACAGCAGTTTATTCTAAAGTCCAGAAATGTACCATTACTACAAGATAATCACTATATCCTGGGAGCGAGCGAGCAACCGCTGAATCATAGGCAGGGCCAGCGCTTTTAAATTTCTCTGTAGATCTGAGAAATAAGGGGAGTTTATATTAGTCACCGGTATACAAAGACCAAAAATTTTTACAAAAATAAAGAAAAAGGACAATAAAATATTTTTACCTGCGAGCCTCAAGGATTTCTTTGTACCTGTTCCCGATGAGCACCTTTTCAAACCAAATACCAAAAAAATGCGATGCGCTCAAAGAAAGGTGTGTGTATATATATTGAGAATTGTTTGCACCTTTTTGCAATGTAAATTACTGTACGTCAGTTACAAGTCTTAATGTGAATAAAAAGTGACATCTACAAACCTATAAATTGCATGTTTATGAAAAGATAACATTTAAGGCCAAATGTACAAAACTAGAACGTTTAGATTCATTTTATTTATTAGGCTTAATATTAGTGTACCCATCATAGGTTTCCTCTGCCCATCACTTTCAGACTCCCTCTGCCACCAGGGGTCTAAAATCCCCATTATATCCTTTAGATTGTAAGCTCACTAGCTATCTAAGCACTTTATTTTTTTTTTTTGTTTTTTTTAAATTCTTTATTTTGGTCGTGCACTTATGACAATCAGTCTTACCCTGCCACGACAGTAGGAGCAAAAGTATAATCGTATACAGTATAACAGTGGCAGTTGATATATCTGCACATTTTCTATACATATAGATATATGCCCAGGACTCAGTGCATACAGAAGCGTGTGGTGCAGCATGCTGCCTTACTAAAGTTGTACAGTGCTTTGATCATGTCTTTGCTTTTTATATCTATTGGTAGAGCCTGGTTGTGGCACTGTGGTTTGCTAGCAGGAAGATGCATTTTAGTGTGGTGTAGGTAACTGGTTGGGGAGCCTTGTTTTTATGTCCATTGTATGCCAGGCTTTGCCTGAGAGAAGGGGTGAGGGCAGTCATTGGCCCAACACAGGGATAGGCAACCTTTGGCAGCCCAGATTGTTTGGACTACATCTCCCTTAATACTTACATCCATAATGCTGGCAAAGCATCAGAGGACATGTAGTCCACAACATCGGAGTGCTGAAGGTTGCCAAACATCAAGGCTGTTTCAAATATTTGTGTTTTTATGCTTAGTAGACTAGGTGTTATACCAGCTTGATTTAAAGATTGTGTAAGCATTTCATCAAGCTTTCCATTTGGTTAGATTTCAGTAGCATTCTATGCTGCTGCTACCAAGGTGAGAATGATCGGTGAGCACTTTTCTAAGGCCCATCAAGAATGTAAACAAATCATTTAAACACCGTAAACACTCAAAACAACAAAAATGCTGTAATTGTGCTGCTTTAAAGTAGATAATTGTAGGCATTCCTATAGAATTTCAGATTTTGGTCTAAAAAGATAGGTGCTAAAAAAGGCAAGGCCCTTGTTCAACCAGATTACAGCAATTAGATACAGCAAATAAAGATCCTCAGCACACAGCAATAACAGTAGGTGGTTTATTCAGCCATCAAAGTGAAGAGGCAACGTTCAACATGCTAAGAGTCTCTCAAGCCACAAATACAAGTGTAAAATGATATATCTTATGGCTTGACTGGTGTGTGTATTTGTGTTTAGCAATGTATTAACTATCCACTTACTTCAGGTGGAAGGGGTTTTCATCAACACTTTTGTCCCCACCACAACTCTTTTGGTATGTACTTTACAAGTAACGCCAAGCCTCCATAGCAAGCCAGTACCCAATCTCATGCTGATGAGTTGCATTAACAATGAAACAGCTGTCCATGAGTGGTTCACTGGCTTTGCTCCTCTTCCTGAGTTGCGTTTCAAATCTGTTGTATACAGCAGATACATACTTCAAGGAATCCATTTATAAAGTGGATTTGATGCAAAAATGGGGTTCTTTGTTGAGCTCCTTTGCATGTGCCTACCCAGAGATTTCTGTGGGAAAAGCAAGTTTTTTTTTGTCAATCTATCTTTTATTAAGGTATTGTATTTGGATGATACAGAATAAAGAGGGGGCTGAATGCATTGTACACAAGATAGGGATATCACATCAAGAGTTTACATCTCCTTGATAGGACTGCTGCCTTATTTTAGCTTAAGTAGGATATAGACATGCTAAACTGCTGGTAAAGAAAACCACAGGATATAAAGAATATAAACATGTTAAGCTGTTGTTTAAGTAGTGTTTAGATGCCAGACATGCTGTACTGTTGCGTCACGGTTATAAACAGACGTGTACTAGAGAGGATAAAACCTTAGAGTAAGATTCATACTGCTAATACAAGCTGGCAATGTAGTATATGTCTGCAGAACAACAATATGTGGATCAATTAGGTCATATTAACTAGCTTGTTAATCTGGAAAGTAGACTTAGCTTGTCTGCATGAGTTTTGGTACAGGGCACTATGGCTACACACTTTAAACTAGTAAACGTTTGTTGTCTCCTGTTGGTGGGGAGAGAGTCCTCGGGTCGAAGGCTGTGGGCCACATAGTGAGGCAGTCCACAATGCTTCAGCCAATGCCCTCTCAGGAGGCCTTGCTAGCATGCCTGGAAAGGTGGTCAAAGCTTCTCTGTGGGCACCATTCACTAGGGTGGGTGACCTTGCAGATGCGGTATGTAGTGGAACTCCTGCTCCTAACTTGCACTGGGATAAGAACCTCGCTGCCGTGTACTCGATGGCTGCCAGAGGTCAATTTCTTTCCAGGCTTGGGACTCTTGCCGGGATTTCGTCTCAGCAGGGGAGAGTCGTGGCATCTTGGAGGTGGGTTTCCTCTTCTGCCTCGGAGCTGTTTGAGAGCTGGTGTCCTCTTGCCACGAGTCTGGGAACAGTCATGGTCCAGGGTCGTCCCTTTTGGGATGGTGCGGGGAGTCTTGTTGGCCTTTTTAAGTTGTCGTCTTCTTGCTGCTCTCCGCCGTTGTGGCCGGTGCCTCTGGGGTGTGCCCCCTGCTGCTCTCAGGCCCATAATGCGGGAGTCTGTAGCATGGGGCTTAGTTGTGCCCTGAAGTGGATTCTCAAGCCTCCGTTTGCCATCGGCTTTGTCCCGTGTGGACGGTTTGTAATGAGTTACCGCTGGCTGCAAGTGCACCATCAGCTTGGCCCAAAAGCGGTCAAAGATTTCTGCAAGGGAGTCTCTTGCGTGTTCACTGGTGCCTGTTATAGCATTTTGTTGCTGCCGCTTGTCTTGTACAGCTGAGTCAGACAGATCCACCATCGGTCCACGGCGGGGGGGGAAAGGGAGGATGTGTTTCGAGTTCGTGTGGGCCCCAATCTCCTGCTGCGGTTCCTGGTCGAGTGTGATATTGGCAAGTTCGTACCCGCTTCCCCAGTCAGTAGTGACATGGTGTGTCACCTGAGCGGGCTCAATGGAGTAGCACAGACCTACATGGTCTGGTTTAGCTCAGTGCTGGGAATTTCATCTGAAGGGGTGGCGACTAGGGCCCAGCAGACCACATGTTAGTGGACTACTTATAATGGGTGGGTTTCAGGCTCCAAACCCACTACAGGTGGGTCGTAGTAGCTATACAAGTTTCTTTAAGCATTTGCAACTGCGCAGAACAGAGTTTGAAATGAAAATGAGATGGATTCCATATTAAAGAGCAGCTCTAAATGCAAGTGTAACAAACTACACATACCACCAGTGCAGGTCAAACTAGTTGCATCGCCAGCTGGATTTGGGGGTCAGTGATGGGTACCACATGACTAGTACTACCAGTCTCAAATGTTTGATCTGAATTCTAGAGCCTAAATAAGTTAGGCTTTCATTAGAATGTTCATTTAACATTTAATTTCCACCCTCCATCCTACTGTTTGATTGCTTCTTACTGAAAAGGGTTAATATTTAGTCAAAAGAAGCATCTGCCTTAATACACAAATGTGACCGCAATAGTGTGCAGATCAAAGAGGGTTAATTTAAGGGGCAGCACTACTTTAATACCAAGGCCTTAGCTCCCAACTTCCAAGGCCCCAAAGAGGTTCAGTGAACTGATTTAACATGCAGAACAAAGACGCAATAAAAAAGGCGAAATTGGACACCTGTCAGAGGGTATAATGAGGAAGGCAAAATACTCAGGCTTTAGTTCCTGGCTTTGTTTGTCACTTGTGGAGTGAAATTACATACGAAATAACAGTGCAAATTGCAAGAGACTGCCCTGCGACATATCGGCCCTTTATAGCCAACTGGCTCTTCTCAGAGGGGTTAATAAAATGCTGTGCTTCCACCTAACAGTTCTCTGATGGGAAGAAGCGCCTTCTTTTATTTTTACACAGTTTAAAGTAGTGGTTCGATAATTTGAAAAAAAACTTTTTTTTTTTTTTTTAAATAAGTCTATATTTTTGTTTCATGTTCATCAATGAAATCTGGTCAAGGCCAGCCATTTTATTTGAGGGACTATTTGGATTGGATATAGAAGCAGGCAGTCTAAATACCGATATTATTTCATTTCGAGAGCTTGTTTACTGCTTAGTGATCATCACCCTTTCTCCAAGAATTTTTTTTTTTTTTTTTTAAATGGCAGGGTTCTGTTGACATGTTCAACATACAGGTCTTTTGACTACAATTACTCATGGGTAGACATTTTTTGGAGGTATAATTCATAGTGCCAATGTCCAGCCGTGCTGGGATAGGGATATAAATAATAAAATTATATAATAATAATAATAATAATAATTCGGAGGAATACTTCATACTAAACTCTGAGGTTGTACAATCAGTACAGTCAGGAATAGTGCAATAGTAAAGTGACAGAAATAGGAACATTTGCTCTGGTGTTAAGGGTGCAAACAAATATTGAGAACAGAGCTCTAAAAAGACTGCCGTCTCCCCTCAACTACATCACACACACTAGCCCCACGTACTATTACTGTGGTGTTTTTTTCCGTCAGATTGGGATTTGTGGAACTTGATAAGGAAACTGCAAATATTACACAAAAATAGTAGATTGATGACCTGGAAAGAACATCTCTCAGTAAAACATTTATAACGGGGTTACTAAAGTGAATTTCAAATTAAAGGCCAAAATTAGCCGAACTGGAAAGATTCTCCAAGTCATCTATGGTGTCAGTTTTTCTACTTTGCTCATTGAAATAAATGTAGATCTCAAAGTAATTCTCAAATTTAAAGACCGTTTCCTAGTATATTCAGGGTTACTTACCAATGCGCGTTCTCTTTTTCTCTTCTCTCAAACAGTATGGATTAAAACGTAAGCGGAAGATTTTCATTTCGGTTTATAGTTTCTTATAGAATCAAGTTAGTAATAATACTATGTAGGCAATTTTTAGTCTTCTTTTTTCTATTGGTAAGCAACTTTTACAACAACTGCCTTCTGTCTACTATACCCAAAACTTGCATCATTCAAATTGGAGATCTGCCAAGTAATCCAATTACCCACAGTAAATTCAATATTCTTTCATGCAGAGATAATTCTACATACTTAGGTAATCATAAAAAGAGTTCGGTGTTAGAATATGTGCTGTGATTATGGTAGCAAGGAGACAATCCCAGATCACTGGTGCCGATTGGGTGTGACGCAGTGGCGTACTTAACAGGGTTGCAGGGGCCACCTGCATACTTTGAGGGGCGGTGAGAGATGTGATGTTGGCCGAGTGATCTGACAGGAAGTGCTCACTGAGCACTTCCTGTCAGACCGGTACTGCGGTGTTGAGCATGTACAGCAGGGGAGGGGGGACAGACACAGAGAGGTAGGGGCAAAGGAAAATGAGACACAAAAGGAGCTGGGAGGCCCAGGAAAACTTTGCACCAGTGGTTTTTTAGTTACGCCTCTCGTGTAATGAATAAGAATTCTGGCAATTTACACCTTTGAAGTGATCAACAGGACAGCAAGTGTGAAATGGCATCTGTGTCCCAAGATATGCTGGATTTAGACTGTTCAGGTGGAACCAAGATATTCCCTTTGGCTTCCATAAAAAAAAAAATAAAAAAAAAAAAGGCAAAAAAAGTTCATCCAAAAAGGTTTGTGTCATAAAAATAGACAACCCCCACTTCACACTAACTTCCTCTCCCCCTCCTCCCCCCAAACCACAAAATGAGCAAACACTTATCAGCCAGTGCACTCAAACTTTTGCACTGCGATTGCATAACCTGTCTGATAGGAAAAGTGCCACTAGTTTCTTTACGAAAGGTAGATTTAAAGACAAGACGGATCTAGAAATGCCTGGTATTAACGGCTTTGTCACATTAGCAAGCCTTGGGCTGTGTCTTGTCCTGTTCATATGCTTAATATAAACAGACAAGGTGATCTTTGCAAACATAAAAATTTACTTTGGTAAAAGCACCTGATCAATGCTTGCAAATGTGTTCTTTCAAGGAATACTCTGGTCCCACAAGTCATCTCAGTGAAGTTATGAGGCCTGGTGACCTGTGGCGCCATCTTACCATATAAAGTTATTTTCCAAAGCACCCATCCCACTACCTTCACATTGAATGCTCTGATATAAGGGAAGCAGGGTGCTTGGCATGTAAAGGAACACTCCAAGCACTGTAACCACTACAGTGCCAGGAGTGCCCTGGCTCTCTCACCACGGTATGTAGCGTAACTATTTTTAGACTGTTTGACTCCCCAGTACCACAACCTCTTCAAGGGGGTGCAGAGTTTAGCGCAATGGCTGACCTAGTGAGGGAGCTTTCAGCTCATCAGGAGGTGGAGACAGATATTTTAAACCCCAAGTAAAGTTATCAAAACCATCTACTTACCCTGGAATATTTCTTTTAAAGTAAAAAATTCAACTTGGGGGAAATAAATTGGTAAACAGGGTGGGTTTGCTGTATCATGTTTCCTGAGTAAATGGCATTGGTTATTTGGCAGTACATAAACTTGCTTGCTTGTACTGTAGGAGGAAAGTTAGTTGAGCAAGGTAGTTCCTTTGGGATGCCTCTTTCTGTAAAGGGGCATTCTAAAAAACAAAAAAAAACAAAAAAAAAACAAAAAAAAAAAAAACAACCACCAGAACTACAACTTAATGAAGTTGTGTGGATGCACAGCTCCTTTCCCTGCAATCAAACACCTCTAGTGACTGTAACGCAGACAGTCCAGTAACATTTGTAGGCTAGATGCTCAGCGTCCTCACACTCTGTATGAAGATCCGGAATGTTACTTTTATGGAGGGCTGCAATAATGCCCAAATATAATCTTGGTCTAGAATTTGAAAGTCACACTTTAGTGAATAGCCCTGTCAATGTTCTATTTAGTGGTGTAATTTCCAGAAAACTGACAGCTCTCCTTTAATATAAGTTGACCAGATGTTTCTAACAAATTGGCTATTTCACCAAAACACCAAGTTAACACTGTAAAACAGAATGCAAAGGGAGTTGTCATCAGATCGCAATATTTAACCATTTTATCATAGATTATGTGCACTTAGTATACACTGCCTCAGGGCCACGGCTGTCATGGGCCCAGTGGTCCTGGGGGATACAGAAAAAAACAAACAAACAAAAAAAAACACACACACACACACACACACACTATATAGAATAGTGTAAAATGTCAGTGTGCAGTACTAAACAGCGGCCTACTTTGGTATCCTTAGATAGTACAATCCCATATAAGAGACATTACTAGAGAAGTCTTTAAATTTGCCATCATTATAAAAACTAATCTGAAAGATTTGCATATCTATTCATTCTGAAAGCTTTCATTTTCAATCATAATTACGGATGCTTTAAAATGCAGAAGTTACATTCATCCCAATGCACATGTATAATAGGCAAGCAGGTTCATTGAGATCTTTATTAAAGAACCACAACTATTACAGCCCAGACCCACTTTGTTTTTAGCCCTCTGCTGGTCTGTAGCTTTACCTTGTTTTTTTTACGAACCAGTGTCTAAGATTTTAAGGATGAAAGCAACGAGAATCACTATCCCTCAGCCAGTAAAATTATTGAACCCTTCTTTTCAACTCTTTGGTCAACTGTATTTTTTTTTATACAGGTTACTTTTGCAATCAGCACTGTTTTTGCCATCCAGCTAGAACTTCGTGCTGACCATTACAGTGTATTTGATATTTTCATTAAAGGACCACTATAGTGCCAGGAAAACACTCGTTTTCCTGGCACTATAGTGCCCTGAGGGTGCCCCCACCCTCAGGGACCCCCTCCCGCCCGGCTCTGGAAGGGGAAAGGGGTAATAACTTACCTTTGTCCAGTGCTGGGCGGGGAGCTCTCCTCCTCCGATCCTCCTTCTCTCCTCCCCGTCG